GGGGGGTTCTTTACGGGATGCCGACAGAGGCAAACATCATGACGTGGCCTCGTTCCCGCATTTTGTAAAAGGAGCGCATGGGGCAGCACCTTGCGGTCACATGGTTGAACGTCCGTACAATGCATCGAATCGAGACAAGCTCTGCTCGAGATTGTGTCCGGCAGGCTTCGGGGGTAGGGCAATACCTCCAGACATGTACGGCCAGTGTCAGGACTGTAAGCAAGTATTGCAGGAGACAGACAACGCTCGGTGGATACAGATTGCCATTGGGGAGTAACTCTATCACGGGGGATATCCGCATACGCAGGCCGATCACCGACGCACCGTGGTGCGTTCATTGGTATTTCCGAAGGGACAATCGCCAAAGGCAATCTATAATGCTTCAGAACGTTCCTTCTTGTGCATTGTTTTCTTGCACCTACCTAGTGGTCTGTCGATGACGTTACAGTTCAGAGCAGCATCCCATATGACCGATACGATGAGCATTGAGGTCCGTGTCTCAGCCTTAAATATTATTGAGTCAAGCATCACATGGCCACTGGGAATGAGATGCTCCAGGCTACATATGACGCGGGGCGCTCATGATCATGTCTGTCAGATTTTCATATAAACGTGAGACTTCGCCCGAGGTGTCGGACTTGGATATTTGAATGATACTAGGCGCGCGGAACAGGATAATGATGCCTAGACAAACCTGAGCCAGCCAAAGAGGAGGGAGTATCTGGACGTAGCCGCATCTCACTGCCTCAGGCGAAGAGAAGTACTAGCGTCTCTGGATACATATAGGGCATAAGGCTAGGTAAATTCATGCACTAGAAGTTTGATCAGTGAGAGTCTATGCTCACTTTGATTTGTTATTCACACACCAAGGATCACTGCTCACAGGCTTCGCGAGCGAGCCTGATATTGTATCTCGACAAAGGTGATGAATGATTAGCCTATCGCCCTGCAATCGAGGCCTGGCCACAATATCATTATAGACGCGCCGCCAATCCCGAGGGTGTCTGCAGCACAATTGCGTCCCTACTGCTCAACGATCTCACGTAATTCCTAATCCTTCGTACCCCGTCGCGGTCCATAGGCAAAATCATAGCAGTATACCCATCAGGTCTGACTAGAACGGCAGCGGCGAAATCCCTTCGGATGCCCAGCGACTCATGAAGCCGACCCTGATGTTCAGGAGTTGTTGATATCAACCGATCGTCGAGGTATATCCTAGACGATGTTCATCAGCTGAGGGCCGCTCCCTAACTAAAATGAATGCCATACCGTGTACTTGGAAGGATCTCAGAAAGTTGCGGAAGAGTTTGAAAGGCGGCCTTTTTGACGTTGAGAATCGCGGCTACCTCGAGTTCTTTTCCAATGTGTGCCGTCAACGTGCCTTCAAGAACCGAGAGAAAGTCAAGAAGCCGGTGCCGAGGGATATTCTCGATCACGTCTCCCGGGAACAGGATCAGCTTGAAACTCAGACTATAAGGTAGCAGATCTTGCAGATCACACGGATTCCAGTCGTGATATCGCAAGATGTCGCCCGGAGGTATACGCTGTCCCAGTAGCAGCCCAGGTATGAGGCTCTGGAAAGTGTTTTCCGTAAGCCGAGATCTGTATTCCAGCCCAATCCCTCTGCGGTATGGGTGAGCCAGTCAGAACATGAACGCTAGAAAAAGAACAACTGACGTTGCAAACATTCTCTGACGTTGCAACAGTCTGAATACAGTTGATTCAATAAAGCTTTAGATAGTCGAACGAAAAAGGTAGAGCCATACCTAACGTATTCCTCCGGATACGCACCGTCCAGTGCATCGAGTTCATGGATCTTCTTGTCAAGCTCAATAAGCTCGACACTGCAGGGCCTACGTTCTGCCTCGTATGTCCCTAACATATCCAAATTACTCCATCCGTGGAGTACGTAGGCTAGCTTCCATGCTAGAGAGATTTGAGACATCAGCCCATCGGACAACGGGCATGCACAATTGATCACCTAGATTGTATGCGTCAGACATAGATGCGTTAGCACCTAGTCCCGCATTGGGTGAGTGCGTGTGACCTGTAGTAAAGTTGATGAAATGAAAGGGTCCCTGCTTCACAGGAGTACGTACACGCATCGCCGGCGATGAAGACGCAATCCGCATACGAGAAGGATGAGGCAACACGTTGGGCGACTGTCATGGTATTTGCTATGAGAGTCCATCACGAATCAGATCGGACGTTACTTCACCAGTATACTGCCCACACCACGTTATGTCCTTGACTTCGAACTGGTATGGCAGAAAGGCGCGTTTGATGAACTTTAGGACAACTATGAGCACGATCGGAGTTATCGCGTTGAAACACATAAAGATACCTCTGGTAACTTGGACTCCATCATGGCAGCGAGCTGCATTTCGTTCGTGACAGCTGTGTTCTCCTTCCAGGCTGCGTAGATCCGCATGGTGTCATCCGGACGAGGGATGGTCTTCCGCCGTAGCTCTCCTTTAGCATCAGCCGTGAAGAAGAATACAGAGTCTCACTGCTAATATCCCGGAAAGCGGCGACTGTATAATGTTCTTCGCACGAGGCGTTGGCAAGTTGGTGACTGGAGTGAAGTCAATGACACCCCATGAGACACCTGCAACGTCATGATTGAGCTCGGCCCAAACGGAATCTAGTCGAAAGGCTCTCACCAGCATCGCTACTGTCCATTGCGATCCCACACTGGCCGCGTACCCAGGAGTGTGCGCCTGTTTTTGTTAAATCTAATTCGGATTTGAGGATGAACATTATGTTAGACTCACCGTCACATCCGATTACGTATTTCGCACGGAATACTTCGACATTGTTGATATAGGAGGGATCCTCCGCGACCGAGCCCCTCTCTCGTAAAGGCACTTGACCTTCACGCACGCGGTCTGCGTTCAGGTTGACACAAGTGATCTGTGAAAGGATAGCGTGAGGATTCATGAGTGTACAGTATCCAAAACAGCCACTAGCCTCTACGCGATATCCGTCTGTGGAATTTAAATTGTCGAGGACTACCAGTTTTCGCGGTACAGTCGGCTGCTGCACTCTTACGCCATACGTTGCGATAGTATCAGTCATGATTCCTTCGATGTCTTCCGTGCGTAGGATTATCTACTCCCGAGATCAGTGGCACTCAAGAAGAAATAACTTGGTGGGTGCCTCGTATGGATATTTAGTGCCAGGTACGTTCGAGTTAGGTGTTTGGCCGGTCAACTGTACCGACGTAAATATCAACATGCTGCACATATTCCCATGATGATACTGACCCGCACACCAGTATTGTCTTCGTTGGCAGTGTACATAGCCTGTTCAACGTAAATAGCGTCAGATGAGTTTCGCAGTCCATTGCAACTATTCAATACCATCTGACACATCTTCACGCCTATCTTCCTCAATCTATCGCCCATACCTAGCGTATCCCAAATCTCCGTCGTCCTGGGTTGAATGCCATCAGCATGTCCTGCGGCCTCGCCAGGAAGTCTACCAAATGAATGTTAAAGACGAATGGATGGTGAGGTTGTGATACACCAACATACCGTCTATCAATAATCTTGAAAGAAATACCGAGACGGCTCAAACATACTGCGCTCATGAGTCCTGCCGGCCCAGCGCCGACGATGAGCACGTCAGTGTAAGTCGTCTTAGCGGGCATCTTGAATGGCTTGGAATGCTGCTCGGAGTTGCACCATTCAATAAATGGACGACTAAATGGCAAGGCCTTGGCGCTGGCGCTCGTACTCGGGTCTCATTGTTGATATATCACAGATGCTGCTCGGATGGTGGTAAATGAAATCGCCGCTCTAACAAAGCCGATTCGTATCCAATGTGACGAGCGTTTTACTGCAAAGGGTGTGCTGTCGAGCGGAATGGCAGAGAGCGCTTCATGGAACAATACAGGTCCTGCATTCCGAAACGAATTCTTGACGGGATCCTCCAGCTTCGGTAACGCAGTCTCTGAAAAGTTTAGTAGAGCAGTGGGAACTTTTTTCTCGAGTCCAGATTCCAGGCAGGATGGGGATGAGCTGTTTGCTTTTGTGCTTGCTCGAGTCCTTAAACTTCCTAGCTTCGAGTCCTTCGACAATGCGAGTCAATAATTAGGGCTCATATCGTGTACGTAATTATACTTGAGCAACACAGATATCGCGGACCGCGGTGTCATCACTGTGCAAAAGTCACCGTATCAATGTGGACAAATACAGGTTGATGTGATATGCAGGGCCTGCAATTGGAGAATGCAGTGATGAGGACCAAAACCATCATGTATCAGTTGATACTCACCGTGCGTTCGGGTCCTCTGCGAATTTACGGCACGACGGTTTTGGGAGGTATGATGTACCCTTTTCAATGTACCCTTTTGAGTGTCTAGACATTCACTCATCGAACAGGAGTAGCGTGCATCGGAACCCACCGTCAGAAGCCACCAAACTATATGCATCCTTAGCGCAACTGTTCGCACTTGTCCTACTCTGCCTGTAGCCAATTGAGATCGCGAGCACAGTCCCGTCCGATGTGAATATACTTTGAGAATACCGCACTCCGGTCCCTGCCACCATCACATCGCGGCCTTGCACAAACAGAGACAATATATCTCCATTTGCCATAGCTTCCCCACAAGACGAAGCGCTCAGCGGGTATGCTTTTGCGATCAGTCAATAGCGGAATAACGTCGCGACCTGAAATATGGTCGCTGCTGGACATGCGATAGTCCCTTGCTTGTCAAATCGGCTCGTCGATGCTCTTCCGTAGATTATGACGTCCTGACCATAGGTATACGCCTTGCTTTGGATAGCCCGTTGCTTTGAGTGGAGCCCTCCGGTTAGATAACGCGTCCACGTATAGATGGCGGAGACAGAGTGTTCCACTTTACACTGAAGTATACAAGAAGGCTATGATATCGTATCGCTGTCGAACCAAGATAGCAAGAGAAACGCTACTCGCAGCCCCTTCGGCAGAGAGAGTTCCAGCAGATGTGAATTACGAGGACCACAGTAGACAAAAGTTTCCGCTCAAGAGTATGAAAGCGACTGAGGAAAAGACGTCGAAGGATACCCTTTGGGACACATTAGACCATCGACCTCGCCACAAGGGCCACGGTGGTTTGTTTACCAGGATATCGCATGTCAGTGAACATGTTGGGTTTCTGGCGAGCACAGCGGTTTCAAACACAAAGTACACTTCTGTCGAGTGAGGTGAAGTAGGATACTGAGCTAGGATCGTTGTCAACGCGGAGCGTGCGTTGCCCATGTTGTTCGAGCGCTAAGAGCCTGGCAGTGGGAAAGGGCAAGATAGGGCAACTGCTAAGGCTAATATACTGGATGGTGACATGTTGGCTGCATCTTCAACGTATGCAAGTTGCAACGTATCATCAGTCAAGTCTTCGAAGCTTCAAGGCTAGTTCCAAGCTTCAAGCAAACAACTTCAAAAGCCTTCCGCCACTTGACCATTTTTTCTCTCAACTCGAAACTTCAAACAGCCCCTGGACTCTGATTCCCAATAATCATCTAGAATATGGACTTGACTGCGTTCCCATAACATTGCTTGTTGAGCATGCAGCAGTATTCTGGCATGGATTCACCTCGTACAATAAACGTCGAGCAACAGCTTTCTTCTTTGGCCTTCGCGTTTGCTGACTGCACGCATGATGGAACAATTATGATGGACAGCAGGCTTTAAGTATGTTCGTTCCTATTAAAGCGTTCCAACAACAACGTCTTTCATGATCAGCTAGTACAAGTCAAATTTTGACGACAGTCCCGGGGACACCTTGTCATCGAGGGTTTGCACCAGTACCAGTATATTGAGAACACTATATACTGCTACTTGGTGTATCCTCTATCACAAGGCCACGTAATAAGGGCTCGAATAGGTTTCATGGCGGACTGAAACCAATTTTCACACATAGTCCCGTCAGCCTCTGATGAACATTGAAACGGTCAGCCTACTGACAAAGTCCCTCATGAGTGCCCCCCCTTCTATTTACGCAGCCTCTCTTCATCCCGAACGACCGACTTTGATAGATTAGATCCTCCCTGAACTCATCAAGATGGTCCACAAGTTCAACTCGATGCTTTTTACTCGTCGCCGCACCAAGTCTATGCTCTTCGCCTCGCCATACGAGACGCTTAAATCTCAAACCCAGAGCGAAGATGACAAGGAGAACATCAAGGTCAAGACTGAAGTGAGTCTCTCTCGGATTCCTCGATTTCTTGTGGCAACGTGCTCAAGTATTGATGGCTCGAACTCGAAGCATTCGACTCCAGCGGACTTCAAAGACATGCTCTATCCGGAACGCAGCACGCAACGAGTTTCTGTGCGTGTATTTCTTTCGTTGAATAGCAGACGCCTCATCTACATTGGCATTTACGTGACCCAATTCCCAGGTTTTCGGTCGTCAGTCCGGAAACGATAGCACGGACCTACTTCTGCCACCAAATAGTCTCGGCTTTGTTGAAGCTCTTACTTCCTGCGATAGTTCTCTCAACGTGCCATATTCTCCGAACTATCTGACTGTAGAAACCGGCGTAGTAAGTACTCTCGCCTCAGTCACACCTGAGGGATTTACTGACGTGCATATTATTTAAGACATTTTGTGACACTGAGCTCTTGTCAGCTATAGATGGCATCGGAGCATGCTTGGCTACCTCTAAAAGCTCTTCCTTTCCATTTTGTGATCAGTTCCCATCGCCGGCATCGTTCTCGTCTCCATTTTGCGATCCATCATCGTCTCCATCGTCTCTGGCCTCTTCATTCCCATCCTATGTGCCCGCATCGTCGCTTGCATCGAATTCCTTATCTATAACGCTCGATGCTGGTGACTTTAAGGCTATCAAGTTGCTCGGCAAGGGCGGGCAAGGCACTGTTTTGCTCGCGCGCCACACGGCCTCAGGAGAGCGCTATGCGCTCAAAATCGTCAGGAAAGTTGGCCTTAGGGAGTCAGCGCGCAAGCGAGTCTTCAAAGAGCGAGACGTCATGCGCCGGATCGGGATGGGCGGTGATAGAATATTGAATGGGATAAGACAGGAGAGATGGTTTCTGAGGCTCGACGCTACATTCGAGGACTCGGAGAGTTTCTTCTTCGTGACGGTACGCATATAGCATCATCGTATGCCGAGAGTTGTACTTATCTGAATTTCGCACTCTACCAGGAATACGCGCCCAAAGGTGACCTCTGGACCGAGATGGCGCGGCGGAAGCCAATGCCTTCTACCGATGCACTCCAGTTTGCGGCCGAGATTGTGAGCGAGCATGTCTGCCAATACATAGGTTCTTCTATAACTGCTAAACGCGTTACGTGCAGATCCATATACTCTCACTACTGCATGATATCCATCGCATCATCCACCGTGACTTCAAGCCGGAAAACCTTCTCATTGATGCCGCAGGACATTTGGTCCTCGCCGATTTTGGCATCGCAAGGGCGTTTGGGGCGCATCCATGGGAGTCCGACACTAGCTCTACTTCCCTATTCTCCGAACTCGCGTCCGGTACCATTGACATGCCCGTGGCAATGGAAAAGCAAGAAGCCGAAGAGAACGAGAAACATCGCACGCGGTCACGGGACTTCTTGCCTGAGGCTACACGCAAGATGTGCGGAACGGCAGGATACATGGCGCCCGAGGTCTACGCGGGCCCTTCCTACTCGTATCCGGCGGACATCTGGGCGGCAGGTGTTGTCATATTCAAGATGCTCACTGGCAAGGTCAGTCTCGGAAAGATAACGATGCGCGTAATGCCATGACGAAGTGCATTCCACGCAGCTCCCCTTCGGCCTGGATCGCGAGCTGTGCACGAAGGAGCTATTCAGGCGGACGGTTCTGCAGCCCTTGGAGTTCAAGATCAATGGAGTCGAGGTAGAGATTGGCGAAGATGCTAGGGATCTCCTGCGGAAAGTAAGTCTCTGCCGTGAGGTGATCACCTGCGAGTACTAATCTCACCGTGTCCATTTGCTGCTAGATGCTCGAGAAGAACCCTGAGAAGCGAGCATCTGCGCAAAACCTCAAGACACATCCATACTTTCTGTCCATGTGAGCATTAGATGAGGGATGATCGTCGGTCTAAACCTACTTCTAACGGCATCTAGTGATTGGGAGAAGCTTGCTCGTCGGGAATGCCCCGGTCCCGGCATGGAGGCACGCCGTATGAAGCATTACAAGGTGTGCCGCCACAGTGAATGCGCAACCTTGTGAACTATGCTCACCCATTTTTGACAATCGTACCAAAGAAAGTACACGTTGCTATTCCAGTAGGGAAGCCGCTCGATCGTAGCGGCTCGGATGATGCCTTCATTTCGTTCCGATGGATGTCGCCCGAGCTCCAGGAGGCGCATAGGCGAGTCCGCATAATACCTGCTGCCGATAATGTTGTAAATCCGGGCCGATCCTTCGACGAAGAGAAAGGCCCAAAGTTGGAGAATGTGGCTCACAAGGTGTGGTGGAAAGTCAAGAGGGTCGCATCGATGAGATTTCAGTAGCGTGGATGCTTAGTGCTGAGCGGCTTATTGATGTTGGGATCCTACACCTTGCAGAATGTTTTGGTGTTGTTGGAGGGCCTGAGATTGTTGCTTTCTATGAAGGCAAATAATTGCGCCTTGTTCTCTACATGGCATCGCTTCGTTAGTATAGACATATTTGCTTTCATTCATCCGCTTTGGAGGTATCAGCTATGAGTAGGTCCTCTATTCAACATGCCGTAAGATGATACAAAGCTTCGTATAATCGAGCACGGGCTTCTCATTTATCGTCGAGACACCTTTACTCGTTCACGGCTACATAGGCATTCCAGACCTCCTTAGCAACAGCGCTCTTCGGGCAGTGTCTTCCGGTCCATAGATGAAGTTGTAGGTATCCCTGCTCAAGCAAAACCTGGATACCTCGAATACGCTTGAATCTCCTCGCTTCATTCGCAGCTAGCACGAGAAGCGGCGTCTCGACAGGCTTGTACGCCATGTCAACCACGACTCCTTCTCCTTCGAACGGGAATATCGTTGAGGGCAAGTACAGCGCATCTTTGACGTAAGGGTCAGTGGTTGTCGCCGTTGCAGGGACCGTGGACACGATGACCATGGGAGGCGGCCCATCTTCGGGCCAGGCTCCGAGCTCCTCGATGATATCGATGGGGACCTTCGGGAACGCCTTCACGAGAGCTTCCGCACTGCTCCTCGTCCTGTTGAACAGATAGATACGTTTGGTCTTCAATCTGTGCAATGCATAGATGGCGGCACGAGAAGTACCGCCCGCCCCGATGATGAGCGCAGCGCTTGGCTGGAGCACGCCTCTGGGCAAGGCCGAGCGAATGCACCTTAGGATCCCGAGCCAGTCCGTATTATCGCCGTGTAAGGACAAAGAACCGTCTGCACTTTTACGAGTAATTATCGTATTGACAGCACCAATAGCCTCTGCTTCAGATGACAAAGAATCCAACAAAGGCATGACGGCAAGCTTGAATGGAATGGTGACCGAAGCACCACCAAAGTCAGGAGACGCCAGAGCTGCCTTGATTTCTTCGCCGACGCTCTCTGTCTCAAGCAATTCATAGGTATGTGGCATGCCCAACAGTTGGAAAGCAGTGTTGTGAAGTGTCGGCGACATGGAATGCGAGATAGGGTTGCCGAAGAGATAGAACCGTCGGGGAGGCATTTGTCCGATAAGATGAAGAGCCGTTTGAATTTCAGCGAATGAGAGCTGGCCAGGAGCTGCTTTCGTCGGAAGCAGAGGATGAGAGACGGGGCTTAGCGTCGGGTTCAAGATCCGGGAGAGCTGGCCCTCGACACCCATATTGATAGCGAGCAACGGTTTAACTCCGAGAGACGAGCGCATGCGCGACGCAAATGCGTACAGAGCGAGGTTGTCCTCGAGATCATTTGCCTTTCCGACCAACTTGACTATATCACCGAACGAATCCGCAACGCGATACTTGGCTTCCACGGTCTTGCCGTCCCAGCGCATGTTGCCACTCCAGTCGTGCCAGGACGCAATGATCTGCGAGTGGCCTTTCCGCGATACGAGGTCCTGTATCTGTCTCTCTGACCAAGAAATCTCGACATCGACGTACTCGACACCCAAACGAATGGCGTTGTGGAACAATTCGAAAGCCTCCTTCTCCAAGTAATCGGGGAATTGCCCGCCTTGGGAGGCGGTGCGAACAGTGAAGACGATCGGCAGTGAGGTCACTTGCCTGAGGGCAGCGATCTGATTATTAACGTACCATACAGGGGGGATGAAAGGCCCGGGTTCGTCGAAGTTTCGCTGCGATCGAAGTAGATCCACACGTAGCTCGATGGCATCCACGCCCGCAATCAGCTCGTCAATATATGGAAGAGCAGGAATGATGTCAGGATGCGTGAGTGACAAGAAGTATGTCCTGCTGCCTGCTGCTGTCGTAGGCACAAGGTTCGGACGCTTGCCTGTGATGTGATTAAAGAAGCGTTCTACTTCGTCGCGGGTGCCATTAGGCGATGGTGATGGAGTGGTAGTCAGCTTCTCTATTCCGTCAACCGTTTTATCCTCCTGAGCGCCGCTGAGCATGCCTGTGTTGTTGATAAAGATATAGCTGGAGCATTCAGCAAACCAAGGCTCTCGTCGCTTGAAGACGTCTAAGACTGGTTCTCCATAATCAGGACGAAGCGTCTCCTCTCCGAGATACTTGACGACCTCGCCAATCTCGCGTACTATATGCACGACTGGACCCTCCTTCGCGTGTTGCTTGAGCAGATCTCGTGCGGCAGGCGTCTCCACAATGCCGCCACCGAGACTGATGATGTGCCCTTTCGGGTACTCCCTCAGCAGCTCTTTGAGAATCTCCGTCTCAGCAGCCCGGAACGCAGACCAGCCATTCTTCAGCACGAAGTCGCGTACACCTGTCTTGTGCTTCTGCTCAAAGTAGAGGTCTGCATCCACGAACTGCCACTCCAGAATGGAAGCAGCAAGCTCGCCGATATAAGTCTTGCCCGAACCACGCATGCCGATGACGACCACGGAGGCCAATGAGTAGTTCTCAGTGGACTGACTAGCAGAAGCAGCGGAATCTGAGAGCGGGAGCTCGACACCCTCTACTTCCAGGCCAATCTGCAAGTCACTAAATGAGCCATATTTGACATATATCACGCAATGGAGATATTACCTTGTTTTGAAGGTCATCCCACCAATTGGGCCATGTCTTTTCGACACAGCGTTTCTCCTCGAGGATGGTTCCCGCGGCGACCACACCCAGGACACTGAAGGCCATAGCCACACGATGATCATCGTAACAATGCACGCTAATACCTGTCTTCAATTCTGGGATCGCTTTGCCGTAAATCTCGAGACCATCATCTAGCTCCTTGGTCTCCACACCAAACTTTGCTAGATTGTCGGTTGAACATCAGAAGAAGTGAATAGAGAATGTTTTTGTCACCAACCTAGCTCGTCAATCATAGCTCTGATGCGGTTGCATTCCTTCACCCTCTGGTTTGCGATACCGATGATCCGCGTCGTCGTTGGCCTCGAGCCGTCTGTGAGCTCACGTCCCTTTTCGGGTGGCATGGTAGCGACAGCAGCCACAACAGACGCAGTCAAGAAAGCGTCCGTCATCGGCTCCATATCGACAAGACCGAGTGCCCTCAGTTTCCCGATCGGCGGCCCAATCACAGTGGTTTCCGTCTCCGTCTGCACAACCTGGCAGCCCATCGGCTCGAGCACCTCTTTCGCAAATCGCGCATCGCCCTGCAACGACGCAGAACCGATGTTCATAATCATGCACGTCGTGCCGGTGATAGCGGCGATAGCAAGGGGGTAGGTCGCACTGCTCGCATCGCTCTCGATGTTGTACTCCGGCGGGTTCTTATACACTGCCTTCGGGATGCGGTAGACGTCACGTGGCTTGCCCGTCGCCTCGTCCACCGCGCGCACGACGTCGACGCCGAACGATTTCATCATCGCGATCGTCATGTCGATGTAAGGCTGCGAGATGACCTGGCCTCCGACGAGCTCCAGCGTGACCGGCTCTTTGGCGTACGGTGCGCAAAGGAGGATGGACGAGACATATTGGCTCGAGACATTCGCTGCGAGGCGGATGTGTTCGCCCTTGAGGCCTGCCGGGGCAACTGAGAGCGGAAGGCAACCCTGCGACTCGAGGTAGCTGATGTCGCTGCCATTGGCGCGCAGCGCGTCTACGAGAGGACCAATCGGGCGCTGCTTCATGCGCGCGTTTCCTGTTATCACCGTCCTCTCTCCGAGCTCGGATGCCTTAGCGAGCGTGCAGACCGTGGCGAGGAAGCGCGCTGCGGTTCCCGCATTCCCGAGGTAGATCTCCTTTCCCCTGGCGGGAATGGACAGGGAGCCTTCACCGCCTTTGACAACCAACGTCTCGCCGGCATCCTCCCAAGAGAAGCTCGCTCCTTTGAGCTCCACAAGCGCATTCATCATGACCTGCGTGTCATCAGAGTATAACAGGTTCTTCAGCCTACACGTCCCCTCACCCAGGGCCGCAAGAAGCAGCGCGCGGTTCGAGATACTTTTCGAACCCGGGGTCGACATGCGGATGGGGCTTTTTGCGGGTAAACCAGGCACGATCTTGACAGCCTCCGACAGGGTCTTCTCGATAACGCCATCTGCCACGTTCGTCGCCTTTTGCTCAAACGTAGCCCCGATCCTTGAGAGGATTACGATTTTCTTCTGTGGGCCGCTATTCTTTTTGTCTACCTTCATGATGTCCAGCAGCTTCTCCACGGTGAGTCCACGCGCCGCGGGAAGGTTCGCGATGCGCGGATCCGAGAGCGACACGGGAAGGTTGTACGCCTTGAGGCAGCGCGTGAGGCGACCGACGGCGATCTGGTTAAGCACGCCGAGCTGCCGTGCAACCTCAGCTTCCAATATCATGCCGATACTCACGCACTCTCCATGTAGGATCGTTGGCGTTAGTATGGCTTCGATTGCATGCCCAATGGTGTGTCCAAAGTTGACGAGGTTCCTTAGGCCAGTTTCGCGCTCGTCGATGGTGACGATGTGGGCCTTCACGGAGATAGAGCCGACGATAACAGAGAGAAGCAGCTCTTGCGCAGCTGAACGCGTCGCACGAGTGCGCCCTGAATGATCCTTCGATGGCGTCTGAATAGCTGCAAATATCTCAGCGGAGCGAGATTCAAGTGCGGCGAACTCATTTTCGTTCCAGATGGCTGCAGTCTGCCTGAATAGTGAGCATTACGTCACTCTCTTAAAACGATCTGCACACCTTGACTACCTCTGCCATGCCATTTGAGAACTCGCGAGCGGGCAGCGTCTCGAGGAATGCCGCGTCTATAAAAATGTACTCCGGCTGCCAGAAAGCGCCGATGAGGTTCTTGCCGTGGGTGGTGTCAATAGCAACTTTGCCGCCCACGCTCGAGTCCACCATCGCGAGCAACGTTGTCGGAATTTGCACAAAACGCACGCCACGCATGCTACGAAACGAATAAAATTCAAACAAAACATTCGACAGACAAGGCACTTACAAGGTTGCAGCGACGAAGCCGACAAGGTCGCCAATGACGCCTCCTCCGAGTGCAAGGATGACCGTGTCGCGCGTACACTTGCTCATAAGGAGATAATCCTCGATTTCAGCCTTCGCCTCGCGACTCTTGCTCGTCTCGCCAGGCGGAACGACATAACTCAGGAAGCGTGCCTGTGATGACACCTTTCGCTCGTCGAAGGCGACCTGGAATGCGGGAAGGTGCAGGTCGGCTACATGGGTGTCGGTGACTAGGACATAGGTAGGTGACGGGAGAGTCGTGAGAATGGTCTCGACGATGTACGATACAAGGTGGAACCCGCAATGGATGGACTCTTTCCCGAGGATGGAGACCTTTTGCACCTCTGCGAGAGACATTGTGAAGATGGGGTGTAAACTCTGTGCTTCCGCTTTTAAACTGTGTGCTTCTGCTTTTGAGCGCGATTCCACGCCAGATTAATAGACCGGCGTCAACTAGTTGCGGATAATGATGACCCCCAAAGGGTGGCAGATGAGGTGCTCCGATTGTTCGGGATGTCTGAATTGCACCGCCCGACAAGTTTCCCTCGACAGACCAGACAGACGCTGTTTATAAAACTCGCCTATGAACAGCAGTTATCTACGAGAGGCGCCGCGCTCTACATCGAGCCAGGTGGGAAGCTCACGTTAGTTTGTGCACATCGTTGAGAACTTCCCAGAACTCAGAACTCACTCGAATCTAGGTTTTTACGCGACCTTTAGCGGGAAGATGCGGATATGTCTCCCTGAAGGACTCGGAGATGGCAAAATGGAGAGATGAGGACAACCCGCAAGTGGCGGACAGAATGAATCGTCGACGATTTCGACTCATTGCAGATTACGGTATCACGTGATACGCGACGATCCATACTAAGTCGCGCTCTGTCGCGTCGCGTCCCGAAGTGCGTTGAAACGTAAGTCGGACTCGAGCATAGTCAATATTACAAGTCCACCTAGTACATCGGTGTGCATGGTCGGAGTGACAAAGAACACCCCAATTTGATAGTGTCCTCTACGCCAATAAATCTTCGGTCGACCTGTAAGGGCCTTAGATATCTGGTTGCCGATGGCATACTTGGGAGCACTTCACACAACAAGAACCCATGTTGAGAGAGAAAGGCAGTAAGTCACGGTGGCTGGAGCCAGATAGAAGAACCAGTTTTCAAAATTTCAATGCTCATTCCACCCCACGACCCTGGCTAAGTTGCCGGGTCTGTGGTACCTTGTACCCCTCTTCCTCCACCTCTACTAGATGTAGTCCTGCGCTGCACCATGTATTTAGCCACATTTCGACCACCTTCGGCGGTATATAAATTGTTAAAAAGATTTGCTCATTCCATGCATTTGTCTGATACAAACCGTTGAACACTGCCACCGGTGCTATCGATGTGAAGATCCTCAAGTCATGAGTATTGACATGGAAATGTCCAACCTAACCTTTCAACGCTTCAATGTACACCAGTTGTATGCGAATTGCACGCAGCTCACTGTGCATTGCCTCGAATAATTGAAAAGTTACCAACTGCTTGAATCACACTGGGTCGGAAGATCAAGAAGAACGATTCCACATGATGAACTCGATCTAGGCAACGAAGGTAATTATCATTTCCTCGATTGTGCCTATTACAGTTTAGTGTACAAACACTGCTAACGGGTCGTGCGGCCTTCAGGCCTTGCGGGGCATAAAGTCACTGCTCACCTCCGTGGACCTCCGTGAGACTTCACCTTGAACCAATGCGGACCATCTCGTCTACCGCAATGACAGATGACATGGAACCACCGCCCTCTCAAGACGCTAGCACAGCGTTATTCCGTTCGCGACGGATAGTCAGTGCCCTGGAAGTAGAACAATCCGACGTGGCGCCTAGGAGCACGCGGTCAGTCTCGGATGCCCGTCGCGAGAGCTCCGAGGTTCGAGGAGAACAGAGCAGTCAGAGACAACACTTGTAGGTTGTCCAAGCGCCAATATATAGAACGAGGAGCACGACGTTTCTGCAGCGAAGTCGATCAGAGAACTCCTCTGAGGTCTTGCAGAAAAGAAATCTCGACACAGCCGGAAAAAAGGGGGAGATGAACGCGTCAATGACTCCCTTGAGGTCAATGAACACTTACATTCTGCTCTAAATCCGCTCGACGTCGGAGATAGTGAGACGTGTCAGAGCTGTCTTCGAGCAAAACACCGCGAGATGTCGGAACGGAACGTCCTGCATCGTGCAGATCGACATTCGGCGCCTGACGCCGCACCAGCACGTCACTGCGCGCCCCGCCTGCTCCTTTAACTCATACTCTACCTTCCCGCTACTTATACCCTCCTCGACGCTGGGGGACGTCGCCGTCGCTCAGCCTAATCATGCAAGTCTCGCGTGGTAAGCGTTCCAATAAATGAGCTGATGTGGGAGCGGTGCAACTGAGAACGAATCGGTTCCAGCTCGCTTTGTCGTCGGAAGAAGCCTGGTCAAGTCTCGGCCGACGGTCCTCACGACCCAAACCCGACTGCTATTCATAAGACGGCCCGCATCGACAGAGTCCGCACCGATTGTATGTCCGAATACCGAGACTTTATGATGGCCAGCCTGATATTCTAATCTCCCTTCTAATGTGGCGAAGGCTCCGCCCCCTCCACTTTTCAAGCGCGCGTGGAATCGCTTCCTTCAGATCACCGGCACCGTCACGCTCTTGAGCGTTGGCACGACATGTCTCTTCTACTACTTTGCGCAGCGGGACAAGCTGCCGGGACACCAGCTCCCTCATGACCCAGAGAAAAAGACACTCGTCATCTTGGGGAGCGGTTGGGGCGCGACTAGTGTGCTTAAGACGCTTGAGACGGACGATTACAATGTGGTACGTAAGGCCCAACTATATTAAGCTGGAATCGCACATCTGACCAACCTTCGCAGATCGTCATCAGCCCGAAGAATTATTTCTTGTTCACTCCGCTCTTGCCGAGCGTTGCGGTGGGAACATTGAACCCACGGTCCATCATTCAGCGTGCGTATACTCTCTCTAGATGTCATTTTCACAAGCTCGTCCGTGACACGTTTCTCGAACAATGACGCGGGCGGCACGTTGTGATTCGCAGGCCGTTGGCGGCTGCACGATCCGCATACATCCATATCACCCTTTCCCTGTACGACACCCCTACCCATGCAGAACAGCCTAAGAATGTAATTTTGCTCACGGGGTATTTTCTGCGAGTGAAGCACGCCAGCGACTCCTGTGGATGCTCAAACCTCCCCCGCATTCAGAATACTAACATGACATACAGCGACACGTTACGTCACACGACACAAAAAACGACAGGTTGCCGTGATCGAGGCATCTGCTACGGAAGTTGATGTGCGTGAAAGAGTTCTGCCTTCACGATCTTCGAAGCTAATCCTGCATTGATCCCCAGCCCATTGCGAAGACGGTCAAATTCGAAGGTATGCGTGCTCTTCTGCCAGAGAGAAAACAGCACATTTAGCATCGAACTGTCTGTAGATACCTCGGAGATCCAAGGACTCGTCTCGAATACGACTATCAGCTATGACTACCTGGTCTTTGCTGTCGGCGCGGAAGTGCAGACCTTCAATATCCCTGGTGTCCGAGAACATGCTTGCTTCATGAAGGAACTGGAGGACGCAGAGAAGGTGAGTCTTTGTATAACTGGTGGGTAATTCAACTAATATTTGCATACGCAAGATGCAACGTCACTTCCTGGACTGTGAGCGGAAAGTTGATGGATGTGTGAAGTGTTATCTGACGGCTTACTAGGCTTAGAGTCGGCCGCTTTCCCAGGCCAATCACAAGAAGAAATTAACCGGCTACTTCACATGGTCGTAGTCGGTGGTGGTCCTACTGGTATTGAAGTCAGGTGCGACAACGCACTTATATGTCTTCAACCCATCATTCATACTGACTTCCTGTCCAGCGGTGAGATCCACGACTTCCTCGAGGTCCGTTCCTACCCGACGGATGTCGCTGTGCATACTCATTATAGTTACAGGAAGATCTCCGGTCATGGTATCCCGAGCTCGCGAACAGCGTGCACATCACGCTCGTCGAGGCGCTGCCTTCCGTGCTCCCCATGTTCAGCAAGCAGCTGATCGAGTATACCGAGTCGACGTTCAAGGAGCAAAATATTGACATCCTGACCAAGACTATGGTGAAGGAAATCAAGGAGAAGAGTGTTGTTCTCCAAAAGCCAGACAAGACCATTGTCGAGATCCCGTGCGGGCTTGTCATCTGGGCTGCAGTGAGTGCCTGTTGCTTCCCGTGCACATATTCTGCGCCTATACTTAATCGGCAACCCGGTCGCCATTGACAGGGCAACAAGCTGCGCAAAGTCACACAGGACCTGATGGGCAAGCTCCCGCAGTACCAGACGAACAGGCGCGGTATCACAGTCGATGGTGCGTCTATTTTTGGCTGTACCCTGTCCGCAGTAAACTGACAAGTCGGTGTAGATCATCTCCGTATGGTTGGTACTGATGGGAGCATATTTGCGGTCGGCGACTGCGCCGCGACATCGTACGCCGCTACGGCCCAGGTCGCGTCGCAACAGGGCTCGTATCTCGCACGTATCCTTGTGCAAATTGCGAAGAAGGACGCGCTCGAGGCGCAATTGCATGCTTTGGAGAGTGCGCCGGTGACGGAGGAAAGGGAGGCGGAGAAACACAACATCGAAAAGCAGCTCAAGAAGGTGGAAAATCTCCGGCCTTTCAAGTATTCTCATCAGGGCTCGCTGGCGTGAGTGTTCCGCGGGTTTCTCGGATGTCTGCACACCCGAGCTAATCCTCCTGCAGATACATCGGCTCGGACAAGGCCATTGCGGACTTTCCGTTCTTCAATGGCAACGTGAGTGATCTTCCTGTAAACCCGACGTTATTCGACTCACTGTATGCTGCTGTTAGCTGGCGACAGGGGGTGTAGCCACGGTACGTTGATCACATCCTGTTGCTTTGCTGTAGCTGATCCGGTACTCTAGTACCTCTTCTGGCGCAGCGCGTACATAAGCACGCTCTTTTCGCTGAGGAATCGCACGCTTGTCGCGACAGACTGGATCAAGGTTAAGCTCTTCGGACGGTGAGTTGCGTGTCGCGTGGCTGCTTGCTTTTGCTGATGCCGTCTATACAGTGATGTGAGCCGAGAGTGATCTTTCGTTTTATGCGATGGGTTAGGGCATCGCGCTCATATTAAAAGGCGCGTGAACGATGACCATTAGACTATTTACGACTCGACTAGTTATTGCAAAGAAACTTGGCTAGCATGTGGGATCCGGTCACATACGGTAATTAATGTCACCCCAAACGACGCGATGCGTCGCGCGGGCGTGGGTATATGTCGTATCATAGATGTTTAAGCACATTGAGAGGATGTAGGCTATAAACCAACACGGAACCACAAGGCAGTGTCGGACGTTTCGAGTCTGCGTCGCAACTCATCCGAAGGCCTTGCGAGCGAGCGCACTTCGGTATCTGAGCGCTGGCCTCGCCAGCCCACTGAAACGTGATAGACGCAGCCAGTAGACTGCGCGATATGCCATCGGGCAAGCGCAAGGAGAGGGAGAGAAGAGGGGATCAAGCTGGTCATCATCATTTCTTTACGTTTGCATCCGCAGATGGCTGCTCGTCCAAGACAACAATCCTGGGGCGCGAATGGTTCTGCCGCTTCGGGAGTGGCTTCAGCGGTCTTCTAAGGGGCACCGGGTCGTGCATGTCTACATCAGACTTAGCTTCATCCTCCGAGCTGGAGTCTGAGCTTGAGTCAGAATCCGAGCTTGACGATGAGGAGCTGCTCGAGTCCGAGTCCGAGTCTGAGCTAGCGCTGGATTCAGATGATATCGAGGAGGACGATGAGTGCGACTCTTGCAGTTCGGCATCGAAGGTCTGTCCCGGTACTGGCTCTCCGCGTTGTTCGAAGACGCCTAGCCCCAGATTCTACGTCATGCATTGATTAAGATGACTATATGCGGGCTTAGCAACGAATCTGGCACGCACCATCTCGATGTACCGCTCATCGTTCTCGACGTTTTCGATATCGACGCTGTTAGGGTCCTCTTGCGCTCGACGGAGAAGCTCTGCATTCGATGCGGCTAGCTGGGGGAGAAACGACTGGACCCGAGATAGGACTGGGGATATTCAGCGAAGATAGAGTCTGTGTGCAGGAGTGTGTCACTCACGATCAGAGGGAGGTGGCATTTCGAACGGCGTGTCCTCGCCGAGCCTTGGTAATCTTAGGTCACTGGCGAAGGTGCTCCTTGCGCCGGATGAGGAGTTCAGGCGCATCAGCAGTTCATCTGCTTCGATTAGCAACTGCTTCGCAACAGTGTCGTAAAACGCGCTCACGCATCCGATCCTGTCTTTTCTCCTCATCCTCGATTTCGAGCGTTTGCCCCGTAGTTTGCTTCTCCTTCCCGTTATTTCCGATTACTCCTTGATTGCTCATCTTACCCTCCAGGAAAAGGGTGTTTCTGAAGGTAAGGGCTGAGATTGGTGTTAAGGAATGGGCGTTCAGCCCAATCGAAATCTCACAGGCATCGCATTGGGACCGCCACGTGACCAGATGACACGAGGCGCGTGATGGAACGCGTTTCCGTGACCGCGACGCGACCCGCTGGGCAGCTGAAGCTCAATTTGCTATGCCATCGACTCGCATTCGAACTACCTTTAAACGCATGTTGGACTCCTATATGCAAATGTCATCGACCGTGTCAATATTTAAGTACAGTGCCAGGCGCGTAAATGAGCAAAAAGCCATGCAGGCGCTGCGCATTTGGCTTCTTCAAGCTCATACGCCGATCTCTTTGATCCCCCTCAGGTGGCTGTGTAGGAAGAGAGAAATAAGGAATGACTTTCGACCCGAATACGTTTTTGAGTGACCTTGATTCTGAACAATTCTAACGCCAAGGGTTGGCTGATATCTAGCTATAGTGGCTCTGCCACATGATCGAAGTGACGTACCACCTATTCCTCTACTATTCCTCTACGTTCCAACGTGCATGCCAAAGTTCTATGCATTTCTGTACAAAATTGCCTGAAGTTCTCTAGCCCTGAGCGCTATGCAGAATAGACTCACACGTGCTCATTTCGAGTAGTCTGCTTCCTTCTGTAGAGAACTTTCGCTGATACAGCTGGATGGCAATGCTACTGCGCATCTTGTACTTATACCGTTGCGTACGGAGCGGTGTCTCTTCTGCGAATAAGTCGCGCCACCAACAATGGAAACGGTGAGTTCGGCTGCCATGACCTGGATATCTCACATACTGAATGCCGGCAATAATGATGTCGCGATAGCTATCACAGCGAATTCTATTGCATTCCTTTCCATTCGGCACCTGTTCGCCTTCAACCCTCTTCCTTCCGGGCACGTTTAAGTCGGCAGCGAGTCATCTCCGCTACTAGTAGCGGCCCGTAGGACCGTGTATGCGGTAAGTACCACTATGTGTATGTTGACGCTGCTGGATACTGGCACAAGGCGCGACAGAGAACTGGCAGATGAGCTGCGACCATTTGTCGGCACAAGGGCCCCACCATTGGTGTATCCCCTGAGGACCTGAATATTGAATGCTCATGGTCAATTATCACCGCAATTCGGCATGCTGAGGCCTTCTGGCTCAACTGACCAACGAGGCAGCTTATACTCATATTGATGGCCAATCGCAAGACGACCCGCGCAGTCCACCGTTGTGCCGCAACATACTTACAGTCTAGAACATCGCCGCAGAGCGAGTTGTATTGCAAACGGGGCGTCACCACCCCCAAATCAAGTAGTATGTTTATGTTATGTTTCATCAACTCAACAGAGAGATCCAAGTTCTCCTTGACAACCGCAGCTAAGGAGCGGTTCTGTACGCCCTCGCTTAGCCTTCATGCGTTGTGCGGATTTCCGCATCCAGCTCGCGATGCGACAGAGCCGCCGCTTGCATTCGCGAGCTCATCACAGGCTGAGTCGCGCGGGGCACGCCGAGCGCTTGAGCCCAGGAACCACACCAACTGGACGCACGTGGCTCGTTCCCACCCTGAAACGGCGGTCGATCTGCGAAACGCCCTGAGCTGAGCGCCGGGCATAAAAGACAGGCACATCCACTGCAGCCCGGTTGTCCTTGTCACTCTCGGTCCCTCCTCTCTTCCCGTCCACTGTTCAGGCCGACGTCCATCCGGCCGTGTCTTTCTTTTTACCCCACTCTCCCTGTACCCGACATTCGTTAGACCGCGACTAGACAACATAAACTAGAACAAAATGAAGTTCTCCGCTGCAATCGTTTCTTTCGCCCTTCTCCTGGCCGGCTCGGTGCAGGCCGCGCATATATCCAACCTCAAGCAGCTCAAGGAGGTGCATCAGCGCCGCGGTGCGAACGTCCGCCGCTCTGGCGTGTCTGCGACGTACTCTGCGACCACGACGGCTTCGGTGACAGCCAGCGCGACGTGAGTGCTAATTGATAGCGCCTGTTACCAGGGCTGCGCAATTGACGCGAACCCGCACGTACAGTGCCAGTAGCTCGGCTCCTTCATCCACGAGCACCTCTAGCGGCAGCTCCGCGTTCTCGAGTGGCATCAAGCGTGGTCTCTCGTTCAACGACGCTTCCTTGACCAACGCATTTACATCGAGCCAAGCGAGTTGGGCGTATAACTGGGGCTCGTCCTACTCCGGCTCTCTGCCGGACGGCGTGGCGTACATTCCTATGCTATGGAGCGACGCGTCGGAGTACACTGACTCCTGGGAGGATAACGCAAACACTGCCATCGCTAATGGCGCGACCTACCTCCTCGCGTGAGTCTTTCTTCCCGCTGCACGTGCGTACTGGCATTAATCCTTTGCAATACAGCTTCAACGAGCCCGATCTCGACTCGCAGGCAAACATGACCCCCGAGGCCGCGGCGGCCGCATGGAAGACGTACATGGAGCCGTTCGCAGGCAAGGCGAAACTCGTGTCCCCCGCTGTCACCAACGGTGCCTCCCCCATGGGTGAGGCGTGGCTCGAATGGTTCATCGGCAATTGCACGGACTGCACGATCGACGCCGTCGCGATGCACATCTACGACTCGGCATCGAACGAAGCGTATTATCAGGAGTACACCTCCGGCTTTGTCGATAAGTTCGACAAGCCCGTGTGGATTACCGAGGTACGCGTCTCTCACGCTATGTATGCTTTTATAGGAACAAAATTGATCGTGCAACCATTCGCAGTTCGGTGTCGACGACGGGTCGACCTCGCAGCAGGAGAGCTTCCTCAGCAGCATGGTCTCGTACCTTGACAACCTCGACGGCGTCGAGACATACTCCTGGTTCATGGTCGAGTCCGGCAACCTCGTCAACAGCGATGTCACTCTCACCTCGCTCGGAACCACCTATATCAGCTGAGCGAGTGCGCTCGTAAGAAAACGCACACTCATACTTTAACTATCCTTATCCTTCTCTCCCTCTCTATCGGACTCTGATCATCTGGTGCCCCCGCGGAGGGCATCTTTTCGTGTTTCACTTCGCTTTCGCTGCTGAAATTGATGTTCAGTGCTTCTGCTCGAGGTCCCGGTTGATCCAGGTAGAGTTGCTCGAGCGTGTTTGTGCTTCGTGTCTTAAGCTATGGTATTGACGTCGGTGCCTGTTGTGCTTGTATGCCATAGGCGACTGCTAGATTAAATAGATATTGTAGCTTAACCTATGCCGTATATTGTTTGTCTCGTTGCAAGCAATTCATTTGAGTGCCATCAGCAGGGTGCCGCTTCAGCACCACATGGAGCCAGCTCGCCCTGCGCGCCAACGTAGAACCTAGTGTACATGACAGCATGATGATCAATGAACGAGTGGAGGCCGCGGAATGATGGTCTACGATGAAACAAAGCATGCGGACCTGCTTTCCCATTTCAGTTGAGTCTATGATCCGATCAGCCACGTAGATCAGCCTGGACTGAAGCCGTTACCGGTTTACACAGCCAGCAAAGGGTCCAGAATATGCCATGCGATCAAACATGTCCATCACAAGAATCGCCTCGCACTCACAGCCTGATGTTCTCTGTCACCTGTAGCAGTGATGAGTGATCATTCGCGTGTAGGGGTATACCGTATATGGGTCGTAATACATCTGCTCCCCTCTGCATCCATCAGCCTCGACACAACTCGGCCGTGCTTCCATCATATTGCGTGCCTCTGGTCGTCAAGTAGGGCGGCGCAGACGGCTACTGGCTGAGAATTGTGCGCACGAACGATTCATAGTTCACGTTGCCATCGCTGGAAAGCAGTACGTCAAGTTATCAGGCAAGTCAGCGCGAGGGTCGTGAACGACGTTCAGGCGGTACCACTCACGGGCCAATAGGCACGCCCTTCAGAAGCTCGTCCACTTCTTCGTCTGTCATCTTCTCGCCGAGCTGTGTGAGGACATATCGGAGCTCGCCAGCTCCAATAAAGCCGTTGCCTTCCTTGTCGAACACCTGGAAGCCGCGGATGAACTCCTCTGTGATGCACAACGCGAATGACATGACCGGGATTGCGTGGCACAGTAACGGTCTCAATGTTGGGATCGGTAGTATGGAACGCGTGACTGGCACGCACCAGGTGTTCCTGCAGGCTTGAAACCGTCCGGTCGGTTCAAGATCGTGAGGAAGGTCTTGTAGTCGACTGCATGCCCATCCACATCATTCGCACACGGCAACCACACATACACCCAGTATTTCCGCACCACGAGCACGCGAAGTAAGACGCACAGCACGGTCAGCACGCACCCAAACCCTCTGCAACACGCCAGAAACGCACCTTCCCGTGGTGCCGATGCAATAATGTCCGCCACTTCCGCCTGCGTAGGGTTCTGGCCAAGCGCACGCAACAAGTCACCCAGAACTTCTCGCTGCACAGCGCCCGTGCCTTTCTTGTCGAAGAGCGCGAAGGCTTCCTTGTATTCTGCCCCGCCGACGGAGATCTGAGCACCTTTCCCGGAAATGCACTAGCGCGAGGTTACTGCGCACCTGCGTTGTCACTCTGAGCAAGTCAGCACATAATAGGACTTGTGAGTGTTACGAAACGCTCACCATGATATAGATAGAGAAGGATGGAGGGGAAGAAGGCGTATAGACAGTGCAGGGGCCGACGACAAGCGTGGCAGATGCCAGATATCAGCCACAATATAATGGGCGTCAAAGCTATTGCCTTCCGATCCTAATCAGAGCAAATAAACGAGCCACCAGCGCTCAGCAGCCCTGTACTACGCAGCAAATGTTCCTGATATGTTTATTCCAGGACTTTCCAATTAGGCCTCTGCTCCCTTCTCACTGAAGTATGCTTTTCCAGTTCCACCTTCACATTTTGCGCATCAGGATCATCACGTCGTGTCAGAAATATTTGCCGACGAAGTTGGGTAGAGTATTATGAGGTATTATGTCCCTTCGCCCTGATGATCCGAACAGCTTTCATGTACTTTGGATGAGTCTCTTGATATCTGACTTGCATATGAGGGTCTCGACCAGCTCCTTCGCTTGTTCAGCGCGTTCTCGCTGCTATGCAAAATTGCGGCTTCTATTGTGCTGCCAATCAACATAACAATACTCTCCTGTAAGATCATCTAATCTGTCATGAACAGCTTCAATACGAATGTCTCAGGTTAGTAGAGCTTGAGCGCCTCTAGATATAGTAGAACTTGCCGCTAATGGGTGAAACTCATCACCCTGATAATTTATTCTTGACAGAACCAGGGAATTCCTTATTGATGCGCTCGGATCTAGGTGTCACTTGAGTTCCTCGATTGAGCTTGTTCAAGTATCCTTTGCCGGATCATGGATCATGATGGTGATGCGGTGAGCATCAGATAGAAAGATGGGACTGTTTGTTGGATCCTCGAACTTTCTTCTGGGTAAAGTTGAATCGCTGTGACATCGCAGGCTGGTATGTCAGCTCTCTTCTATAGCCCTCGCTCGCTACTGAGTTGCGATAGGAGGAATATGTCAGGATGCCTTAATTCGACTGCTCCTTCAGTAAGTTTAAGAACGGTGCTCGTATAGGAATCGACATCATGACACATAGAAGCATCCCTCTTGATTTCATACAAGCCGTGTGCTGTGAGATGCGCTCGTTCAGACCACGCTCATGCCGCTTTGGGGGCCCTATCCTACCGACGATCAGCCGCCTGAGCCTCCGCTCTACCTGCGCACCCCTGTGTTCCTTTATTTTAACGTCTCCCATAGGAAGCGTGTCGTTGCGTATCTTTATTGCTTGAGCCTGCACATTGCATCGATGTCTCCTTCTTGCAGATCGATGATGCTCTAGCCTTCTCGCTTATTTCAATCCTTGTAGCCCTAGCGGATGTAATTGGTCCATTTATGGACATCTGCTTATATCTTTCTATCAGTGCATACTGGCGCAATCTGAGAGGTTACTTCAATGAATCCACCCGAAAACGGTACTTATCATTTTGTTGTCTTGCAGGCACCATCCGCAAATCTACCATGCCTCAGAACTTGATTGAATTAGTTGATTGTTCCTGATACAAGATGCCGCCGCCTTCCGGACGCTGGAAACTCCTGCCGATCTTGCTCGGCCTTCTCTTCAATCATGATACTGATGTGCGTATCAATTGTTAAGACAGGATTCTCCGTCAAGGCCGACATAATCCATTCCCCGCAATCTGCCAACATAAGCCTATAAAGCGCACTTCTTAGGCTCAGCGAGAGACCCCCTCACGGCAACCACAGACACACCGCTCCACTCACCACATTCATGATAAATGACTGGTCCGAATCTCCACCTTGATGACACTCTCGGATGTCTTCTTGTTGGCGTATTGCTCTCAGCTGTGTACGTGCATAATTTGATTACGATTGAGCATAGTTAATTAGTCAATATAGGCTATATGGTTGTGTCTGCTCTCAAGGCATCTTCTATCTCTGGAACTACAACAAGGACAAGATTCCCATAAAATGTTTCGTAAGTCATCATGGCTACTGTGGAATTTTCGCTGATGATTCGCCGCCCTCGCCCATGTACCATGATATCTACAGGTCGCAATCTTGTGGTCAGCATGCACTAACTGATATTGCAACTCACTTAGCTCAGCTTGCATCAGTCTGCTGGACACTGCGGAGAATATGATAAGCTGTCAAGTGACGCTAGTCTGCAGTCAGTTTGTGAGATTTGTTATTGATGTCATAAGCAGAGTATCTGGTATTATTTTGTGCAAAATCGCGGAGATGTTATCGAGCTCATGAGCCTTGTTCCGTGAGTAGTCATGCAGATGCATATTCATCATATGTAACTCATATGTGGCAATCTTACATACGACCAACAGCACTTTTGGAGTACGTCTCATTATCCCATACTTCTTCTTACCATCTGCTAAATTGGTTCATCAGGCGTGGCAGCTTGTTCTCGTAGGCGGCGCCTTGTTATCGCGTCAGCATATTTTTGACATTTGAAGCCAGTCCACAACAGAATTGGCCGTGCACTGGTGAACTAGCTGATCCTTAGTTGACGGATGTCAATGCTAATGTCGCGCAATTATAGCTTCTTCATAGTCAACATCTGGCGACGTAAGAGTTCGCTTATATGGTATGGTAGTGGTCACAAACTTTGGCATAGTCATGAACGACACGTGGGCTCGAATCCCATTGACAATGGCTGCGGTATGCGTTTTCGTTCGCGAATGACAGTGTAGCATTGACTTACGACGGGGCTTCATAGGTTACTCTCTGTCTTGCATCATTCCGTACGTATTCTCGGACTGTGCTGTATCCATACGTCGTTTTGAAAGCCGCCGTTTCGCAGTCAGCGGGATATGTCAGTGTCCAATCCTCGCAGTAAATTCCGTGAACTAATTGTTGCACATATCTGATACAAGCAGTGATGGTCCGAAAAGTGTACGCCTACTCTTAACTGGCGAAACAACCAAAGCACTCACGCTGCGACTTCCTGCTTTTAGGTGGAACATGCACTACATAGTAGAGTTGGAGACAGAAGTCAAGGTATTCGTCTACACACAGCGTGCTAAGCCCCTTGCTTCCCTCTTCATTCAGGTCATCACTTTTGTGTGCATGTCAAGCACACTCGCTATGGATACGCTTATCTCAGTGAGCCTCGCATACATACTACACAGGAGCCGCACTGGCTTTAGGCGGTAAGTCGATCAAGGAGAGTTGAAGTCATGAATGAGCCTGACTACCATCCCGCGCAGCACCGAATCCATAATCACCAAGCTCGTTGTTTATTCAGCCAACCGTGGCGTTATCATTTTGTGAGCATTCCTTGGCCATGCGTTGTGTGCTGCGCATTGAGCTAGTCTTAGTGTTGTACAGTTGTTCGTCCTTGTGACGGTACGATTGCTTTCTCGTCGAACTGGAAATCGTGTCGCCTCATGCTTTTTCAGTATTTAAAAGGTGTGCAGGACAATCGTTTGGTAGTCATGGTGTTGTACATGCCCCTGGGGGATGGTATGTCTGACATCACCATTACTGTGTGACATGCCGCCTCGCTTACGATTTTCGCAGTCTATATCAACACCTCACTCGCTATGTTCGTGTCCGAGATCATTTGTTCCAGAGCCTAGCCTGCGATGTTGAACAATTTATTCCAGATTGAATGCACGCAACCACGTCACAGCGAGCAGCTATGCTTTATCTGAGATCGGCTGCTCAATCGAGATGTCGACAGAAGAAGATCAGGGTGCCGCGTTCGTCTTTCGCAGGTATGTCACGCCGGTTGCTGTGATGGGATATAATCTTTGGACGTTGATCATCTGCACGACTGTTTATAGAGGTTCTGAGCAGTTCCCTGAAGATCCTAGGACGAATATCAGATAGATTCGAAGATATCAAGCAGCTTAGCAAGTTTTTCGCGCTTGGTGAACGAGTCACGGGATTATACGTGTATGGAAGCATGCTTACTACACTGGCAAAGAACTTGACTGCTAATCCAGGTATAAATTTTCACGTAGAGACCTGCTGGTATCGATTTGTAATATGTATACTACAGTGGGTATCATCAACAAGAAGGGTGATATCGTTGTCTGCGCGGTTTGCCAGCCACTCAAGATTACGCGTGGCCGTCATTCTCATATCTGTCCTGCTGAGTCAATAGCGTCGGGATCCTCCCTCCAGAGAGTCTCCCACAGCTGGATCACACTGCCAATTAGGAACGCCCATGAGCCCCAAAACGTGGACAGAACGCTTTGATAGTTGGCCTGAAATAAGGAACAGTTGATATAATTAAAGCACTGAACGATGTATTATGCTCACCTTCGACGAAGTCGCCGACGCATAGCCGAGCGCACCGCACAGCGCGAAGCCCACTGCACCGATAAGGTTCCACACACCGATGTGCCTTCAAAAATCCGGTTAGGCCTCGTTTCTGGTCCTAATACCTCAAAGAGGAACATACCAGCCGAGACTGTCGAGCTTCGGACGCCACCACGCGTGTTGCACCTCCAACATGAGCAGCAACGAGGAGATGAAGAACCCCATCCCTCCAACGACCTGCGGTGTCCAGAAGAATATGTCCGTGATCGCAACGGGAGGTTGGGTATCGAGGTTGGGTATTATGCCGGGTATGCCGCTACTGTAAAGCGACAGTGGGATCAGTACCAACTAGGCTGGAAAAGAGGAGGGAACAGAGGCACCAACGCACATTGTCGATATCCAAAAAATTGTAGCTGCACAGAATTGTATCGCAGACGCAAGGTATCCGAGCTCACGCCACGATGCGGTTCCACTGCGACATCAACGACAAATGCACCGTTCAGCCATATCGCATTTCTCTCGTGAGCCAATCAATCACTCACATCCATCTGAAGCGTCTCCAATCGCCTCTAACTCCCTTCTTCGGCCTCGCAGCCCTTTCCGACCCATACTTGGATTCCATGTCATCCTCCGCCTCCTCAACGAGCCCCCACAGTGCCGGCCCAAATAGCTCTTCGTGCCCCGTGTTGAGCGCCTCGACGACCATCAGATAGCTCCCGAGCTCGAACGCGGTCCCACCTGCGAAAGCGATCCACGATGCCGCCACAGAATACGAAGGGGAGGGGGATGGAAGAAGCGGGAGGTAGAGGAGAAAACCATTTATCACCTGGCTTGTGCGAAAACGAATGTTAGCGTCAATCGTATAATACACGTCGGGAAAAAGCTCGATCGATGGTACTGGAACGGAGATCGTTTCGCGAACCATGTGCGAGCATGCGTCATGATCAACATGCTGATCAAGAAGCGGAAGATGCAGTAGCCGTGTAACCCAATATAGAGATCGATGGAGACGAAAATATCGTGGCTATCAAGGTGGCGAAGGTGGACTTCGTGCACTTTCACGAGTGAACGCGGTGGTAGAGCCCATCCCACGCATATGATTGAACAGATATAGTTATGAAGAGCAGTACTCACCCATAACGCGGACCCAACAACAAATACGAATGCCACCCAGAAAGAGACATCCCAGCTGAGATGCAGCTTTAGCCTCGCATGAGAATGGTATAGTCGCTGCTCAACCACAGCAAACTTGGCTTTTTCTCTATCTCGCGCTGCTTCATCGGGGAAATGAGCGACCTGGACCGGTCGAAGAGCGAAGCGATTCTTCCTGGACGCTCTCGAGTTCCAGCGAGACTTCAGCTTTGATGTACCATCCGTGAGAACGACGAAAGTGGCACGAGTGGGATGGAAAAGGGGGAAAGGCCGATGAATGGAGCGAGGATGGGTGAAGAGTCGAGGAATGTCATCGCTCGGAGGTGAGATGAGGGCATTACTGGTAGATTCCGCGTTCGTTGCTGGGGTTGTAATGGTTGTGCAAGTCGTCTCGCGTTCCATTGCAATCAAATTTGCCTGTCTTGTCCTTTCCTTTTCGTGGAGATAAATCCCAGACCAGACAAAATACCGGCGCCGTCAGCTTAGAGAAGGAATATCCACTGCGATGTCCCAATCGGATTCCGCCGTCCGGAAGGAATGCGATGTTGACCGTTTGTTAAGCAATTATAGTGCGATGCACCTACTTAAACCAGCACAGCCCGTGAGAGATGTTGACAGATAGATGAAGGATATAACATGAATGTATCAGACGGGTGCAGCCTGTTCGAGGGCGGGACATGGAGGCCCGGGGGCAAGATGGAGTTTCGGCCACGTGATACGCGCAGCCATGTGGCGCTGCAAGTGGCGCAAAAGGTAGTACGACTTCAGCGTTGATCTCTAGGAACACGATATAATTTGCAAGGTTCATGTCAGCTTCTTAATGTTACTGAGTTGGTTTTTTTCGTGATCTATGACACTAAGTGCGAGCAAACGATAGAAAGGCATGCAGAGGAAGGCAGCATGAATTGCCATGTGTTCACGCATGATGCAGTCCATATGATACCCATGTCGTACCAGGTCACGAACGGCGCAATCCCTTGTCAAATCTGATAGAAAGCTAAGGCCGTAAAATATGTCGAACGACTCCGCAGACCAGAGGATGACTTGTATTACTTCAAGATCGGAATAGTCCGCGGTAGACATAGACTCTGATGCTCAAAACCCTTTTCAAACCGTCCAGTAGCTGTCATCCGCCCACACAGCGAGCATGCTGAAGATCGTGTCAGCAGGAGAGCAGATGTCGGCCTCGTACCAGTGGGCCCCGTCATTCGTCCACGCCTCTGGCGTCATGTAACCAGGAATGCCGCAATCCCGCGGGTCGCATTGTATTCTTCAACGCGTAAGTAGCAAAAGCACTTCTCGTCTTCGTACATCTTCTCGCACTGCTCATGAACGCCGTCTCCCCACTTCATCCCTTGCCGCTGCGGGGCCCCACGAGATACATGCAGTTCCTCAAAAGGTATAAATCGGCATTGCCGGGGTGGTCATCAGCGTCGACAAGCAGGTTTTACGCGCCGATGTCGCCATGACATGCAGAACGCCGTGCTCCCGCAGGAACCTGATAGCGCAGACCTGGCCGAAATTTGAACCAACAAGAGGCGATACTCACCCGCTCCGCAGCAGAGTGATAGGCTCCGGAGACGTCCATTTTCCTTTGCCTGAATTATGATGGAGAGTCGACCTTTACTGATGTACCTCTACAGATGCAAGCCTATGAGCACAATTAGACACGCCGTGCCATCTAAGGCCTAACGTCGGGAAGAAATGTGGTCTCGTAGAATGATCATTTTGAGAACAGAAACCACGGTCATTGTGCGAGCCACTTCGTGACAGCGCACTCTCCAAACCCCGAGAGAGCTCACGGGGGGAGCTTTACCACCTGCTGACTTCGAGGCAAGCTTCTATTAGCCGCAAATGGCATCCCTAAAGAGTATAACAATCCCATTGAGTCCCTCGTCCTGCACCCTGACTGGCCCGGTGCCGATGACGTTGAGGGTACCGCATGGCGATGTGATTGGTGAGGTGGAGTGCAGATAGTAACCAGCGACCGCGAACACGAAGCGACTGCGGTAGATGTTTGCAAAGATCCAGGAACCAGATATTGTCGACTAAGGAAACAGTCGCAATGATCGTTGTCGCCGCACCACGCTAGAACTGCACGATGATTAGTGGTTGTCACTCGAGCAGGCATGGCTGCGTGGATTACTCGCCGTCTCGCCCATGTCATCGAATAGGATGCGAGTATAATCATCTTGTCGATGGTAGTCGTGGACATCCAGGACACGCTATGTCCTTTGTGTGGAACTAAATGACCGTCGTCATCGACAACTTACAGACGAGTCTGCGGCGCATGTCAGAGACTAGCCAGACATTAGAGCGTCGCGGAACCTTGGCGATAGAGAAGGCCAGAAGACGTGGACAAGTATCTTGGGAGTGGCTCACCTTGGCCTTCCTTATTCATAACTTGCGCCTAGATATATTATACGAGAGCAGGTCGGAGAGGCTGGAACCTTAAGCGAAGGCCTTTGGATGGCAACCGGGAAGTAAGAAGTAAGGGGCGGGAAGTCTACAAGCTCTAGACGGCGAAGAAGCAAGTCTGCTGTACTTGCATTTAGACCCTTGATCACCGTCAATGCCTTCATTCCGTGTCTCCGTAACACTGCTTTCTATTTAAAATTATACCTTTCAGTTGAACTTTTCAGTTGAACAGCACCTCGGGATATGCGGAAAACGTATACCAATACCATAGCTGAGGCTCTGTGAGTGCCACTGAGAAAATCTCCTGTATTTCCGGACGGCGCGATGTGCCCAACGCAAGCAGCCCCCGGAGATGCAGTCATCTTTACTGTGTGAAAGGTTCAGCAGCAATGACTTATGAGGACCCTCATACCAACAGCCGAGAGACATCCCCCGTCCATGAAAACATAAAAAAAAGAAATACCTACAGACGAGACCACAGTAACACCTCAGAACCTATCTCGTCATCATGTGTTAAAAGTATTGGATACTAGTGAATTGCATTGGGACGAATGGCACGGAATAACTTATAAAAATGCAATGCGAAATGACAGCCTGATAGTCCGCTTGTTGACAACTGGGCCACGATGCGTAGGCCGGTGTAGTACAGCATGTATAGTGGATGGACTATACAGATATTCACGTTGTGACATGGCTCAGCCAACAATCTAGAGACAGTGCTAGAAGGACCGTGTATTGTAAGCGAACGGAAAGGCAGCTGCATCAAGCAGCGCGGCACACATCAATCAGAAGCAACGCAGAGCACGAGGAGAGGCGGCCGTCCACGATTACCAACCGAAAATCCTGTGTCAATGTTAGCATTAGTGGGCGAAAGGCAAGTGACAACACGAAATACGTACTCCTCATGTAGCTCAACTCCTCCGACGGCCTTCTTCTTCCCGCTATCAAGCAGTCTTAATGCGCGCCCAGCCTCCTCTCCGAGAGCCATCGGGCCACACACACCCATGACGACGCCCGTGAGATGTCCGTCCACTCCCTCAGTGTCGCGTGTGCGGTCGACCAAATCCTCAAGCACTTTTCCCAGACGTGGACGTCCGGGCGAGAGAGTGAGCCCTAGAGGCAGGCGCTCGAACGGCTTGAAGACATCTTCGGATAGAGTTGCCCGTGTATAGTGAACCGAGATACGGAGGAGTGTGTATGAGGACTGAGCCTCAGCGAGTAAACCGTTGAAGAGCGGCAGCATGGGGAAGAGGGAAGCTAAAGCAGGTGGCTGTAAGCACGATTGTCTGGGGAAAGGGATATGACAAGAACTTACATGGATCAGTTATACTCCAGACGAAATCAATGACGCGCACGCGACTCGTGCCCTCGGCACTTCTCTTCATCATATCCTGCACCGTTGACAGAGCGTACGTAACGCCACTGCCGCCAGTAACCAGGAGAGCCCCAGAGAAACTGTTCATGAGGGCATGCCCTGGACCGCCTAGACGAAACGACGAGATAAGTTCTACCGGCGACAAACTCACGTCATAAGAGATCGTCATACCATAAGGACCGTTGAGCATGACCTTCACGCTTCGTCCTGCGCCACCCATCTCCCCATACTCTGAACGCTGGGCTGTCTCAAACAGCCTGGTAGTCCAGTCTCCAGCCTTCTTGCACATCAACACAAGGCCATCCTGGTTTCCACTCTGACCAACAATCCCTTAATTTCAGCGACCCATTTCAATGTGCATGACTGGGCAACGTACCTGGCTCACACTGGCAATCGTAAAGGGGTGGCTTTCCATCCAACCGAGCGGGCCCATCCCAAGAGACATCACCCTGATCCGGACATGCTGACCAGCGCGCCAACCCGCGTTGGCCCACGGGATCTCAATGCGTGTCATGCCCAGCTCAGGGATAGGACGGAGATGGGCGGTAACAATGCGCGTCTGGATCATGCGCACAACGCGGTCGGCGCCGTACAGAGACGCAGCGATGATCACGTATGGCAACGAGAATGCCTCGTGGTATACGGTCTGCACACGCGATAAAGTTCTACGTCAACGCACGAACAAAAGCAGCTGACATCGCAACTGCACTTACCGCGAAGAGAAGTACAACAGCGGCGACAACGTGGGTTACGAAGAAGAGCTGGTAGTACATCTGCCGGACAATCGGAAGCGAAAAGAGGCAGATCACGTCCATTGAGCCCAGAGCGACACAACCCCAGATGTGGCTCGTCGTCATGTTCGCTGCGATACCACCTGTCTCTTCGGACCATTTCGCGACTGACAGAGATTCAGTATGCCATGCATTTTAACCATTGTTGACCACGTACAATAAGCCAACGCGTGCAAGTTGACAGCGAGGACGATGAGGCGCCCTGCCCATCGATGGAAAACGTTCAGCTATAACGTCCGAAGTGAACCACATATTTTCCATTTACAGTAAAATGGGCGCTACCTTTTCGTACCCGAGACCAACAAGCGTGCCAAACACATTGTTCTTCGTCGCCAAGATATAGATGACCGGGAACTGACTGGCCGCCACTTCTCCAAGCCGAGCCGGACTCTTGAACAAGTCGACGTCGATGAGCGCCGCGTAGAGCAGGACCACCGTATAGGCGAGAAAAATAATCATCTTTCCGAGAGGGTAACCCGGTCTCAGCTTCATACTGAGGATAGATGTGATCGTGGGGAACATAGAGGACCATGCGGGCATGTACGCCGGCATGTCTGCGGATTTCGAAACTTTGGGAGAAGACGACGGGAAGGCGGTAGTGTTGGTTGATGGCGAATATGCAGAGTTAGTCTCCACACGTGTAACTTCGTCCTTCTCGGCATCTGAGCTATCCATCCCTGATCGTACGGACTGGGAGCCAGTCTTAAGTGGACGTATTGAGCGGGCGGCACCCGAAACCTTGGCAGAGCGGAAAAAGCATCCTGCAAACCATTCGGAGAAATGAATGAAACGTGTAATTGCTCTGGGCAATGCAAGAAGGACGAAGAGGCCAGCAAAGCAGAGGAAAGCAATGTTAATATCGAAGAGTAGAGTGGTCACGTCAATTGTGGCAGCCGCGGTAGTAGTAGCAGCAGCTTTGCTGGTGGCCGCCGCCTCGGCTGCAGTTGAAGTTGAGTTGGCTCTTGCAAGCAAGTAGGGCATTCTGAATGAGTGTGCCGAAGAATCTGAAGAAAAAAAGGTGACCTGAAGAAGAAAGCGAAAGCAACAAGCCTGCCAGCAGGTCAGGAATAGGGGAGGAGAAACCAAGGAGAGGTCCTGAGGCACGGCCTATGCACAACGCGAACTGGGCTGTGTGCCACACCGCCCGTTGTTTTTATGCGAGCGCGGCGTTCAATCTAATTCGTGGATCTAATCTGATACTTAAAACGGCTACTTGGGACCCAGGCGTCCTAACGACGGACAAAACTTGATCGCAAAATGCTATATTTATCACATTAGACGCGCCCATAGCGACAGATCGTTACAACCAAGGTAACCACTCACCAATTATCTGATAACCACAAAGAGGTTATCTGTCACAGAGGCTTTGTGCCGGCCTCCACGAGGTTTCGCATGCAGCACCGCGATTGGCCAATGCGTCATCACGAAGCATCCATGTTACTATGCACTTTGAGGCAACGAGTGTAGAAGATCGCATCCCTACCTTCCCCGTTTCCGCCCAGAGTTTTCTGGGATGCTACTGCTTCATTACTGCATACTGCAGGTTGCGGGGCACAGTCCTCATGTAATGCATAGACTCTCCTTATCAGAAGCCCAGGCCGCCGGAGGAAAGACCATTACGTCCTGCAACTGTCCACTTTGCGATCTCGCCTTGGCTTGGCATTCATCCGTGAGATTAGCATGTCACGATGCCATTGCAATTTGCGAGAGGCGAATTACTGAAAGGGAGACGAGGAGTCACATACAATTGCAAGCCAGTCCGCAGACGTAGGCGATCGCATCGGCACGTGCATCACTGAAACGAATGGAGTAGCGTAGCATTTTGACAGGATTTGCCAATTTAACGTTCGGGTGCAGCAGAGTGATTGCGACACTCAGAGTACAGGCTGCAGAGCCCTGCTGTCTGCAGTGACAGTGTGAGAGCTTGACATTAGCGGACGAATGCGAAACACATTAGCTGTGATCCGTGGCAGTCATAGGTCTTGAGGAGTGGCGGGCTATGTCATGGACGTCCAGGTCACCGCTTCACACCGTGCAAATCTGAGAGGAGGAATGTCTCGACCAACGACCAACACGTAGATGAATGAAAGAGTGTGCGACAGCTATCATGGAATGAGATACGCGAAGGCGTTGCCCGTCACAAACTATCATTCTCTCAAATCACAATGCGACAGCTGACACGTCGGCGAATGCTTTGCGTGCTCCCCGGATTCCCGAAGACGTTCATGCATCAGCGCGCAGCGGAGGTGATCACGAGCATGCATGGTAAGCCGGTACCAGTATGTAGCTATGATACTACGTCAGCTTTGTCGTCCTACCATCGGTTGCACGAAGCGTCCCAGTCACATTTCTCGCACATTCACGATACGCCAAGTGAAGTGTAACTAGGTGGTACGATCCTGGCTCTTGAAGCACCATAAGAGGATACGTGCGCCCTCCAGTGGATCCTCAAACAAAGAGTAAGTCCACGGTCGTGAGAACTAGTCAGCAGCCACACTGCACATGAACTTTTGATGGTGCAACAAGTGGATAGCCAGGAGACCACGCAGTCAATGTCAACGTAGCCGAGACACTTCTTTCGTTCCACGGTGGCCTGTCGCCGGACAGTTGATTCCGACAGAACCGCCTCAGGCGGACGCTCTGGTAACATCATCCACCGTCTGTCGATCGCGGGTCCGGGGAGGACGTCGCCGCGGGACCATAGGGCGGCAGAGTAGTCTAATCGAGAGGAATACAGCGAAGCAGTGTCGTCGTCGTTTGCCACGGCCACGAGCGATGATCGCTGTATCGCAATGTGACCGAGGAAGACCCGGTCACGAGACTTGTGACTGTGATGCACGTCTAGCGCCCGCCTCCTCAACTGGACGGAGCACTGGGCTTTTCGAACAAATTCTAGATGTACACAGATGTACTTCGAGACACAACAGATAGATTCAGAGTAGATTACAACTTCAAATGATGCGGCGTTTGGCACCAGGCTGACACTTTCCCGTTCCAAGTCCCCTTGTGCTGACAGTCTGCTTCCGAGACTACTACCAGCGTCAACTAATAGTCATCCTAGAACCCGCTGGCCATAACTCGAAGCTGCTCCAACTTCTTCAGCACTTCTCCGACGGTTCTATCCAGCTCATTTGCAATAGAGTTCTGCCTGCTCGGAGGGAGACGTGCATACATCTCGCACAGATCCCCATCCATAACACCCTTCACGGGGACGTTATAGCCTCGCCACGCTAGATGGTCCCGGCCGACGAGACTAAGCTGTTCAGTTCGCATATGCTGCTCGAGGGTGGAGATGAAATCAATATCGTCCTTGGACACAAACGGCGCGAGAACACCGATAGTTCCATGCAGACCGGTGTACACAAGCACCTCTCGACCGCCGACGACCAACGGGACCTTGTGTATGCCCGTCACAATATCACCGACGTGGAAGTGCACGAGCATGTTCGTCTTGTGCGGGGCGCCCATGAGAATGCTTTTCTCGTGCATGATCCCGGCGCCGACAGGGTCGTCGTCGACCTGATCGGAGACCTTGGAATCGAGGCGGTTGACGAAGATGTTTCCGAATCGATCGCCTGCTACAACGGTGTTGTAGTCAAGCATCGTCGCGGAGGTGATATACCGAGGTTGGGTGTCGTCCGCGAATATCAGGAGTCGGTCCTGAGGTGACTTGTACGCTACGTAGTGAATGGATTCCTGCATGTCGCCGACGAGGATACGAGACCCTTGCATGTTCAGAGTGACAATAGGCGAGGAGAAGTTCTGCAGTCTCGAGTGAGCTTACGTCAACGTCTTGCGCTTGAATGTGCACACCAACCTTGTTCTCAACCTTGCGCAGCAGCTTCGTCTTGCCCATGTCGTACAACCCGAGAGACTTGCCAACCCCCGCTGCCAGTCGTCCCTGAAATGCGAGGACCGCGAGAGGAATGTCGCTGGTCTCCGTCTAAGTCACACAATTGAGAACACGTCTCCCATCATGCTACGGTGAAAGTACCTTGTGAAGCAACTCAAGGCTCCGACCATCCTCCGTGAGCCTGTACGTCCTCAAGAAGCCGAACGTGCAGGACCTAGGCGCCAGGAAGGCATCCTGTGCAGTGCCGACGACAAGGTGAAGCTCATTGTCACGAGCAGCGAATGGCACTACCGCTAGCGAGAACGCTGCCTCGTTATTGTCTAACTGCACGATGTGGACGGTCTCTCCCTATTTCAACGGCTCAACAATTTGACAGATGAGCTTTCTGACAATGACCGGACGTACCTTCATTGGGTCGATGATACGGATGCACGACGCCCACACTCCAGCAGGCGCCTTCGGGCGTCCAAACTCCCTTGCTGGCAGGTTGAGCACTTCCTCATCAAACGTCTTGTGCTCCACCCGCTACATAACGACGTCAACACAGACATGACACAACAGATGACCGCCAGATACGTACCAATCTCTCCAGTTGCTGCTGGGATGCCTCTTCACTGTATGCACGATGGTCGCCTTCGATGAGGTAGAAGAGACCGTTTTGGGGATGCATGACGAATTTGCGCGGCGTATAATCCAGAGGTATGGAGTTCTGCTTCAGCTTCGTGCCCAAGTTCAATATCTGGAAAACACTTCACAGAGGATGAACGACAAGTGATGAACTGGGTGTTGAATAGACTCACCGAAGCACACTTCCCGAGACGCCAATCAGACCGCCAGAGTAAGATTCAGCGGAGAAGCTCCAGGCGTAGTCAAGGTTCTCATAGATCAACGGAGTGAAATGCATGAGATTCTGGTAGGTGTAGTTCAACCACGACTGCGACGACAGCGCCATGATGGCGGAATTGCCCTGTACAGTGACACGGACAAGCTTGACGGGTTGCGTCCCCAGGAACCTAAACGAGGCATCAGCATCAAAGCTCACTCAAGATGACCGCAACAAACCTTGTGCGCGTGTCTGTCAGATGGCCATTCGAAGGGTCCAACACGGTTCGGAGTAGCACGCCATTCTGCAAGCCGATGCTGACGAACATGGTGGGCTGAGCCCGGTTCAGACTAGCGTCTAGAATTTCGGCAATACAGATGGACGAAGGTGGGGCCGTCAACGCCTGCAGACTCATGGTTTCCAGAGTGCTTTCAGGATCCAACGAAATGATGCGGACTGTCTGGTCCTCGCAGCCGACCGCCTGAGAGGGGGAAGAAATGAGGCTTAATACAGCCATGAAGGAAGTGCCTCTCACTAAAAACGGCGTTCGCTGTCTCCCCTCTGGTACCTGGCCAATGCTGAGCGCCAATATGGTGTTGCCCATCGCCCTGCGATCCTGGTATTCGTTGAGTTGGCCCTCCAGGTCCAACTCGAAGTATACCAGCTCACCGCTGTCCAGCGCGACGACGACCTGCCGCTTGTTCGTTGTCGCGTTTACGATCGTCTTCCCACTGGGCACCTGCCATTCGTTCACGCGTTTGTCTGCCGTGATGTGGCGGATGCCATACGGGTGCACTTGCAGCAAAGCATCCGCCCCGATCTGTTGGACGGCGATGGTCCGGGCCGACGTTAGCAAGCCACTATCCTCGACGTCTGTGATGGTCTCGCCGATCGAGAGAACCCGTGTACCGTTGACGAACGATAGAATGATGTAGGCGTCGTGCTCATCTGTTGCATTGTCATTAGTGCGTCTGAAGAATGAAAGCACCATTACTATTTCATACCATCCTCCTTCAGCTTCGTTGTCCAAATCGCATTTGGCATAGTTGGTAGATCATGTTTGACCGCTTCCTCAACATCCAATGCGTGGCGCAGAGTCCTGAATGTGCTCCGAGCCCCCCTGCCGCAGGCAACGAATATCTGAGGCGTTCCCGCATTCGGTAGAAGATTCTGGACCTTAGAGTCGATGATAGGATCTAACGACTCCATGTCGTTAATGAGTGAAAGGTTTTCTAGGGAACGCGGGTGGAAGAAGACACGATGGAGAGGTGCAGTAGGGTCTGCCATCCCATACGACGGATAGTCGGTCGACGAGAACTGTTCATCTTCCTCACCCAATTTGAGGAATTGATAAAGATGGCTACGAAGATGTCAATATGCTGCAGTAAACAGATCAACGTGTATGCGCACTGATTCCCAAACTCTGCCGCGACGAAGAGAAATCCGGACTTGAGGATGCACAAACTCGTAGCCACAGGAACCGTGTCGAAGTACGAGATCTTCAGAGCTTTGACATCTTGCTCCTCGTGCTCGATTGTGACCTTGTATAGATCACCCTCTTCACTTTGCAATAGGAAGAAGAACGCGCCCTATAATGTCATTCAATACTAAGGTGGAACTCTATATGTCGGGGAAACCTTCACCTTCAACTTGTGCATAACTGCCGCAGTAATGATGAGACCACGTTCATTGTCTTGGAAGGGGTAATTGCGGCGGGGAATTGGTACTCGATGCTGGGGAGCATCCATGTGTCTGTATATGATGTGGTCTTCACAACACACTAACACACCAGAGGGTCCGTCATAATGATCAGACGAAGCGAGCTGCCCTCCAGGAACTTGCACCAGCAAGTTCGCCCGAGGATCAGTGGGCTCGCTCCACTTCCGTACAACGTGGTTCAGACTGAGGTCCAATTCGTAGTACGTAAGCATCTAAGACGGAGTCGAGATGAATACCTCACGGTTCTTAGTAGACGCGAACACACCTTTTGCGCATTGTTGAATGATGTGCCCGTAGGATCTTGGTCTGATTCAGTGTAGTCAATCTCCAGCGCTGCAAACGTAGGGTTCTCGAAGCCGACATCGAGGCCGACAATGTGATGAATGATGGTATTGCTCGTGTGTGCCTCGAGTGGCGAAGATATGGTGAGATTAGCAGCAGCATCACGATTGAGAATGTATACGAGCTTGGCTTTCTCCAATGCGGAAATCATGACAGCGCGGCCCTTGGGGTCCGTAGCGAGATACTGTCCTGGCACGATCCTCCTTGCGCCCGATTTGCCATAAGTTTCCTCGTGAACCTTGACAAAACTGCCGGATTTTGGATCATAGTCGAGAATCACAATTCGTCCCGAATCCGAACCGACGATGGCATAGTCTAGCGAAAGAGTGTCTCAGAGCACGGACGTATGGGTAAGAGACCGGGGCCAAGCATACCTTTCGTCCCTCCGGTAAGACGAAATGAGGTCAGCGAGCGGATAGAACCGAAGACATCGCTTACAACGACAGTGGATAACTTGCCCGTGTCTGGGTCGGAGCGAAGGAGTTCGAGTCCCGTACCGCGCGAGACGATGATTTCTTGCTGTCGGGCTCCAGAGAAGTTACCAACGGCTGCCTGTAGTATGGCAGAGCGGGATTGTACAGTGAAGTTGTAGAGATGCATGATATTGATCAGGGAGCCACCGCGGCCACCGCCACAATCGAGGTGGTAAATCCTGGGGAGGAGCAACGCGCGCCAACAACCCAACCTCCCGATGTTGTTCATGTTTGCTTTGATGGCCAATCTAAGTCGACGCCGTCACTCTCGAGCACAGAGCAAGGCGATAAAATCAGGAGAAAATAACATTGACAAGTTGTACTTCCATTGTTGATGAACTGATATGCTGTTAATGTACATCTATCCGTAGACTACTATTATACATAAATCCAGTAGATATGATCTGATATGATACAGTGATGCTGTGCAGCGCTTCCTGAGCATGCTATGCTATAAGAACCGGTCGTGGATGCGAAATAAAGTTGTTGATGTAATGAAACGTGTTAAGCACACCATGTTTGGCCATAGAGCATCTCCTCGAGGCTGAAGTACACGGCGGGTGCAGAAGGTTGCGGGATAGCGAGCGCAGCAAGTTGACGGAACCGTGTCGCAGGAGATAGGTCGATGGAAGGCACCTGGAAAGATGGCGAGGAGGACACTCGTTCCGGAGACGTGCGAGGAGATTCGGTCAATTCTCCGAAATTACACCAGTCTACGGAGGGCCAATCGAGGGAGTTGAAATTAGAGCTATCGAGGGTGATGGTAGGAAGCAAGGGCAGAGCAGAAGAGGTGGATGAGGATGCAGCCGAGCTCATGGCTGGCGTCTCGAAGGATTGGAAAGGCGGCGCGGGTGAAACTTCCTCGCTGAGAGGCCTCGTGAGCTCTAGCGTGAGTGTGGTAGCGCGGCAGGTCTCAGTATCGGTGTTCAGGTTTAGTGCGGTGTCTGAGCGATCGCTTGCAGCTAGGGCGCATAGGTCAATCCACGTGCCGTTGGCAAAGAGTTCCTCTATCGTCTCATCCGCCAAAACCCACCCAGACGGCTGGGTGTCCGAGAGGCGCTGGGTAACAGGGGACGACATATTTGAGGGCAACGCATCACTATTAGGGACACAAGAAGGGAAAGGGGAGTCGCACGGAGTCGGAGGAAGCGACGAGTCATCAGACGAGTCGCTCCATTCGGAGCACGGAGGGGAGGAAGGGACGGGACTGGAAGCGACCGAAGAAGATGGGGTTGAGTATGTGCTTCTTCCTCCGGAGCTCGAGTAGGAGTTGTGAGGGCTCGCAGGTTCGGGACTGGAACTGGGGGAGGAAAGATCGACGAAAGACCATGAAGTCATCCCGACACGGGCTTCTTCTTTGTGGTCGCGAGCTGCGCGCAGTGAAGGTAGGTATCCGTGCTTCCTGACACGGTGACGAGTCAAAGAAGATGGATCCGCAGTGCGGAACGAACATGGCGCGCCGTGCTCAGGATCGATGTCGGGGCACTTATGTGGCTTCTCGCCAGAGCTGAGGTCGCGAGTGAGATGCGATTACATGTGTAAGGCTCAGTATAAGACCTACTGCTTATACATGTGCGTTCTTAGGTTGCTCTTCTGGAGAGTGCGGTATGTACATCCGGGATGGCCGCACTGGTGCATGCTGCGTGATACTAACGAGTTAGCACCTATGCTATCAATCGAGCCGCGCGGACCCATACCGCTCAGATTTGTCTTCTAAGTGAAGAAGGAGGTGTCGGGAAAGGTCCCGTTGTCCAGAGAGGGTCTTGCCGCAGAGGCGACACTCCAGTTTGGTGACCTTCGAAGGTGCCTAAATGAGGTTATCAGCCAAAGTCACGACACCGCGTCAAAGCATGTGCAGACTCACAACACGAGGCGTGCGAGGCATTATAGTAGCTGCAGGTGAGGTGCACGGGATGTAGCGGACTTACGGCGGGTGGCCAGGGGGAGGGGAGGGCGGATCACTCGACACTCGGAGGGAGCATGGGAACCAGAATCCCCCCAAACCCTCCGAGAATTTATAGCAGTCCGTAACAGGCCTTGGCATGCCTCGCGTACGCACAGGAAGCATGGTTGATTGGTTTTCTGCCCAAAAGCAGGTGGAGGTAGTGGGCGCTTCGCACCTTGATTGATTTTTGCCTTGTAGGGACCGTAGCCAAATAGTACCAAAGAGACCAAGTGGCCGTTTCTATATCGGGACAGTGGCCAAGTGGCTTTCTTTGGTTCTATTTGGCCAAAAGTTGCCATGTACGGAAGTGGCCACAGGTTCTTCCGCTTCCGGAGAGTGGCTTTGTTTGGCAATCTTTGGCTCACGATGGATATGGCAATTTTGATGGCGGTTACCTTCCTGAGCACAGTCGCGTGCAGACCCCTATCGGCCGTCGGTATCAAGCGATTGAGCTGGCAAGGACGACCATGAGCAGATATAGATGCTCGCGGCGTCATTCAGGTCAATGTAGGACAAGAAATCTCCGTAAGCCAGCAAGTAGTCGTGCAGGACAGCCAGCCGTGGTGGGACCGTATTAGCCTTACCGCTTGCGAACGAAAGTCAGCACCAGCTATAAGCATTGGACTGACCGATCCATCATTAATATGGAAATTTGCAGCCGTGCTTTGTCTATCGTTTTTTTTGCTATGATACAAGATAGCATACGCCCTGAAATAGCAGAATCCAAGTCAAGCGGGAGAAGGAAACATGCAAAACACCTGTCAGTCTGGTCCAGATACAAGATTAGCTGTCCCATTATCCGGCTACGTGGAAAAGAAAGCATGAACGTTGCCGCAACAGCGAGCAAAAGTTTGTCGACTCTAAGCGCCTGGCATGCTTTCTGTCAAGAGCTCTACCGGCTGCAGAATATTCGAATTTCGCAAACCCAGTAAGTTCTAGCACAGACAAAGAAACAGAGAATTCAACGAGTTGCCAGAACGAGGGTAAACGAGGGAGAGCATTGGGAACTCTGTCCGCTGAAGTCTGTTGCCGCAAATATAAGCGTGTTCGAGCGCCAATGTCTGAGACATGAGTGGCGGGGCATCATAACGCACCTACCGAGCCGACGTGTAGTGAGACGTGAATTAAGATCTCCGCGACGGCAGACGGCAAGCATGTCCAAGCCCTCTCAAGTATGAAAAGGTTGTCTAGATGTGTATCAAAGCATGTACATCACGTAGGGATAGATACGGCTTCTCTGAACTACAGTGTATACCCGTAAGGATGCAAGGTTCGGACTGCCAGCGACATCAGCATGCAGAAGCCGCGTACAAATTCGACGGTGGACGTACTATGTACACAGACATCAAGTCTCTATTCGGCAGGCTGAGGTACCGGACTTGAACCAGCATCGATCCTCTCGATCCGACCGTCGTGCCACTTGACAGTGAGACTACCGTCCTGCAGGTGAGATTGCTCAGAGATAATGGACAATGTGAAAGACGAGACAGCATACACACCTGATTGCCGAAGTACGCTGCCTTGGCCATGTGGCAGAACAGCCCGACTTCTACAACGCCCGTGAGCATCTTGAGGCGTGTCAACAGCTAACATCGAATGGTGAAGTTAAGCTGCGAAGCGGGATATCACTTGCTAGATGACTCGACGTACCGTGTACGGGTCCTTCATCATCTCCTCGGGGAAGGGGGCGTCGATAACGAAGTTGCCGTTGTCAGTCACGACCGGGCCCGCCTTTCCCTGCGCCATTCGGAGTACGGCATTGGGCGAGCCTAGCAGGTGCACGTTTTGCAGTAGCTTGGCGTACGCGAACTGGGCGACCTCGATAGGCACGCCTTGCTTGAACTGCACATTGGCCTCGATGAGAGTTCTGACGTGAGGTAAAGGGAAGGAAAAAACGTACGTTCCTTCCAAGGACGTCAGAGTTTTTGCGGTAGTCAGCGACAATGATAAAGCTAGGGAATGTGAGCGTTCAGAACAACGGAGAGACTGACAAGGATAGACGAACGTGTCTGCCGCCTCTGCCAGTACCTTTTCACGCAAGTGGCACGCTCCTCCTCCCTTGATGCAATTGAGCGTCTCATCCACTCTGTGTCGCGATGACGGCGAACGTTAATAGCAGCAGCAACGCCAGTGAGACCTCGCACGCACTCGTCGGCACCGTCTATCGTGATGTCGATGATGGGATATTGGTCGACATCACCGAGCAACAGATGCGCATTCACAATGAGCTCCTTCGACTGGAAGCTCGTCGGTATGAACACTCGGTCCTTGTTCATCTCGCGACCCTGTGCGACGATGCGCTCGACGACGTAAGGAACGGTCGAGCCTGTGAGAGGATCAGCATTCAGCGTGTGCTGTCATCGCGTCCTCATACCAGACCCGATACCAATGACCTGTGATTGTATGCGTCAGTCTTGGTCTGCGAAACTGCACGGAGACATTGAGATATCGGCACGGCAAGTTATATAGCGGCCAAAGTTGGATCCCGTTGTTTGGGCTGATCTCAGTCGAACACGGCCAACGGGTCGGTGCGCGAGCTCAACACATACATGTGTTGCACTGTGCAGACTTCATCGAAAGCGAGAAACCCTGGCCACGCATTCATCATGGACCACCGCCGTCAGTGTATTTGACTCAGTCCAGACCCTTGCTGGCACAACGGGGTTAAAGGGTCTAATTCCGGTCCGGTCTGTTTGTCCTCCGAGGTCGACAAGGCGATGCTCGACCTCGACGTCGTCAAATGATGAATAGAAGTCATTTCCGGTGCTCGTTAGCAGGCAGCCATCCACGGACTGAGAACAGCTGTAGGCCCAAGAGTAGAGAGCGCATACACAAAAACATGCGATGGAAGGAGCATTGATCACACCTCCGTGAACCGCTGTTCTTGCGTTTGAGCCAGTCAAGTATATCACTGACAGCCGTGTCTTTGTCAAACATCGGCTGTCGGTCAATCCACGTCTGAGCTGGGCAAGACTCTCATTGACGTCTTAGCAAATCGTTGACGAAGGATCCATCGACCACCGAAAGTGTCTGTCCCAGCGGGAAACATCACTGGTAGGCGTCTACTGGCCAGGCATCTTTTGGCCATCAACCCATTGACCGCTGCGTTGTCTGAGCTGGCTGAGTATATCACCATCGTCGCGACTGCCAGAGTAGCACGTTCCATCGCCACGAAAACCCGTTGACGGCGAGAGGATGGCGCATAAATGCGCGCCTTCTATCCTAAGAATAGGTGTAGAGTGGATACATACCTTGTACTGTGGGAGGACATGTCTATCCACGGCCGTCCAGGCGGCCAGGCGCTTGGAAGCCTCGATAACAGTTGTCGGCGGAGGTGTTAGCACGACACCGTTCGGCTGTTGTGCGGTCACATCTGCACTACCATGCGCACCCTTCGGTTCCGGTGGGGGCGTGCTCGTCCTGATGTACTGCACCGACTGGCCGAGGGTCTGGCGGAGCGGGGAAGGGTACACGGACTCGGTCGGGGTGCTGTCAGGAGGGCCATGGCAGGCAACGAGCATCGCAGGACGCAAAAAGCGGAAGAGAGGAAAATTGAGCGGATATGGGAGCCAAGAATGGGGGTGGCACGTACGAGAAGTCCGGGGTAAGAATCGCGGGTGGAATCGGCATTGGAGTACACCTTCGGCTCAAGCAGCGGACTTGTAGGGCGTGCGGGGTACGTTGTGGGGGTGGAAAGCAACGATAGAGGAGACGACCGTGTGTGGTGGAGATGGTGGAGAGCATACAATCGTGGTCCGGCACTCCCATTCCCATTCTTACTTGATTCTTACCTCAGTCCGTCAATCCGAAACGTGACTTTTCGACACCCTCACCATCCGCATTTGCCGGATCGCCCGTCCGCGTCTACCATTGCCATCTCGCACGGTGTGTCATCTTGAAGGCATTCCAGTTCAGTGAGAGTGTAAGGCAAGAATGAAGGCCATCAAAGGTGAGTGGAAGTCACGGTGTTCGCCAGAAGAGTGCAACTTGATTGTGCCGCCGCGGGTCTAGGCGTCCTTCTTACTTGGTACGATTCCCAACCCTTTGTTCCTTAGCTGAGCTCTCATATGTGCAAACTTTTATCTTTGTGTGTTGTGATGCTGCGGTCACCGCGTGGACGGACACTACCTTCGATCGGCATGATGTGGAACGGAGGCAGCGACTCGGCCGTGAAGCAGATTTTGCTTGTGATGAACGAGAAGGAAAGCTTTATCATCGAGGATCTGGATGACTACCATCTAGTAATCAAAGCGGACGAGGAGTGGCGAGTGAGGAGAGAACTCGAGGCAGAGGTGCGTATCCCTATCGTATCATCTTTACTGACTCTGACGAGCGGTTTGGTGCGGGTGTTGCAGCTCGAGAAGAACACTTACAGCTTGGAGTGACCTTGCTCTTCACGCCGAACCCTCTGCATCGTGAGTCAAGGTGTATATTATATACGTACGGGTACATTAACGAAATTTGTTACGCCCACAGATCGTCGATGAGTTGGAATTCAAGCCGACCTTTCTCACTGCGCAATTGTTTCACCGCATGCCAGACTTTGTCTATGATATTGCAGGTATATAGTTGCAGGGACATATATTCGATGCTAGCCGGCCCTATTGGAATGACACAATCCGTTGATGTCAGGTCTGTGTTTGACAAAATGCCTCTCTCGTGCATGCCGGACTCAGAGCGCTAACGTCCAAAACTCTTGCCGCCATCTCCTCTATTGCTTCTGCTCGTGTCGATTGCCCAATCCGAGATGGAAAGGTATGTCAGTCCGTCCTTGCCATGGCCAGTTACCATGTAAAAGGCCATCCCGAAGACTTTGATAATGATTCTCAACGCCACCTGATCTTCCATTCATCTCTGCCGCAATCGTCATGACATGGCTTGCAACAGGACGTATAAACTTCTCTTATCACACGCTCGGGATGCAGACGTTCGCATTATGGATAATTTGAGACGTGTTGGCCAGGCGCATCTGTTGTGTTTGCGGGTTCTTTACAAAATCTTCGCGGGATACATCTGCAAGTCAAGATTGTGCTATCATTATCACCAGCGGCTTTACAGTGCTATATCGTACTGACCAGTAGATTTTCGCAATTAAGCTTGCGGATGTTCTCTCTAACCCAGTGCTGATCCATGCATCACGAGCGATCCTTAGTGAGTCCCACATTGCCCTCTGCTTGCACGACTTACATGGCTCAGCTTCTGGCGACTTTTGCTTTCCTGACGCTCCGATTGACGTCCTTTCGTGAACATTCTCGCGAAGATCACGTCTCCAACCTGTTCTCCAATGCAGCTGGGGACGATGCGTAAGATGACTGGCTCATTTCTTATTTTGTGCAGTTGTCGCAAATGAAATGGCTGCAGCTTGCCCCAAGCGCTTACATGCCATTTTACGAGGAAAGAGAGAGCTACTTCGTAATTCTTATCGACTTTTATACTCCTTGTTGACGTTCATCCGGGTTTCGCAAGCGCAACGAGGTGAGCTTGTATACGGTCAATGCCGCGGTTTCCGCCATCTTCCTAGATAGAGACGTTTTTCGCAGATGCTAGTGCGGCTCGGAGCATACAAATTTAGGAAGGCGACTACAGATTTCTACTTCACACTCAGTGAGAGCAAGACAGCTGCCCAAGATTAAAAGGAAATGCCTCTCGCTCTGCAAGCTTTGAGGACTCAGGTTGTTCCCTGAGTTATTCAGCCGGTAGGAAACACTAGTATTTTATGTCTGATGAAACCTTGCCATTGCTCAAGATTACCGGAGCCGTCTGTGTCTGACAATTTCTTACAACCGTGTGAGTGATTCATTTCTACGTGCCATTCAATTAGAGTCAGATTTATTGGAAAGTCGGCGTTCTGGGCATTGACTTCCCGCTTAACAGGCCTGCTGGCGACAATGTCTGACAATCACAAGTTCACCAGTACTTCGACCACGACAGATGCACAATGAATGGAGCAAATTGCAATTATACGGCCCGCCATTGTGTAGTGGCTCATAGACGCTTCTACTCGTTTGCGCTTCTGGGCCCGATTAGAATTATGTCTGGGCGTCTCCTTTGCGTAATTTCGAGCTCGTGCTGTCTTCCATTTATAACATCTCACGCGCTGTGCAGGAGAACGCAAGTCCTCGAGCCTCGTCGCTGAACGTACCATTGACTTATTTATACGCCTGCAAGCAGGTCATATCGGCTTCATGTAAGAATGTTCGTGGTCAGTCCAATTAAGAACGTTTGCCTAATCTAGAGCTTCACGGCAGTGCGGGCATCATCGTAATATCCGAATCCGCGTCCGCCACATTTCGATCTGCCACTTCCACGTATCCGCAAGTCCGTACTGGAGAATGCATAAATGGCGACCGAATCCTGCCAGTCCCCTACCTACCCACATCCACCCATCACACCCGTCTTCCATGATGAACACCGACTCGTATTCTAACGACATCGGCGCACTCATGCAATTCAGCCCATACTCGCGTGTCCCGCTTACGGGGCTGGCGAACCCAGCACTCGATGGCGAAAATTTCAGCTCCAATCGCGATCAGGACAACTGGAATGTGCCCGAGCTGGTCGCTCCTGGACTGACGAGGCCTTACAAGCCCGATGTCCCGCCGCTCGCCCCAGATGGTCCGTCCGCGGCTGATCTTCAGCACGCACGAGAGTGGGTTGAATACCACCTCCCCGACATCCAGTTTGGTATGCATCACGTTTAGTGTCCGCATTCGGAGCGATAGTCTTACGAGGGCTACCTTTCCAGATGTCGAGCACACCCAGGCATTCCGCATACCGGAGGAGCAGGTGGAGGAGTACCACAGTCTGCTGGACAGACTGCGGGTCGATGTCCGCTTTGTGAAGCACCACCTGCTCAAATACGTGTGCGCGTTTCCTGAGGACTACCTCCAGGGTCTATTGCTAGCGGTGAGCGGCTCGCCCTCCCTTGATCCCTCTCATGCATGAATCTGACATGAGATGTCCTACGTCAGATCGAGTTCATTGAGTGCCAGGACATAGCGTTACAAGCGGGAGTCCCAGACTACCTGCTGGACCTGTGGCACATCCGCGCATGTGCCGATAGGTTCTACACGCTTATGCTCAACCTGCCGTACTGGTGGCTCTGAGACTCCGCCGCTGCAGGCTGCTAGCCCCAGCTGGTCTGGGAGACATTGCACCCTTGCCTTTCGCGTTGGGAGTCTGTCTGCATCAGATCCGAGGAGTAGGTACATAGGCACAATGTACCTCCTCCTGAGCACCTATCATGGTGCTTATTTATTCCCTTATTTATGTTCAACCAATATCTGAGGGATGCACGGGAGATGTGCGGTGAGATTCTGCTGTTGTTTACAGTGTAAGAGCGAGAGCACACAAAGAGGTCATTATACCATGGGAAATTGGTCCCCATTAAAATATGGCGAAAACGATAGCCAGTCGGGAATAAAACGGATACGATAGCTGTCACTGGTGACTGTTCTACGAAGGATAGTCGAGGTATGGTGTGCATCTGCATTTGGTCTCACATGGAACATGAGGAAGCGGACTCATCTGAAGCGCTATCCTGTGTCGCCAATGACCGCAATGCAGGTGATGGCTGTAAGAGAAGCTTAGTAGATATGTTCAAATCTAGTTTTCTTGGTGACTACGATAAATGGCATCGCGATGCACAGAACCTCTGTCATTCAGTGCTCGAGTAACGCACGTTACCGACAGCCCGATGAGCGTACACACATTTCATATGAGCCATTGTTGGTAGCAGGAATGCTGTGACGATTCGATCCCGGAACAATTCTGGGTAGAGTAGCAGCCCATAATCCAACCTCATTGTCTCCAATTCTGCTGTTCATAGCACGGACGTCACAGTGATTGATTATACTAGCACAGTCCCCCCGTGATCGCTCGATCTAGTCGCTCCTGGTGCGACTAACAGAAAGCGCACAGAGACGTCACTTCTTCTGCTAAGATGAGTGCGCTGGAAACTAGATGGAAAAACGCATTGAAATCTGAACTTTCCGTGCATAGATTAGAAAATGAAAGGCTTTGATGATGTCAGGAGAAAGGGCTCAATTTCACACCATGAACCTTCACATAGAGGTGCAAGCCTATATTCAATCATTTTGTACGGATAATCCGGTATGGCTAATGCGAGAAAAGCTCTCGTTCTTCAAGTTGTGCTGCGTGCCTTTCTTGCGAAAAGAAACGGTGACTATCTGCAGGTTTAGAACCAGCATCGTAACATTAGAGTATCATCGAGCTCCAGTGGCATTCTGAGAGACAAATCATGAGTACTGAGTAGCTGTGCCTGCATCGCATAAGGCCATTCTCAACGTGGACGCAGTGACCTGGGGGACTGTACCGAGGACCGGGCGCCTGGCGCGCAGTTGAACGGCGGTGTAATCTAATCGACGCGATCAGCGCGACCAACCGCGGCGCAGTGCGCATTCCGAACTATCTCTCCCTCGACCCCTCGACATCAACTTTGTGAGTCAGTGTCTGCCTGCATTGCCAAAGATCGCGAACATGCAGACAACGCTTTCAGAGACTCTGAGATCATTGCAAATAACGCTTGAACAGGCTCAACGCGTGATCTCTGCGCACCGCAGGACCACATCTCCCGTGTCTGCGGTGGAAGAGTTTAAACACAAGGGATACAGGTCAGTTTCTAGCTATTTTAAATGTTCTATCGCAAACTAATGCATTGATCGTAGCGCGTTCACCCCGATCAAGACATTTGTGATCATTCTAGCCGATGGCGCCCAGTACACCTTGAAGATCTCTCCTCCAGCTATGGCCAACATGGCACCAGTGTACGCACCGAACACCCTCAACGCAGAGCATGCTTTCCTGCAGCTCCTCGTTTCTCGGACGAACGTCCCTGTACCCATCCCTTACGCGCTAGACACCACTCTCTCCCTCCTCCCTTACCCATACCTCCTCCTCTCGCGCCCACGCGGCCTTCCCCTTTCCCATCTACGAGTTTCGGGTACGCTCACGCCACCCCAGTCGCTCAAGCTCGACCTCCGCGCGGGCGCCTACCTGCGCGAGCTGCACGATCTCGAGAACGAGTGGTTTGGGCTCCCTGCGCAGGAGCGCGAGGGGATCTACAACTGGCAGGAGGCGTTCACGGGCCTGATCGAGGGGCTCCTCGAGGAGGCGCAGGCGCGGGGCATTCCGCTGCCATACGAGGACGTGCGCAAGATGCTCTCGCGCGCGATTGGGTTCTTCCTGTTTGACGACTGCGAGGTGCCGGCGCTCGTGTCCTTTGCTGGCGACGAGGATATGATCTACGTCGACGTGGATGCTAAGCCTGATTATGCAACTGAATACGCGGACGAGAGCATGGATGAAGACATGGAAGATGTTGATGAGAATAGCCTGGTCAAGAGCAGTCCCGACGATGAGCTCCCGATCACATCCTTCCTGTCGTTTTCTCACGCGCTATGGGGAGACCCGCTTCTCGAGGCGATGTTCCTAGATCCCAGTGCAGCGCTGCTAGAAGGCCACGGCGGACAGCTCATCATATTCCCGCGTCATAAGACGAAGCGGCTGTGGTACACATTCTTTCTGGCGCTCATGGTTCTCGTGCAGGCCAAGAGACAGGAAGAGGTGGGCTTGCTGTGGGTGAATGAAGACAAGGCGGAATGGGCAAGACGCACACTAGACCAGTGCGTGCGGGATTTGAAGGATGCGCCTTGCTACTGAGTGGATATATATCATTGATTATCTATGGACTACCATCTAGTGCTCTGTATTGAATGGAACGGTCTCCTGGATTCTGATTTACAAATATCTGTTCGCGACCTGTCTTGACTGGAATCATTAAATGCAAAACTATGATTATACCGATTATACCGATTTATTTCCTCTCCTTCTCGCGATGTCTCACTTTCTCCAGCGGAAGTTTTGCATTGCATCCTCTGCTTCTGTTTCAAGACACTCAGTCCACTTGGACGGTCACCTGTGGGTGGATGGAGCCAGTGTCCGCCCTGGAGTTGAGCAGCAGGCTGTGGGTTAGCCGTAAGTTCCTGATCGGTTATAAATGTTACTCGCATTCACGATCGATCGAAGTGATGTTCCGATCTATTGATCCACATACTATACAGTGCAACGAATTGAACTTTGCTGAACCTTCTCACCGTACGTGATGCATGAAACGGCAACTTTTACAACTCAAACATGCTAGAGCTCTGCAAAACTGGGGTTTTTCTTCTTTTTTCTTCTTCTCGTTCTTGACTCTGCGCCACTCCCTCCCTAGTAACCTGCGGAGCTGTCAAAGACCAACACAGCGTCTGCAACCACAAGCCTTTCCTACGTCACGGTGCGGGATATCTTCTCCAAAGGAGAAGGCTTTCATTGCGACACTGTCGTTTTCGCTATCACTGGTACGGAACATCGTCCGACATGACTCTATTCACGCGGTGAAAGTAGTTCGTAAGAGCACTCACAAGCTGTTGCTGTAATTCGCAAATTCGATCACCATAAGGGTGGCTCCCCAATGCATTCGGAAAAATGATCCGCTGGCGGACTCTCTCAAAGGAAGTAGGGGGAGGTATTATCGAGCGATCGAATGTGACCGCATTCAATGCTTTATTTTGACGTGCTCCTGGCTATTCTGCGGTACTCAAGATATCCGAACTCCTCATGTCCCCTCTTTGTTGCGCAACTTTCGCACCTGCAGCGGTTGGGGTTCAAGTGGCGTTCTGATTGACTTGGAATCAATTCCGGCAAAGATCTTGTCACATTGTCCACAACGGGGACAGTTGACATCTATTCATGAGTGGGAGCAATCTACAGAACACAATCGACGTCGGACACATTTCTATAGACACAACAATTTTGTGGCCGTACTGGCCGGCATACGCCCGTGATACTGCAGATTGAACTACACGAATCGTTGGCTCACATGGAAATTACATCACGATGATCCGCAAACGCTTCTTCTTCCCTATCGAAACCACGTTCCGTGCTGTGAGAGTTCGACCATGGAGTGAGGGAGTAAAACGAATGGACGTTGTGGTCGTTTCAGTCGTTGATCTAAAGACTCGGAAGAAGATCTATGCATAACCGTAGGACTCGACGTGCAATATTACGCTCGGCCCTCCCTTCGCAACGCTGGATGGGCTGGAGACAGGGAACCGGAGAGCGTTACGACACGCTCGGGCAACCGCTTGCGACCCACACACTGTACGCCGCTTCAGCAAGAAAATCGCACGATAGGATGAGGACCGCATACCTGTTACGGACAAGCGCCCTGTCGAGATGGCGACCACGTCCCGGAGCATCGTTTGAAGATCTGGCCGGCCAGAGCACAGTCGAACGGAAGAATAGTCGAGCAACGAGATCGACGTGCTGTTTTTCTCGTTTAACTTGCCCTCGGAATCGTCGTGAATGGAGTCATCGTCATACGCCCGTTGGTTCGAGACGGGCAGTGGCTCGCCAGCCGTTACATGAATGAGGATGTTGACGTTCAGGTGTGGAGGGGCGAGTTCGAGTGCTTGCTTCAAGGCATCTGACACCCAGTCGATATGGGCTTTACAAGGACCGTCAGCTTCATAGTGGAATAAGGCTGTAAGTCGCTACGTACTGGCTTCTCGTATAGCCCAGATCCAGACGACCTTCCGGCATGCGCTCTTCCCGGTGCGGACATTCCTACAAGCCGATAAATTTTGAGTACGTGGTTTCATTATGCGAAGTAAGGACTCACTCAACCAAGCCCAAGAATGTCGATAGCGTGAAGGCGACTCCAGATCCACCTAAATGGCATATATTAGCATTTTGAGTACTGTTCGAACCGACAGCGCGCCTCACCTGCTACCAGCACGACAGTGTCGTCGTTGTCCAGATCAGGCGTGAACCCATAAGGACCATCGACGAGAGCCATGGCCTTGCCACTGTTCTCGGCGCGCTTCTTCAGCCGCTTCGTGAAACCGTCTCTTACGTTGATCAAGAACACCAACTCCCTCCAGTATGGTGCATCCCCCTTCAACTGCTTCTCCGTGATCGGAGCAGCCTCCTGAGTCTCGACGCTGGCGATCGTGAACGGATGTGACTCGGTGGGGAAGAATGAGACACTCGGCATGGTGAGATACGCCGTCTGCCCTGCTTTCCAATGGAAGTGCAGCGGGCGTGCGATCCGGACGCGAATGAAGTTCGGGGAGAGGAGCTCGACTTGCGCATCAAAGTGGGCCCTCTTCTTGCTCCACGAAAAGTAGAGATGGTTGAAGACGACCATGCGCATGAATCGGATGAAGCGATCAAGGCCCCAGATGAGGAAACTCGGCCAGATGTACGAGCCCTTCCTCTCTTTCCATGCATGGAAATATCCGCCTAGAAGGAAGATGCTGCCAAATATGTTACCGTGTGGATGGAGATGAGAAGACCATTCATGCTTACAAGACCATCAGGAAATGAGTTATGAAGAAGAACTCGTATGCCTTATCTCGAACGGGTCGAATGGAGAAAACAATGAGAATTGAGAATGCCACCATCGCGGTCATACCGATCGGAAGGAACCAGATTGTCCTGTCGAACTCTGACCATGACGCCCTGTGTATACGCCGTTAGGTACTCCGTTGACATGGTCTGAAAATGGCCAAACGCACGCTGTCAGCTACAAGCGGAGTCGAGTCAGCCGCCATTTCACCATGAAAAGAAAATTGGTAATCTCACCCAGTTCGCCGTGTGCACCCAAAGCATGACGAAGCAAACTCGGGCCGTCATTCGGTGCACATAGTTCAACTGCGCGGAGATTGAGCACAGACGCTACCGGTATCAGTCTGAGCTCTCACCTTATCATAACTGATTCCCGTGATGTCTACACGCAATATTGAGTGACAATAGTCAATTAGGAGGAAGCGGGAGCACCTACAAGACACAACGTTGTTCTTGCACCCGAGAGCCGTTACCAGAGTCAGTTGAGCCGAAGCGATGTTACCGGCCCTGTTGCCGTACCAACTCAAGGAGAATTTCTGTCCCGTCGTCGGATCCGTGGCTATAACAACACACATAAGCAGCCAATCAGTAGTAGGAAGAGAGAAACTTGCTGTTAACGAACTCCCATACGAAGAGAGCAATGATGTATCCGCATGTGACAAACACTTCGGCGAGGTTCAAGGTGTATGAGCTACCGAGCTCGAGCGTCCAGCGGAAGGCCATTACACGATACGTGTTGACGATGGCCGCAGGTAGATTGCGGATCGAAAAACGCTTCGGAGGAATACTAGCACCAGCTTCGGCATCTGTATTCGAGGAAGACCGCTTCTTCGACGAGAGCCTTGAGACCACCCAGGAGCCGAATTGGCAAAGCGAGATGGTGAAAAGGAAGCAAGCCACCAAGTACCAGACCTGTTTGGGGTAATCATTGGCATACTTCCTCTTTAGGGCGTTGGCCTGAGCAGCGGCACTGTTGGTTTTCTGAGCCATGGCGACGACGAGCGTACTGCAAGCCAATAGCAGAGGTACGATGCGTGGGGTACCAGAGCAGGTGCAAGGTCCGGGATGCCCATGAGCAGCTAGGCCTGAATTTATACGGGACCTGCATGGTGCGCGCCCTCATCGGTGGGTGACGTCCGGATCGGCCAGGTGCATGGGCAGTCTGTTCTAGCATTTGGGGAGGCACGCCAAGGGCACCGCTGCCCTGCGGAACCGAGAATGCAGCATGCTCTCGCATGATGCTACGACCGGTCCCTTGGAGCATGGGATTTTGGATGAGCCTCGGTCATTCGACAAATTGGTTGGTGGAAGCCCGGGATGAAAAACTTCATTTCTACTTGGCCGAATTGAACACTCTGCTAGATCTTGGAGTACGATACAAGCGTCGACTCACATCATTGGATACAGGAGAGCCATAAATGCAATGTCTGTTTGACGGCGGGTGCAATGCAGTGATCAACGAAGACAAGGTCGGGAGGTGAATAGATATCCTCAAGACTACGGTAATCCGTATGGCGGCTTGGGCTTGGCTGATCGTATGTCGCGTTTTCACGCACAAACGAATGACGATGCGAGGTGCTTGGCGGTAGTTTGGGACGACTGGAGCGTGTCCGAGCAGGGTAGAAATGTCGACCCCATCTTATCAGACAAGCTTGGCATTTTATCTTATCTGATAATCGCGCAATTTTGCCGATAGCAGATCAACGGGAATCCCGACCATCTCCGATAGCAACATCGTTAGCGATGGGCCCTGAAAGAAGCAGAACGTCAATCGGGGACTCTAAGCGTCCAGAAGCGCTAGAAGCGCAGAACCCTGAAAGACGTGCCTGAGCCTGAGGGCGGGCCACAATGTTTCCGTTGAACTGTAAGGCGTGTCACGTGATATCACGATTCACCAAATCCATCAGATGCGACGGAGATAGGAAGATAGCTCGCGGACATTTCGAGACATTCACTACCACGAAAAAAATTCCGTCAGCAAGCAATACTTTGCAGTGGTGTGAAAAACAGACCTTCAGCACCAAGGAAGGGCAAATTCGAGTCTAGCGACCGGAAGCTTGCGAAGAATATATACCTGTAGTTGAACAACTTCAAGATTGAATGTCGAGCGATGATACGAGCCCAAATAAGCAGCCAGTACCAAGTGTCATACCATAGCAAGGGATATCCACCCTTTTCTTCAGCATGAAGGGCCACAGAGCTAGCGAGAATGAATGCCACTACCACAGCGTCGCTCGTGACGATCGGACGTGCTGAAGCGGCTTAGTGATTCGAAGCCACGGTCGGGCTTCCACAGCCTCCCGCAGTCGCATTGTGTAATGCCGTGAATGCAGTGGAATGCAGTGGAATGCTGAGAAGGGCTCGAGCGCCGATCCAGACACGTCAGAGGAATCGCTTCCATCTGGAATTGGCTGAGTTCGCATGCCATGGCGGATGATATAGGCCTGGCCTGATCAGCGCAGCGTCCAAGCTCGATAATCGTCACATAGCTGACCGTCACTGCGAAGTGCCTTGCGTCTTAGCACTCGTCGACTGTGCACCGGTTTGGTCTAGTTCCGAAGAGACCTGATCCGATACGGAATCGCATGTAATTTCAATTGACCTCGCGATTGAGGCTTTCTGAGAATCCTATCATATGAACCTGGACAGTAGGTCGGCCGGACGCGCCAACCAGATTGTTGGTTTCCTTAGAAGTCATCAGTACGGTCGCTGTAGAGGAAGCACGGTTGGCTGATGGCTCACCAGTAGTCCATGCAAAGAGGTTCGAGGCTGCAGCATGAGTACAAAGAGCATACATATTCCATGAGTATCAAGCCACGATTTCTCCATATGGCTTGGCTAGACATCGATCTATGCATAGTTCGTGTGACCACCGATATATATGGACTTACTGAGCTGATATGTCTCTGAACCTCAGTGGACGTGAGAGTTTCCGCGGAAGAGACAATTATTTTGCTTCCGTAAATCATCTGTAGTATTGCGTAGCATCTACGGATACCCATCAACAGTTGAATTTCGTGCCGTGCTTACCTGGGCTTCGGTCCGCCGTCATCTTCGTCTATGTAGTTCATACTGTTGGTTAATGCGTAATGTCCGAACAGAAACCGATGACCTTCAAATGCTGGACGGCAATATTGCAGCAAGCTTTGATGGCCCCACTGAGCTTCAAGAGCGTGTTCCTGTGACAATGTGTGTGACAGACGCGTCCTCCTGTGACATATGTGTGACATAGTCGTCCACTTCGCGTGGTGGCCACTGCTTACTTGTCACACGCCTTCTTCCTCCCAATACCCTGCCGACACTTTCACCACCGAGAACCCGAGGAAAACTTGGTCTTTGGAGGAGCGGTCGCGCCAAACGATGTCAATTCCTGCAACTCCAGCCCGTGCCATAACGTCCATACTTTCCAATCGATCAGCTCCCTCAATACCTCCCGCATCGCAGACATATGAACCACTTGTGAAGGCTGTACTACGGCAACGACTGCTTTATTACATCCTTCTTCCCGCATTTGCCTACACATGGCTGATCGCGAATATGTGGTCTGTCTGGAGCCAGGGAGGAATGGCTCACATTGGCATCTGGGCAACGGTCGTGAACTCTGTGCGGCCACTCACATGGATCTATGCCATGTCTATGTGGCTATTAGGAGCTGTTCCCGCTATTATTTTGAGTAACCGGTTTCTGTCTGGTGAGTCTAAACGTATCTCAGAATGTATAGCCACGACACGTTCGATCAAGTCGGGAGCCTTGAGTACGGCCCGCATGGCCAACGCACGTGTCTTCAATCCGTGGAACACGCTTGTTATACTAGCGTTGCCTTTCTACCGCGATCTTTGAACAGTGCAATCGTCAAATGGGAAGGAGTAACTCCAAGTCCCATCGTTAGACCGTTCACGTTCATTTGGGGAGCGATCAAGTGGTTCTCTACGCGTCTTTGCACTCTTCCGACCTTTTTGTAACGTTCACATGCTCTATATTTCCTATGGCTATGTTTTTGCCGCGTTCATCGAAGTGGTTTGGCGTTGGCTAGCGACGAACTCTACATGAATTTCATCGAGCCAGGCATCTTTATCATATATCATCGGACTATATCTAACTTTGGTTGCTTAGCTGCTCCGACACCAGCGTCATCGCCCTCTAAAATCTTTCACTCTGCTCTCGCCAAACGGAGCACATCGTATGCGCTCATGACATATATATCATCTGCTCTATTACTGGGTGTGCTACATACCCTGATGGCAACCATTTATGAACGCGACGTCGACCCGCGTTTAACCGTTTTCGTCAAGTCGAAGTACGTACCTCCAGCCAGCTTATCTTGATCTTCGCTCATTTGATGTCGTTAGGAAGCACCCGCTATACCTGAATGGCCGTACCATCTACCTGATGTCCTCGCAAGCGCTGCTAGGATGTGCGTACCTGGCGCGCACGATCTTGCTAGACAAGTTCTCAGTCCGCTGGAAAGAGGTGTTCTCATCGGTGCGCAACATCCTATCCAATCGTGACTATGATAACGTTCCTCACGTCATCTTCCCAGCCTGGATTACCCCCTGCAGAGCGCGGGTCGCGTCGTCTCGCCAATATGCTGACGACGTTCGCAAGTGTATCACTTTTTGTTGTACTGTGCAGTACATTACACGCGGTACTCTTTGGCTTCGCGCGTTCGGTCGTCCTACCTGTTCTTCACCTGCTTCCGTTTGTATCCCAAATTCTTCGCCCTTTTACTGCTCACTTCCTCCGAGGATCGTTCACGCTCACTCTATTGTTCCGCCAATGGCCTCTTATTTGCCGGACCTTCTACCTTGCGATGACGACCGTTGCCTGCTGGGAAACGGCAGAATCTCCACTGTTTTCGGTTTGTTTCCTTTTCTACCATCGCTCCTCCATGTGTTCACGCGTACTTGCGCAGGGCATCAACGTTGCAAACAGTGCCGCGGACCCAGCATTAGCCCTCGTTTCTGGCATCACGTCATCCGACGGCTGCTTCAAGCACTTTGCCTATGCTGAGCTGCAACAGCTTGCCAGCGAGAATTCTCCAACTGCAAGCGCTCGACGTACGGAACTGTTCTCAGACCAGAAGTATAATCCGACCATGTGGTCGACCCTCGTCCGTGAGGCCTTGTTGACGCTGGGCAAGGATTATCAGCTGCTGTTGAGGAGAGGTCAGCCAGAGGCTCCGCGTACGTAGCATTTGCTTATGTTCTCATGCTTGGCGGCTGATGATTGGTGTTCTTACATCTGCATGGACCTGCAGCTGCACCTCCCGCGAATCCCCCCCTTGCCGTGCCTGCGGAGGTGAAGCCTGTTCCTCTCATTCGGACATCTGTCCTGAAGGCCACTTCTGCCTCTCCTCTGCGCGCCGCGCTCGATAGTCTCGCGTCCGACGGACCTATCTCTACTGTAGTTGGATCCACAGCCGACGCCGGCGTATCCCACATCCCGGAGCTTTTCCAGTCCGTCTTGCACGCCAGTCCCGGTGGGGATAGGGCGATCGAGGCAGTGAAGAAGAGCGAGGAGCAGATGGTAGGGCTGTATGAGCAGACGAAGGTGAAGTGGCAGGGAGGCCTTGGCGGCATCTTGCGCAGGAACGCGCCGGCCCAAGTGATAGAAGTGGTGGGGATGGTGGAGGAGTGGTGGACGCGAGATCGGGTGAACAAGGCTGTGGAAATGGCTTTGCCGAATAGACATCTGGACGTGCTCGCGATCTCGGGTGAGTACTCGAGTGTTTCTTTCTTGCTATGTGAATGATTTAGGAGTTGATGGTGATCGATGCACTAGTTTTATGCAGCCTAATCTGTGCCTCATTGACCGAGGATAAATATGGAGTGGTCCAACGGGACATACCACGAATGCTAGAAGCGTTGGTGTCGTTCCTCGTTGTTGCGGAAGAATACCAGGCGGATATTTCTAGGAAGTACAACGTTCCCAGTGAGGAAGACATGAAGAAGCTGCCAAAAAAGGAATGCGCGGAGAAAGAGCGCCTCGCGTTTGAGGTTGCTAATGCAGGGGAGGTGTTGACGGAAGTTAGCAACGGTGAGTTACCTGCAATACACAGCACGCAGAACCTTCTCGTCATGCTTACGCTTCATTCGTGTCAGTCCTCAAAGACGGCATCATGCAAGTTGTCAGGACGTTCGGGGACAAGTTGGCTGCGTTCAAGTTCCCGTTACGGACAGCAAAGAAATTGCAGACCTTCGTGGACTATGCGTAGTTTGCTGTCAGTCGCGTTCGAGCGTCTGTGCTTCGCTGTATGTAGCTGGATTTGAGAGCTGGATATTTCGGCTTCATCGAAAATGCATTCATCACAGAATGCTGATGCATCACAGGGCTCAACGATGCCAACCATCGATTTGTAGACAAGATGTAAAACAGGAGGGGTATCAAATTAGCGGGGTATCATGAACACCGTAGAGTTAGCACAGAGCACATTCCCAGAACAAAGCACCGAAAGCAATCACATTCGATCGCTCCATGAGCACCTCTCCCCATTACTTCCCTAGAGAAGTCCACCAACGCCTCCCCTTTTCCAACACGCCCGACATGCCCTGGGCCACCTGAGCCACCATAATACTGAGTCCAGAAGAAGACTTGCGACGACGAGCAGGGTGCAGCTCCGGAGAGACGTACTCGAACCAAGGGTATGGGTCCTCGTCCGCCTCGTATGCCAGTCCGGCGGGGACCATTTGGAGCTGTGGCAGAGCAAGTGAGCGTCAGGGAGCAGATAGGGATGGGACTTTGCATCTCCTCGTCTGTCTCGTCTTGTTCCCCGTTGGCGGGGAAAGGATCAATCTCGATGTCATCAGCAGCAACTACATTCTCCCGGCGCTCTGCACGAGCCCAGTCGCTGGCAATGCCAGGGTTAGCATGAGAGTGTATTGCAAGAGCGGACAAGGGTTGCTGTGCTCACATTGATTGGAAGAACGCGTGTTTCTTGATCTTCGCTGCTGACCATCTCATGTGCGGGCTAGGCTCGAGCATCTAGGATTTGAGATGAGTGCGGAGACAGGCGGGGGTGAAGGAGTGGATATGCACCCCTCGAAGCAGGTCCTTCGTGTTCTCACTCACGACAGCGTCAGGACCGAGGACGACACCGGACTCCAGCGGGTTGTTGAGCATCTTCTTCACCATTCCACGCGACGAGTCGTTCTGGCAAAGATCAAACGGGAACTGCACGTGTCACCGACAGACGCTGATCAGCGCGCTGCCTCTGAGAACACCGAACGTGGGGTGAGCACTCACGCGGCCGGTGAAGAGCTTGTAAATGGTGACTCCCGCCGCCCAGATGTCGACGCCGAAGGAGTGCAGCTTGTCGCAAAACAAGTCGGGCGCCATGTACCCGCCCGTACCGCCCGACCTCCCCGTGAGGTCGCACTCGCCAAAGTCGAGCTTGTAATACCGGTCCTCGTCGTCCATCGGGTAAGTGGTCATGTGCGTCCTTCCGAGCAGCTCGAGAAGCCTCCACGGGCGGGCTTCCTTGCGCCTCGTAAAGTCGCGAGCGAGATCAAAGTCGCCGAGGACGATGTGGTTGTCGGCGTCGATGAAGATATTATCTGACTTGATGTCACCGTGGAGGATTTCAAGTGCGTGGATCTGGGACATATAAGAACGCTCTTTGAGGACGGATAGACCCAATGTATACGCACCAGCTCGGCCGTGTAGTGGAGGATCTGAGCTCGACTTAGAGTTACTTGTTGAGCGACGAGAGAGTGCAGGCCGCCCTTGGCGCAAAAGTCCTAGACAAAAACTAATCCAGATCCGGAACGACGCGACGCAAAATGCACCTCACCAAGACAATGTATAGGTGATGAGTGTCATGGAAGGATGCCTGCAAGTTCGAGAACCACGCATTCCCGCGCAGTCTCTTCAGAACCTCCTGTTCCTCGAAGATCGCGCCGAGGCTCCTGGGCCGCAGCCGTTCCTTACGAACAACTTTCAGCGCATACTGACGGTTCGTAACCGCGTCCCGCACGAGCGACACCGTGCCGAAGCCGCCCTTGCCAAGGAACTTGAGGACATCAAAGTCGGTGGCACTGAGAATCCGATGGCCCGAAGCAGACTGCTTGCGCCGCGGTCCGAACGACGGCGGGCGGGGAAGCGCTGCAATGAGGGCTTTCTCTTTTGGGGAAGGCGTACCGCATAATGTAGGGGAGCCTGCGGTCGTAGACGCGACGTTGGCTTTGATGGGCTCCGCGTGGCAGTAGGCCTGTGGCTGGATGAGCGATGTCTGACGCCAGGGTCGGAAGGGAGCACTCACGAGGACACCGTCTTCGTCGAACACGAGCACAGCGTGTATCTTTGTCACTTCGTGCGTGTTGAATATTTTCTTGAGCTCTTCCTTGGGTACATCCTCCGAAGGGATCAACCAGTCCTAAGGCGTGAACATCAGCTTTTCATGCTGGGAAAGACGGTACAAAGCGCGCACGTCACGACGCCTGTATGTCCCAGATGGGATGGGAGTACCACATAGGATCCCGGTAGAAAACTACACGATACGAATGAGTGGCAGCAAGGCATTACAGCAAACAAAGAACTCACTTCATCCTTACGGTGGTTCCCCTGGTTTGGGACTTGGAGGAGGAGAAGCGGGTAGCGAGGCAGCGCGAGCTGCCGACGAACAGGTTCTTGAGGGCCATCTTGATGCTTGAGGTAGGCGGACAGCGGCCCAGAGCACACCAAATCGAAAGGGTCTGAATTCAAGAACGAGGAAACCAGACATACACCCGAGTACGCCATAAGTGCCGCGATTCATTCTGAACAAGACTGAGTGTCTGGTTTGTGGCGAAATTAAGAATGTGCGCAAAGGCGAGCATTCTAGTTCAGACTGGCCACATCGATCGATTGAGCGAGTGTAAGCAACAGCTTTTTGTATTTTCCCCTACTTTCTTCAACTGGAAGCTCTTCAGTTGTAATAACTCTCCTGCATCTTGTAGTTAGTAGGTATTACACTGGAAATGATGATAGATAACTCGGAGTGATCGGTCGGATGTTCCAAGGAATAACCAGCTTGTACACTCACAGAAGCGTATCGTTCCTTCTTTTGGAAGTACAGATAGAGGCGGGTGAGTGACCATTATTCGAGTCCGAGGGCCCGGGATACCACAAGTTCAGAAGTTAGTGATAGTGAATGCCGCAATTTGCAGCCACAGAGGTACTTTGTTCGTCAATGAGCACATCTTACTCGGTCAAGATTCTCTCAAATAACTATGAAATTGGTCAAGGACTTTTGCGACCATCATTGTTGCTGCCGGGAAAGTAGTTGTGTCTGGTGGTGTCGCGTCGCGTCACAAGATCTGTCACGCATCTCGCACAGCGTGACAACGTGACAGGGCGCGCCTCTCGCAGGTGACGGGCTCGTGCATGCACTTTCGCCAGCTCTCCAATCCGTTCAGCCTCATTGAAACGAGAGGGCTGAGCGTCATGTTGCACATCAGTTCGTACGAACGTTACGCTCAACGTTAAAACCTCATTGAAATCGGTCGATTCGTAGATTCAGGCGTCTTCTGTGCAAATATGCTGGTATAGTCTGGAGTCAAAAGCTGTACGTGCACTTCACGGTACTGCGTCTAACAGACGACCACGAGCAAGACGCAACATTGCTAAGTACGAGACTCGGAGAGAGGTATCCTACGTAGAGCATAGCATTCGGCGACCGATACGAAACACGCAAACACGACGCAATCCAGATTCCAAACAAGAAACCACACTCCAACCTAATCCGCACTGATATCCATACGCGACGAGGAGGAAGATGAGGACGTGGCAAAGCCCATCGTCATCCCATCAATCCCAAACGTGACCTCCGCCGCGTACCCACTATCCTCGCTGACCTTCCTCTTCCTCTTCAAGCCCCGCGCGCCCCGGGCCACAGCGCCAGCGACACTGGTCGAGACGGACGAAGCGGACGCGGACTCGGACGTGGTCATGGACACGCTCGCGCATGAGACGAGCGCAGACGCAGTCCGCTTCTTCTTGGGCGTAGAGGCGACGGCGCGCGCCAGCAATTCGCGAGAGCCAGAGCCAGAGCTGCCTGCCCGCTCATGCGCCGCCATCGTGGTGGTTGTAGTGACGTTCAGCTGCGCGCCGGGCACCTGCATCAGGGGCCGCCTCTCGGGGAGCCGTTGGCTATAAGCGCGCAGCATACGCGCGGGCTGTACCTTCGCAGCCATGCCCATCTGGGCAGGCGCGACGCGGTGTGACTGCGAGCGCGCGAGGGTGCGCGTCGGAGGCGCTTCGAAGTACGGGGCATCGAAGCACGCGTCGAGGTTATAACGCCTCTTCTTCCCAGCGCGCGCGGCAGGTTCCACCGGCTCCAAGACGTCCTCCTCCTCCCGCAGTGCTGCGAGCGCAAGACTAGCGCGCCCAACGCTCGCCGTGCTCCTATTCGCAAGCGGCGATCCAGGGCTCCGCAACACGCGCCCAAGCACATCTCCTTCCAACGACCTCATACTCCGCGCCGGCCGCGGCGCATTTGGGGGAACTTGGCCGCGCCCGGAGCCGACGCCGAGTCCGACGAGCCGCTCGATCGCGCAGCGTATCGAGGCGTCGGAGCGCGCGGGGGCGACGTCGATCTGGAGGAGGCGCGGGAGCTTTGCGTTGAGGGTGTGCGCGACGGAGAGGAGCTCGGTGCGGGTCATGGTGAGGAGGTCGGCGTGGCAGCAGAAGGGGACGCTCGCGAGGGCGGTGATGATGATGGCGTCTTCGTCGTGGTCTTCGTTTTGCAGCGCGACGCAGGCGGGGCGGTGGTGGTAAGGAGAGGGAGGAGAGGAGTCGCGGGCGCGCTTGCCGAGGAGGGAGGGACCGGGCTTGAAGACGTCATGTAGGAAGCGGCGGACGGTCGGGGTGACGGGGACTTTTGTCTTTGAGCCTCTTGCCATGGTCGTTCGTTGCGTTGTTCAAAAGAAAGGATGGATGCTGCGAGCGGTGCTTGACGGAGGAGTAGAGGACTGCCAGACACCGTGTTTCGTCCAGCGTATCAACCGCAACCGGACGTATGTGTGTCCAGTCAGCCTCCGATCGTTGCATGAGCATTCTACGAGTGTCCCTGGGCAAGTTCGAAATGTCGATTTCAAACGTAACATAAGGTTGTCAGAGCACCAAGCTCGTATCGAGTCTCTCGTACTCTGGCAGTCGTGCCAGAACGTTTGATGAACTATCCCCACGTGTTTGGGCGTACATGTCAAAAGAGCGCGCCACGGTGGTCGACTTTTCCGATAAAAGGTTAGCCGTATGACTGAGCCAAGAACCACTCAAACGTGCCAATATGCAGCGAAGAGAACGCAGCAGGCGTTATTCTCGCACGAACTCCGAGGACGCGGCAATCATTAAGGACGATCTCGTGCAGATCGCGGATCTTAATGGGCGTAGTAAACATCTGTCTGCATTTACATTGTACATCTACACATCTAACAGCAACACTGAGCACTACGTCATGGCTGGAATGGAAAACAACATCACACAATAGTCCCAAAGTGATCAGATCAGAGAGCAGCCAGGACGGCATCCGCGCCCGACACGGTGACCTCGGATCCTGGCTCGAGCTATGAGGCGGTAGATCAGCGACACGGAGTGTGATCGCGATGTGGAAGATACGTACCCCGATGTACTTCACCTTCAGATCGTCAATGATCAAGGCGTATCGGTCAGTCCGGGTGCCAAAGCCAATGGCAGACAGGTCCTTGTCAAGACCAATCGACGCCGACCACTTGGCGTCCGGGTCGGAAAGGGCAAGGATCTACGTCGAACCACTGAGTAATGCAAAAAGGACAGACATGCGCATGAGCCTGCTCACCTTGTCCTTGAGCCCCGTGAAGCGTGCCCAGCCGCTCATAACAAAGGCGTCGTTCGCCGCGACGACAGCGATCACGTCGACGCCCTTGGCCTTGAACTGGTCGTACTTCTCAAGGTAGGGCGGAAGGTGGTTAGAGTGGCATGTAGGCTGGACAGGGCACGGCAATCAACACCTCGCGCCACACAAGCGGCACGACGAACATACAGTGAAGGCTCCTGGGACGGAGAAAAGGACGACCTTCTTTCCCTTCCACTCCTTCGTGGACAGCTTGGTCGCTGCAGATGCGTCGATATCTAATCAGACAAGATCGGCGGGGATCGCAGGCGAGCGTACGCACGGATACCGCACGCGGAGTGGTCGTCCAGCTCCGGGGTGTATGCGATGTAGGAGAAGGTTCCCTCCGGGATAGTGTCGCCGACCTTGATCGTGGGGGCCATCAGTGCGAGTGTGAGTGTGTGTTGTGAGGGCGAGGGATGCTGGGAATCGAAGAGCAGGGATGTGAATGCAGGATGCCGGCAGCCGCTGGGCCAGCGCCCGCTTTAAAGTGGTGCGGGGGAGCGTCACATGATCGTTGGCGGAGGTTAGTCAAGCCAGCACCGCGCACGGTCCCAGCGATTCTGTAAGCACACGCGCGACGGCGATGGTCCTCGGGTATAGAACGCCTTTTGACAATTGGCAGTTCCACACCGTGGCCTGACAGATTTAAACCTTCCCGCTGTCCTGATAATCAAACCCGCCGGCGCGTTGGGGGCCAACAAGGGCTGCTGATGGGCAATGGCGAGCGATGATTGGACGTGATGGATATATCGTGACTGCACAGTCATGCTGGAGGCGTGCTTCGCGGGCGCTGGACGGGACATTGGTGCCTGCGAGGACGGTGGCAGTGGACGCATCAGTGGATGGGTAAGGCTTGCAGCCGTGCACGAGACACGTCTCGACGCGTAACACGCTCACGTGACCGTATTATGCAGGTGCGTCGGACTCTGCGACAAACGGGGCTAATTTCGCACGTCGAGCACGCATGCGATTGCGCGGAATGATGGCGATTCTCATCATGCCCGAAGCGTTTCATGCTATCGAAAGGTTGGGCCATCAGAAGGTCGCTCGGAGAAGGACTACCGAGGGGAAGTTCGTTGCTTGCTTCATTTTCGCTGCAGTCAGCTCTGCAGCTTTCTTTTGCTCCGTCTCGTCCCTTCGTGAAGAATGAGGATGATCGTGTGCTTGTATTTGCAAGTGAGCACGTTGTTTCAAATCTATTTGATCTTTACATACATGCACGCACAGCATCCGAGCCGCACTTAGTATCTGACATTACCGACCATCAACAGCACGCACCGCGACACTCAGTGAGAGCCGTCCTGAAAGCCGTGTTTCCAAGGCATCAAAACAATTGCACTCAAGCCGCCCGCCTCCAGCTTTCACAGAGAGTTACTACTCGTTCTCGGACTCTCTCTCCTCACCATCTTCCTCCTCAGCAATCACGACCATTGCATAAGACAGATAGATGCTGTCCTCAGTCGCCGGTCTCGCTTCATTGCCCGTGTACTCTGCCCCTTCGTCAATCTCCTCTTTCCAGACCAGGGAATTCTTTTCAAAATCCAAGGCATAGAAGGGCACGTCTTCGAGCGAGTTGAGCCACTCTTGCCCCGTGTTCACGTCGAGCTTAGTGATTTCAAGCCTACGGTTGCCTTGGTTGTATTCCCCATACCTGGACTGCACGTCCTTGCTGCGGAACACCTGCAGAATCGCATTCACGTGCGCCTCTGTCAGGGGGTACACTGGTGCCTTGGACTGAGGTGGACCGCTCCTGACACTGTCGATATAGTAATATCCGTCGAACATAGTCAGGACAGGGAGAAAATGCACCTCCCCACCATGCTTCTGCGCGACCTTCACCGCCGCGTCGCGCAGCATGCTGTCGAACCCGTTGAACTCGGTCGTTCCCATGCAGTATTGATGTTCGAGCAAGAGTCCGAACGGCGCATGCATCGCGGCAAACGCATGTTCCATCTCACTGCGCGTCTTCTCTTGCAAGCTGTCATGGGGTGCAGTTATTGCTTCCTCACCAGGCACGGGCTCCCGCTTGAAAACTTTGAAGGCGATGACGGCGCGATACCCGTGCTCGATGCGAGTGACTGCATGTGGAACACTCGGGTGGAACGCTACCCAAGTCCCCGCATCGGCCCTGTAATAATCGTCGAGAACCTTCAAGTGGCCGTCACCAGGTGTCGAATCTCCGAGACCGACGAGGAACGTCCCCACAAGACCCTTCTCCGGGGTGTCCTTGTGCGTGCGGAATTTCCCGCCTGGCCCATACAAATGGATCTTGTATGGCTCAACGCGCACCCCAGGTGGCAGAAAATTCTGGTCCCAGATCGTCGCGATTTCTTGAAGAAAGTCCGGGGACACACGGAACTCTGAGGCGAGAATCTCTCGAGCATTGCGAACGTTCTCGTCGACCTTGTTCTCTTGTGCTTGAACGTCTCCGAAGGGAGAGACTGTCGCATTTTCGAACCATTGCGACACGCGGTTGTCGTTCACTTTCATGTCGTTTTCGCCGGATTGATCGATTGAGGGCTGGGGCACGATCTCTCCAGAGAACTCGCAGCCTGCACGCGTGATGTCAAGACTGAACGGCTTTCCTAGGACGCCGTCCTTGAGAGGCGGATCCCGGTTAGCATAGAGCTTCTTTAAACGTCGGATACCGGTCTATGCGGTGCATGCGTGAGTTTTATGAGAGCCCAACACGGTTACAGGACTAACCCGGTCCTTGTTATCTTCGCTTGCAGCTGCTCTGTCAGTAGTCGAGGTCTCGGTGCCCTGCTCGTTTCTTGACTCAGATTTCGCATCCTTGAGGATATCATATTCCGAGTCGCTTACCTCGATGGACTCGCTTTCACTGAACTCTTCGTAATCGCCAGAGTAGTGCCTTTCCCAGAGGTTCATCTTCGTTCTGCACATCCCGATAGGCTCGAGATACTTTGAAGCATGGTCTAAAGCAAGCTTGATGTCGAGCGCAGATCGGACAGGGGAGGGCAGCATCGTCGCAAGTCAGTACAGTGCGGTCGCGAGTTGAGATGAGGCGAGTCGAGTTGTGGTAGACTCGCGAATCCGCTCAGACTTTATTGCTCAAAGTGGTCTGCGTACGAGATTAGCTGAAAAGTTAGCCGCACACGCGTGAGCGGTATCAGAATTCCACTCTGACTTGAGCGATCGATGGCGATGAACATCTTCCTCGTCGCAAAAAAAAAGAAGACTGATGGGTACATCCAAACTAGCCATGTCTGACTCGAGTGGTGAATCTGGTGATCAACATGTGCCTCATTGCGAATAAGAAGAAAGAAGCCTTGCCTAGTTGCGAAAGAAGGGACACTGAAAGGTACAACCAAACTAGTCATGTCTGACTCGAGTGGTGATTAACGTATGCCTCGTTGCGGAAAAAAGAAGACCGACCGGTATTTTCAGTCCGACGTGAAGGAAAACAAGCATCCAGCATCGCGCGTGCCGCTTGGTTCGTTCGGAACAGCATCCTAGTGACAATGCGCCACATCTGGCATGACCATCGGCTGGCATGACCATCGGACTCGCGAGTCGATAGGAGTCGATACCAAGTCACGCCAACATTACACAAATCCCGCACAAGGTCCTGGCAATCATCGATGCGCGATACAGTACTGGTACCTTCATGGAAGTTTTCTCGATGGTGCTACCCAAGCTCGTTCATACAGCCTGAGCTTCGGTCCCGGGACGACCTTCTGGAGGTAGATATTATAGCAGAATCATCTGCGGCGTCGGGGTACAGGCGGAGGGCGAAAAATGCATGCACTGGTTCGAGGGCAGGGCTTTTTGATCTCCGATAGTACTCCGCTGTGGCCGTGGTGGCGCCACCTCTCCCTGTCTGTAAACGTACGAGAAGGCTAGTTCTCGGGTGATCTCAACGGTTCCATCAGGGAAGCGCACTCCTCCTTCAACCGTGGATGCTGAATCTGGCACCTAGGCTTCCCTGAGGACGGAAGTCCACGCTGAACTGGTACGGTAACAGAGCTGCGAATATTCGGCTCAATCGCCGAGTCTTATAATCTTATAACGGCACTTGGCACTAAAAACGACGCTATTACATGTATGCGCATTCGATCTATTACTTAAGACCTTAGCAGCGTACTATCCTTGACCTTGTATGTTGAATAGAGTCCTAACGGAAACTTCTTCGGGTCAGCACTGTAGTTTTCTTCTGCATCCACTCCGTCCCCACGAAGGGCATAGAATGAGGATAGTTGTGCAAGCCACACTCCTCTGCACAAGCATCACAGAAGGAGCCAGGCTTAAGAAATATCATGGGAGCGCCCCTTGCTACGTCGACGGACTAGAGATGAGGATAGAACATTAGGCGTGCGCAATTCTTACAGTTCATCGACCTCTAGCACCAAGAGGATAGGATCATTGTGCCTATATTGGCAAGTAAAAACGTCTACTTGATGTCTACTACGTAAATGCCACACGCACAGTATTCGACTCAGCCACACTTAGTATCTGACATTTACCATTCATCAGCCACACGCGCAGCGACCCTCAATTAGAATAGCATTGAACCATCCTGGAAGCCGTGTTTCTAAATCATCAACAAAAGTGCACTCTAGCCATCCGCCTCCAGCTTTTACATGACGTTACAACTGGTTGTCGGCCTTTTTCTCCTCACCATCTTCCTCCTTAGGGATCACGACCATTGCGTAAGATAGATAGATGCTGTCCTCAGTCGCCGGCCGAGATTCATTGCCCGTGTACTCCGCTCCATCGTCAATATCCTTTTTCCAGATCAGGGAACTCTCCTCAAAGTCCAAGGCGTAGAACGGCACGTCTTCGAGGTCGTCGAGCCACTCTTCCCCCGTCTTCACGCAGAGCGTAGTGATCTTAAGGTTATATCTGCCTTCGGGTGTCATGTATTCCCCATACCTGGACTGCACGTCCTTGCTACGGAACGCCTTCAGAATCGCGTTCACATGCACCTCTGTCAGGGGGTACACTTCCGCCTCGGACTCAGGCGGGCCGTTCGAGTATTCGTCGATGTTGCAGATTCCGTCGAACTTAGTCAGGACAGGGAGAAAATGCACGTCGGAGCCATGCTTCTGCGCGAACTTCACCGCCGTGTCGCGCAGAATGCTGTCAAACCCGTTGAACTCGGTCGTTCCCATGCAGTATTGATGTTCGAGCAAGAGGCCAAACGGCGCGTGCATCGCGGCAAACGCGTGTTCCATCTGACTGCGAATCTCCTCTTGCAAGCTGTCATGGCGTGGCACTACTTCTTGACCAGGCACGGGCTCCTGTTTGTACACCTTGAAGGCGATGACGGCACGATGCCCTTCCTCGATGGGAGTGACCTCGTGTGGAACGCTCGGGTGGAACGCTACCCAATTACCCGCATCGGCCCTGTAGCACTTTTTGAGAACCTTCAAGTGACCACGACCAGGTGTCGAGTCTCCGAGACCGACGAGGAACGTCCCCACGAGCCCCTTTTCCGGGGTGTCCTTGTGCGTGCGGAATTTCCCGCCTGGCCCATACATATGGATCTTGTACGGCTCGACGCGCACGCCGGCTGGAAGAAAGTTCCGGTCCCAGATCGTCGCGATTTCTTGAAGAAGGTCCGGGGATACACGAAACTCTGCAGCGAGAATCTCTCGAGCATTGCGAACGTTCTTGTCCACTTTGTTCTCTTGTGCTTGAACATCTCCGAAGGGAGACACTGTGGCGTTCTCGAACCACTGTGCCATGCGGTTCTCGTTCTCGTTCTCGTCGTCTTCACCAGATTGATCGGTTGAGGGCTGGGGCACGATCTCTCCAGAGAACTCGCAGCCTGCACGTGTGATGTCAAGACTGAACGGCTTTCTTAAGACACCGTTCTTAAGAGGCGGATCCCGATCTGCGTAGAGTTCCTTCAGGCGTCGGATACCCTTCTATGAGGTACATGCGTGAATTTTATGAGAGCCCAACATCGTTACAGGACTAACTTTGTTATCTTCGCTTGCGGCTGGTCTGTCAGTAGTCTCGTCCTCACTGCCCTGCTCATTTCTTGACTTAGAACTAACATCCTTCCGGGTATCATACCCCGAGTCACTTACCTCGGTGGACTCGTCCGAGTAAATGTCCGCATTGAATTCCCTTTCCCAGAGCTCCATCTTCGTTCTGCAAACCCCAATAGGATAGAGATACTCTGCAGCATGGTCTATAGCAAGCTTGATGTCAAGCGCAGATCGGACAGCGGAGGGCAGCATCGTCGCAAGTCAGTCGGTCAGTGTTGCTGCGAGTTGGGATGAGGTGGGTTGAGTTTTAAGTAGACTCGCGAGTTTGCTCAGATTTAATCGCTCGCAGGTGGTCTTGTACCCAGACCTCTTCACTCACACCCCCATTCTTCCTGCAGTGGTGGGGTGCGAGTAAAGAGGTCTGGGTACGAGACCAGCTAAAATGTTAGCCGCATACGCGTGAGCGGTATCAGAATTCTACTGTGACTCGAGTAACCGGCAGCAATGAAATGATCTGCCTCGTTGCCAAGAAAAAAAATCAACGGGTACATACACTCAACCAGACACTAGCCGTATCGATCTGACTCGAGTGATGGCGATCAGCATGTGCCTAGCTGCAGAAAAGGGGACACTGACGGGTACATTCAAACTAGCCATGTCTGACTCGAGTGGTGATCAACATCATATGCCTCGCTGCAAAGGAAGAAAAGAATACTGACGGGTGCATTAGAACAGACACCGGCCATGGTCAGTCCGACGTGAAGGAAGACGAGCATCCAGCATGATCGCGCATGCGCTTGTTTCGTTCGGAACACTGGCGTCCTGACAATGCGCCACATCCACAACCAACAGCAGCCAACAGCACCGAAATGCGTTACGTTTGGACTCACGAGTCGATGCCAAGTCACGACAATAAGTGCCGTGCGTCAATTGAAGCACGAAGCCCGCATGCGGCCCCAATCATCGATGCGCGATACTGTACTGGTATCTTCGTGAAAATTTTCACGGTGTGCTGCCCAAGCTTGTGCGTGCAGCTTCGGTCCCGGGACGACCTTCTGCTCGAAATAATGTTCCGGAAAAACTAGGATCCAGGGGTTTATACGTGTTTTAAACTGTAGGCGCCGGATAGGCAACAGTTTTGTACAAGCAGCAAACTACTTTCAAATATAGCATTAAAGCGCGTGCGTCACGATAGCACGCGGCGCTAATAGTAGGCGTATCGGAATGACCATGGCCATATAAAGCCAGTGTCTGTTTGAATCTTCTTCTTCCTCCTTTTTCAAAAACTTTTTAAGGCGGCACATATGGTTGATCACCATCACTGGAATCAGATGTGGCCAGTGTCTATTTTGCAATTGGTGTACCCGTACGTCAGTCTTCCTCTGTTTTTTGGCAACGAGTCAATGTCACTAACGTTGATCAACGTCACTGAGTGGAATTCTGATACCGCTCCCACGCATGTGACTACAGGCTACAGGAAGGAATTTAAGGGGCTCGTGCAAGGGGCGGTGCATCGTGTCTTTTACTATACGCCAACTCAGCCACATTTGAACATCGCGAGTCTACTTACAACTCGCCTCCCCTCATCCCAACTCGGCGCGGCAACACTGAACTGACTTGCGACGATGCTGCCCTCCCCTGTCCGATCTGCGCTCGACATCAAGCTTGCTATAGACCATGCTGCAGAGTATCTCGAGCCTATAGGGGTGTGCAGAACGAAGATGGAGATGTGGCGAAAGTGCTATTCTTGCATGGACGACGAGGCCAGCGAAGTCGAGTCCACCGAGGTAAGCGACCCGGAGTATGGTACCGTCAAGGATGATAGTTCTGAGTCAAAAAAAAAAAACGAGCAGGGCAGTGAGGACTCGACTACTGACGGAGCAGCCGCAAGCGAAGATAATGAGGCAGGTACTGTTACCATGCTAGGCTCTCATAAACCTCACGCATGCACCTCATAGACGGGCATCCGACTCCTGCAGGAGCTCTATGCCAATCGAGATCCGCCTCTTAAGGATGGTGTTTTAGGAGAGCCGTTCAGTCTTGACATCACACGTGCAGGCTGCGAGTTCTCTGGAGAGATCGTGCACCAGCCCTCAATCGATCAATCCGGCGAAAACGACATGAAAGTGAACGACAACCGCGTGTCGCAATGGTTCGAAAATGCGACAGTCTCTCCCTTCGGAGACGTTCAAGCACAAGAGAACAAAGTCGACGAGAACGTTCGCAATGCTCGAGAGATTCTCGCCTCAGAGTTCCGTGTGTCCCCGGACCTTTGTCATGAAATCGCGACGATTTGGGACCAGAATTTTCTGCCACCCGGGGTGCGCGTTGAGCCATACAAGATTCATTTGTATGGGCCAGGCGGGAGATTCCGCACGCACAAGGACACCCCGGAAAAGGGTCTCGTGGGGACCTTCCTCCTCGGTCTCGGAGACTCAACACCCGATGACGGCCACTTGGAGGTTCTCGACGATTGTTACAGGGCCGATGCGGGGACTTGGGTAGCGTTCCACCCGAGCGTTCCACACGAAGTTACTCCCATCGAGGACGGGTATCGCGCCGTCGTCGCCTTCAAAGTGTTCAAGCGGGAGCCCGCGCCTGGTGAGGAAGTAATTGCGCTATCTCAAGACACCATGCAAGAGAAGATGCGCCCACGGATGGACCGTGCGTTTGCCGTGATGCACGCGCCGTTCGGACTCTTGCTCGAACATCAATATTGCATGGTGACAACCGAGTTCAACGGGTTTGACAGCATGTTGTGCGACGTGGTGGTGAAGACCGCGCAGAAGCATGGCTCCGGCGTGCATTTTCTCCCCGTCCTGACTAGGTTCAACGGGCTCTACTATTTCGACACTGACTCGGCCGGCCCGCCTGAGGCCGAGGCGCCAGTGTATCCCTTGACAGAGGCGCATGTGAATGCGATTCTGCAGGCGTTCCGCAGCAGGGACGTGCGGTCTAGGTATGAGGAATACATGACAGCCAAAGGCAGACGTTACCTTAAGATCACTACGCTTGACGTGAAGACGGGGCAAGAGTGGCTCGACTCGCTCAAAGACGTGCCGTTCTACGCCTTGGACTTTGAAAAGAGTTCCCTGGTCTGGAAAGAGGACATTGAGCAAGGGGCAGATTACACGGGCAACGAAGCGAAACCGGAGACTGAGGACAGCATCTATCTATCTTACGCAATGGTCGTGGTCCCTGAGGAGAAACGTGGTAAGAAGAGAAAGGCCAAGAACGAGTTGTAACGCCCTGTGAAAGCTGGAGACAGATGGCTAGAGTTCAATTGGTTTGTTGCTCAGAAGCACGGCTTTCCTACCATTCTAATTGAGGGTCGCAGCGCGTATAGTTGATAGTTGATGATGTCGAACTCAGAATGTAGCTCGGATGTTCTGCGTGCGTTACGTAGACATCAACTAGGTTTGAAGCAACGTGTTTACTTGCGAATACGGGCACACGACCGTCCTCAGTCTCCACGAAAGGACGGGGTGGAGAGCTACAGAGCTGACCCGAGGACTCTATTCAATATACAAGACGGTAAGGGTAGTACGCTGCTGCAGATTTGGTACCAACTCTACAAAACATTCGGCTTTGTGACGAATGTGCGTAGGTCCAAAAACAAAGAGTCACGTATTCAACAATAGGTCCTTCACGAACCGGCGCATACCCGCAGACCCTAAGCATAGCCGTACGATTCGACGTGCAAGATCACGCTCGGGCCTCCCTTTGCAACGTTCAATGGAGTAGAGACGGGGAACCTGAGAGCAGTGCGGCACGCTCGAGCAATCGCCTGCGATCCACAGACTAAACGATGAATGAGCAACGACGTATGGTAACAGCACAATCGCAAACAATCTGCGTACCCGTCACAGATAGACAACCGGTCGCGGTGGCAACTTCATTCCGGAGAAGTGCATGGAGATCCGGCCGTCCAGGAAACAGCTGGACAGCAGAGTAATCGAGCAAGGATATGGTGGCGCTGCCCTTTTCTTGAGACTTGCTTGCCGAGTCATCGTGAACAGAGTCGTCATCGTACGCCTTCTCACTCGCAACGGGCAGCGGTTCCCCTGCAGTCACATGGATAAGGATGTTCACGTTGAGTGACGGAGGAGTGAGCTCGAGGGCCTGCTTCAAAGCCTTTGAAACCCATTCGATATGACCTGTGACGAGAGTGAGCGGCGTTTCGTGCATGCAGCAATGCGAGATACGCACTCGCTTCTCTGATCGCCCAGATAAACACCACTTTGCGACACGCGCTCTTTCCAGCTCGAACCTTGCTGCGAACATTTAACCGTCGGTGAGAAAGGTTTGACACGGCACGAAAGCTAACTTACTCGATCAACCCCAAGAACGTCGAGAGTGTGAATGAAATGCCAGAACCACCTACAGAACGGGTATGGGCATTTCGGAAAAAACCACCCAAACGGAAGTAAGAGACTTACCTGCCACCAGCACAACGGTGTCATCGTTGTCCAAGTTAGGAGTGAACCCATATGGACCATCGACGAGAGCCGTAGCCTTCCCACCCTTCTCGGCGATCTTCTTCAGCCGCTGTGTGAAGCCGTCCCGTACATTGATGAGGAATACCAGCTCCCTCCAGTAGGGTGCCACGTCGCCCAGCTGCTTGTCGGACATCGGGGCAGCTTCCTGGGTTTCGACGCTGGCAATGGTGAATGGATGTGCCTCGGTGGGGAAGCGCGAGACGCCTGGCATGGTGAGATATGCTGTCTGCCCTGGGGTCCAGTGGAAGTGAGGCGGCCGCGCGAGCCGGACGCGAATGAAGTGAGGAGAGAGGAGTTCGACGTTCGCGTCGAAATAGACCTTCTTCTTGCTCCACGAGAAATAGAGGTGATTGAAGACAACCATGCGCACGAGGCGAATGAATCGATCAAGTCCCCAGACGATGAAACTCGGCCAGATATACGACCCCATGCCTTGCCGGTTGGCATGGAAGTACCCACCGAGGAGGATAATGCTGCAAAACAGTTCAGCATACGAAAGCGAGAGCGAACTCAAAGCTGAATACTCACAAAACCATGAGAAAATGAGTGATGAAGAACAGCTCATAGGCCCTTTCTCGGATGGGGCGTAGAGACATCACGCAAAGGATCGTGAAAGCGACGATGCACGTCAAGCCAAGTGGGACGAACCACGGAGTATCCTCATACTCTGCCCACGGGTTGCTACTCAAATGAATAAGTGATTCGTGAATTTAATCAGATAGTCAACATACGAATATAGCTGTAGAAGGAGTCATGTCAGCGTCCATCGTCCTTTCGATGAATCTCACTATCTCACCCAATTCGCCCCGTGCACCCAAAGCATCACGAAGATTACTCGAGCCGTCATTCGATGAACGAAGTTCAGCTTTACTACGTGTCAGCAACATTCGGTGAAACCGAAGAAAATTCTCACCTTATCGTAACTGATCCCGGTGATGTCTGGGTAGGAGTAATACTGGTCAGTGCTGGAGGCCTTAGGCGACTAGATCGAGTGCGCATACATGCAATGACGTTGTTTTTAGTGCCAAGTGCCGTTACAAGAGGCATTTGGGCCGACGCGATGTTCGCAGCTCTGTTACCATACCAGTTCAGGGTGAACTTCTGTCCTTCCAAGTCCGTGGCTGTAGGCTGTTGTCAGCTGTGAACGAGCATACGGATAACGGTACTGACTGTTGACGAATTCCCATATGAAAAGCGCGATGATGTACGCGCATGTCACGAACACCTCGGCAAGATTGAGAGTGTACGAGCTACCGAACCCCAGTGTCCACCGAAAGGCGATCACCCGATACGCATTGACAATGGCAGAAGGAATACGGCGGACTGAAAATTGCCTCAGGGAAGTCTCGGCACCAGCTTCAGCATCCACCGTCGAATTAGTGCGCTTCCTCGATGAAACCCTTGAGACCACCCAAGAGCCAAGTTGACCGAGAATGACAACGAAAATGAAGCAAGCCACAAAATACCAGACCTCCTTAGGGTATTCCTTCTGGAGGTAGACCCGTATTGTCTTGTCCTCGCTGGCGATGGTAGTCTTGTTCGCTGCCATGGTGGCGATGAAGGTACGGCAAACGGACGGAGAGCGCACGATGCGTGATGGTCCCCGGAAGGAGTGGGGGATTACCAGCGATGCAACCTATCGACAGTATTACTGCGATTTATACGCCGGATGTAAGGCACTGGATCTCATCGGTGGAAAACCTGCCGTATATGGAGATTGTGGTGGGCAGTTCCGTCCAGCATTTCCCGAGGCACGCCAAGTTAATCAACGTCTTCCGAGATGCATAATGCAACCAACCTGTTCGTGACGCTACGATCAATTCCGTGGAACATGGGAATCGAGATGAGCGCTAGCCCGGGCCATTCAGCACCTCCGCCCCAGAAACCAATAGGGGTGCGCGATGAGCTCAGATACCCATCTCACAATTCAGATCTCATAAAACGGCGGAGCCTGCGTGAGAAGCCTCCAATAAGCTTAACCAGATTGAGTCAGCGTTTCTCTCACCGGCAGATGCAAGATTCTGCAGCGCACGTTCGGACGGTCTCGTTAACATGAGAATAGCCTGCAGGAAGACAGGATACCCCTGCTCTGTCAGTAAGGATCATGGTTCTAGTACGATAGTTAAAATAATCAGCGTGAGCGTCCACACGCAGACGCTGGGCCGTGTATGCGATCAGCATACTATGTACGCCCTGGAGGAATAAAACATGGTCGATGGCATAATTCATTCTATAAATGCGGACCGGCGGTAACGGAGGTTATTCTGACAGTGGGGAATGAATAAACCAAATAGTCATTGAAGCAGGATGAAATCGCCGACATTACCCTATCAGCCAAGCATTGTCATTTTATCTTATCTGATATAAATGCACTTGACAGATGACACACAATGGTACCGCGGATGGCATCATTGCGACTCTTCCCTTCCATTGCTTCATCTCACAGCTTTGTTGACCGGAAGCGCGGTGTTCAGCACGAAGATAACCAAAGGCGGCTGACTGCGGAAGGAGATGATGGTTCATCGAGAAGCGCGTGCGGTTCAACTGGCCCGAACAAAAGCTACATGCCATGAAGCCTAAACATGCAACACGCGGAACACGCAGAGCCAATTCAAATTGGCCGGCGGTATAGTCTACTCACACATCGCATCAGCGTCATGGGGTGACATATAGAGACGCCATGTGGTACTTACTGCGCTTGTCAAGTACGACAAGTGTGAATGTGCATGACTCAGGAGAGCGTGACTCTTGCGGAAGAATGGAATCTTCGTCAGCTCTGTGAAGTTACATGGGAACGAAACACTAAGATCCCTCCCCATGTAAAGATCGTGAGTGAAAGGGCTTGATGTTGGCCTTGATTCTTGCTATAAATGTGCAAACGGAGTTAAAGCGATCGTCATGACCAACTGCAAACCAGTTCGCGCGAATTTCGGATGATGGATGAGGCACATGCAATACCTGAGCTCGCTCAGAGCCGAGGTCGGAGACGTGCATCAGGATTCCGAAGCAGGATCTGAAGAGTACACCTCGACTTAGTAAGCCTGGAGAGGCGACAATTGATTGGATAAGTCAGAACAGAAGGTTCCTCAGCTGTAATCAGATACGAGGTGAGGTGAGATTCTACGGGGATTCTGTGGGACATTTTGAGCGACCCAATGAGGACGAGCCCCGATGCTGTTTTTTGGAGGCCGTCAGTACTGCCTCGGGGCCGATAACGAAGCCATCGACAATATTTGGCAATGCACTTGCTGATATAGCAACGAGCATATGCATCTGATCCCTTGATACGCGCATTTCGTGGCGTGCGAGTGATTCCCAAGGCCTCGAATATTATCTAAGTTTCCGTTAATTGTTCGTGACCCCTGGATGATCAAGTTGCCTTCTTACGCACCAGCAAGATGGCAGGGCCTCGAGCCACTCCAGACAGCAGAATGATAGCGATTGAGCTCCCTCACATAGAGGCTGTGCCACGGTGAGAGAAGACGACTGACCAGAGAATCCAGATCAGCGTTGGTCAGGACCATGTGGTGACGATGCTCAGACGTGCTATGATTAGAGGTCCCCACGACAGACGACTACGTATTGGACGGGGTGAGACCGTTACGCCTCTGCTGTCCAATGGATGCCCAAAGATTAAGGCACATTGTGGTCTAGGGTAGATTCCCACGTACCGTGAGGAGTGCATACGAAAGCCGGTACCGATTGCCTCTCTTGCACGTGCACGCCATCTACGTTGTCGTGCGAGATTTGAGGCATTTCATATACAATAGAGCGGACTTGCGAAGCGTAGGTCGCGCAAGCAGGGGTTTCATTGAATCTAAGTCTGGCACACGTTTGACATACGCGCAATCCTAGGAGCAGTTTCACGCTTTGCATATTCCATGCGAGCAGCCAAACAAGATAGTCTCCGAATCGACTCAATGGCAACAGATTCAAGACTGTCAGAGAAGCTCACAGTAACTATGGGACAAGGCTAGACTCACTCATCGAAACATTGTGTAAGATCATGTCAAATCCTCTCCATAGATTTCATCCTGACTCTCGCAGGCGATGACATTGGCCGTAACCAGGAGTCAAAGGCCCAGATTTTGAGAAATCGAAATGATGTGAGTGGGAAGGAGAACCCCGTACAGACCGAGACGAAGTCTGTAGGACTGGCACCACATGCACAACTCTGACCGCAAGGAAAACGTGAGGATCTTCGAGCGCTCCGCTGCATTGTTTTGTAGAGAACAGACGTGGCACTGACGCTAAACGGACAAAGGCATTTTCAATATGAACTTGTCGTTGCGACTTGCATTGACCAGCGCACCGCCACCGGCTGTCCAACCATTTGACGTAGCCTTCAATCTCGCGTAGCAGCATTCCAGGCGTAGACCACCCGAGAGCCAAATCTAGATGAGGTACGATCAGCAACAGCATTCAATATATCGAGATAATAGACGACACGCCCGCATGGATATCCTATGGCTGGATTTTGATACACGCAGAACGTTTCGTGTATGTGACCTTCGTATCATCTACTGTGGTCTCACCGGTCTATATGCACTCAGAAGCGACATGGATGGTGCGCATGGCTCACCGTTCTTGACACGGCTTCCGTCAATAGCCGAGGATGACTGCCAATGAGAAGAGACAAGACGCTGCCGTGCGGTTGGGAGGGAAAGCTCCAACAGCGATACGCTGATCAGCCCACAACAACCAGCGACCAGACACTAAGAGCGGATCTTGTGAGAATGATCTTGCTTATCTTCTGCAACGCACATGAGGGTGTCCATAGCCATAGTGCACGCTGCAGACATGGCCTACCAGCCAAAGTCCGCTACCCTGTGAACCATCTGGCAGACAAGGCGATGCCAGACATATCAGCGCACGCGCAGGACGTATCAATTGCTTGGTCCCAATGTCCTCCGCAACAAAAAGCCGCACGCCGCCCGAGGTGCTGACATGATCCCTTATGGGACGGCATATGTGATATCTCCGCCGAACAGTCAAGAGGCATGGGAGCGTTCTCGCGGTGTTCACAGACACGGATGCTATGGGTGCAGGGTATCGAGGACCACAAAGAGCGAAGACGCAAGAGAGGTTTTAGCACGAACACAAGCAGCAGCGAACAAAGCTCGGCAGGACGAGTATTTGGTCTCCACGCCCTCCGAGGTGGTTACTCCGTCAGAAGCCCGACGTGTGCGCCCGTCTGGAGACGACTACAGGTTCTTCCGAAGAACAAGCACCCCGTTAATTGAAAATGCATGTCCTTCGCAACAACAGCACGAAGCAAGCACGAGTGAACACACACCGCATAAGCAGGTCTCGCATGACTGTTGTCCTGAGCACGCACATGATTGACCCGCTAGTCATGCATTTCCTGATATGTCCGCCTGTGGTGTCCTACCGCAGAGCATTGGCCCAATGGAGGCCGAACATATGTTGTCTTTGGTTCATGCGGAGCACACGCGGAGAACCACCGACCTTCCTTGCTCGGATCGCGAATTAGTCCTCGCAGCCCATTGATGAAGAGGGTTCAAGGAGAAAGGGTGCGATGAAGTAAATTGCAGATATACCAACATTGAGAGAGCGGTGAGAAGCAGACCATATGCTTTTGCGCTGCGTAGATGACGCCGAAGGCGCTGGAGAAGGTGTCATTGCATGGTGTGACGCCAAATGAGAGGCAAGAATTCGGCGTTCTCAAGGGCTGTCTGATAGGGTAGTATGCAATCGGATGGCCTAGGAAGAGTCGATAGAAATAGAAGAACGTCATGTCATGAAAGGCATACACTTTACCGTCCGTAGCCCGGGATTTGTGACGCGAAATGGGGGCAAGAATCCAGCGCCCTAAAGGACTGTCTGATAATATGGTATGCAATCGGATGGCCTGGGAAGAGTCGATTGAGGTAGAAGGAAATCATGTCATGAACAGCACTTACCGTCCATAGCCCGGGATTTGTGAAGCGGGCGCGGGTCTGAGCACAGTCTCACCACGAGAATAGCTGCACATGCTAGCGATCGCGCAATTGATCCTCTACGATCCCTCGAGCGCGGGCTGAGGAGTGACGGGCTCCAGGCCTCTAGGAGTCCCATCCGGCGTCTGGTCGCCGCCGTTTCCTAGAACCTCTTCCAGCTCCTCCTCTTCATCGCTATCATTACTTTGAACCCCCTCTGGGCTATTCCCGCCCTCTCCTTCCTCGCTTGCCCCCTCCTCGTCGGCCTCTTCTTCGGGGGCGAGGTGTGGTCCCCGAGGTTCCCATTCGAGTTCCTCGGGCTCTTCCTGGTCGACTGCAACGCGCACCTTCCAGTCATACTTCTCGCGAAGCATAGCCACTGCTCGCACAGCGCGATCGACTCTCGAGTCGTGCTCAGCACGGATTTCCTCGCATTCACGCAGGACGTCCTCGTACTCGGTGCGATTACCTTGCGAATACATCCCAGGCTGGCCCGTTTGTGTAAGAACGCCAAGGGAACCCTTCGTGACCATGTATTCGGAGAGATGGCGAACAATTTCATTCTCCAACTTCAAAACGTCGGTCGTTTGTTGATTGCGCAGGAGGGGTATCAGCTCGTTGTCGAGCTGGGAGTCGGACATGGGGATACTGGGATGCAACGCAAGTCTCTCAAATGGGCTCCCCGCAGATGTGGCATGTATCGATGCACTGGACTGCGTCGTACCGAGTAAAGAGTTGGACAAGTTATGTGATTGAGAGAGGAGAATGTTGTACTTGGATAGGATGTCTGGCCATGCCAGCATGGCGTTTTGGCCACCAAGCTCTACTGTACGCTGGAGAAGCTGTATAGATTCTATTATCTGGTTTGCCTTGAACTTGAGAGACTCCAGCTGTGCGATAGGCAGTGTTGAAGGGTCAAAAGGAAGTCGGGGGTTCGCTGTTGGCGCGCTCGTTACAGGTGGATGGTCCATGATAGCTGGTTAGGAGACTATATGCGCTCTTGATGGGACCAAAATTGAAGCTGTCGCTCTCGCTGAAAGCTGGAACAGACATCCGAAGAAGGAAATAACGTTGAGGTTGCCACACAACAGGACCAAACAACCCGCCTTGCTATCTGAACTTTAATCGCGCGACTGCCAACAAGGCCCATCACGCGCCAAAGTTGAACATCTCTCGTCCCAGCATGTTTTCGCGCCTCTTTCAACGCGTCGCACTGCGACCTCTTTCACTCAATGTGTCCAGCGTCGCGCGGACGGCCGTGCAGCCCCTATCAGGCGCGATGCCGCCCATGGTTCATACGCGTTCGCTGATGGCCACGGCCTACCTCGCGATGCCAGCAGCGAAGAGCACCGTGAAAAAGCCAGCAGCCAAGAAGACTGCGACTACGACCAAGAAGGCTGCCGCAACAAAGAAGACTACCGCAAGCAAGACGACTGCAACAAAGAGGAAGACTGCTGCAAAGAAGACTACGACTGCGAAGAAAGCCAAGGGCGTGAAGCCCAAGAAGCGCGTTTCCAGGATTGCAGCGAAAGCGAAGGCTGTTAAGAAGCCAAAGAAGAAGGCGGCCAAGCCCAAACCCAAACCCACACTTCTGAGTACTGATTTACGCGTCACGACCCTCAAGGACTTGATACTGATGCATCATATAGAGATGAAGATACCCAAGGACCAGGAGCCTCCCAAGGGTCCTGGGACCGCGTACATCATCTTCGTCACAGAGTATTTCAATACGCATAAAGCAGAAGGGTTGGCCAATGCGCGAAACAGAGTTAGCGAGGCCGCCAAGGCATGGCAGCAGCTGTCGGACGAAGATCGCCAGGTTAGCGGCATTCCGTCTAGGTTTCCGCTCGTTTCGTGGCGCCTCGCAGCTCATCGTCTTACTGCAGAAATACGAAGACCTTCGGCGAGAGAAAGTTCAACTGCACAACATCGCGCTGACGAAGTATATGGAGACGGTTGACCCGAAGATATATCGGGCGCTGACCCTACAGCGAAGGGCGAAGGGAAAGCCGAGTTTCCGTATTCCTGAGGCTGTCAAGAGCGCAATTGATAGTCCTCCGATACGAAACCCCTATGCTCGGTCCGTGGCGTCGTGTTCGCATGATTCAATTGCTTACATGGCGTTTGCAGCTTTGTGGGCGAATACGCAAAGACCATTGAGACACCCGCAGACCTGTCTGGCCTTGCGATTGGCCGGTATCGTTTCGAAGAGGCTGCGAAGAAGTGGAAAACCATGAGTGACAGCGAGAAGCAGGTACATATTGCGTCTCGACTTTGCGTGATCCGAGCACTGCATGACAGGAGCACTCGTTTTGCAGATTTACAAGGACGCAACCGAAGCGGAGATTCGCGAGTACGAAGCTAAGAAGGAGGCCGCCGTTTAAGTACTTGACGCCGATTCTCATGTTGATGGGCTCCAAAGTGTAGAATAGTTCATTGTCTCCGATCACGTTGGATGTTGTTATGTTCAAATTCCCCTGTGTCGACCCTCTGGTCGAGATCGATCGCTCCTACCTGAAACTATTATTCAACGACTCCATTTTTGTTCCATCCTCGAATCACACATTTGTTGCGTAATGTAAATGGATTATCACAATGGCTAGGCTTCTGAGTGCGGAAAGTCTCCAACGCTGCCGAACCACGAACGGCAAGAGGAAGAAATCAACTTATATCTACGAGTGCAAAGTGCGACATTCCCTGGCAATGAGCGACAGCGAAGATGGTCAAGAAGGGGGTATAAGATATCATAAAGTAAGAGGTAACAAACAGTGTAGCAGCGCAACGTCGGAAGGGGAGAAATTTCCAGAAAGATGTGTCACAATTCCAGAGGCTACCTACAACGTCCCATATCAAGGGTGCACCATATATTTATCATAAATGCTATAACCGGTACCCAGGGACTGCCCAAAAAATCATTGTCAGAGCTACCGTGCAGCCCGCAGTGAGCGCAGCGACCCATAGCGCTCGTCCAACGAGAAGCTTCTTCACGTACGGCTCTTCGATGCTGACCAGCTGGAAGGGTATAGATTCGGATTGGTTGAAGAGTATAAGGATCGGGTCCAGCTCGTATTGGTGTGATATTAGGAACAGAATGGCGACAGTGTATGGTAAGAAAAGCTGCGCGTACAGAGTTTAGTGACAATCACGTTGAATGTGTCGAATGGACTTACGAAGAACCGCTTGGACTTTGGATGGACATTCAAGAAGATGAGCGAGAAACCGACGGCCAACCCAATCCACAAGATGACCAGCCCGAGTATCAGCCGCACAAGGGCAGACACCGGTGTCAAGTTGCTAAATGCCTTTGCGCGGAGGAAGCGAGGGAAGGCGTCCTGCTCCATCGCATGAAAGACATACTCTTTCTGCGCGTGAAACATGTCGGGAATCTGTGCCATAAGATTCAACTCGTTCTGCGTTCGCGGCTCGTGCGCGCTGCTGAGTGGGAAAGAGTGGATCCGGAGTGAAGGTGGAAGATAGACCTCGTGGTTGTTATCAGAGCCGATCGTTCCCGCGGGCGAGAGGTAGCGGAAGTAGATGCGCTCCGCGGACTCAATCAGGTCCTGGCGCGTCATGGGCTTCGTTCGCGGGATGACCGTCGGTGCGCGCGTCGCGCCATGAACGTTGAGGAATGCGGGCGTGCGCCCAGAGAGCGAGAACGGCGTGCTCGACCGCGGCGCATCTGCTGCAATCGCTGTGCCCGGTGTCATTGACACCCGCGGGTTTGGGTTCGGGCTTGGGCTCCGCGCCGCCTTCTCATCCTGTGCGCCCGTATCTCCAAATACGTCCCCCGCGTTCGCCGTATTACGCCTCCCGCCGTTAACTCCCACTACCGTCCCGTAGATAGATCCCCGCCGGCGTGCATAGTCCCAGTACTCCGGCCAGTCCTCCTTGATGGTGCGCCCCGACTTGCGGACGTCCTTGAAATACGCGCGACAGTATTGTTCATGCTGGTGAACATCTAGCCAGAAGTCAAGAATGTCTTCCGAGCCCTCGCGTTGTAGAAATAGACTGAGTTACCAGGTCTATGAGCGTTGCTATAACGAGATTGAATAAGGCACTCACTAAAACATATACAGGTCCACAGGAGGTCGCGTTTTCCGCGAGAGGACCTCATTGAGCGAGGGTAGCCGGTGTTTGCGACTTGCTGGTCCAGTCTCCTCTTGATGCTCGCCGCCGGCCATGGCTGTTCAGGCCAAATGCTGTCTGCGCCGGCGCTTCCTCGTGTTCGCGGTGCTGAACGTTGTCTGATACTGATACACAACCAAATACCTGGTTGAAGCGTATACCCGGAGAGATCCGATGTTGAATCTCACGGGTTGGGCTTGAAAGCGAGAGTCCGCCTCACTTATTGAGCCCTTTGCACTGATAGCTGCCACAGGTGAAAAGCTATCGGTTCTACCTTGAGCATGAACGGAGGGTGCTTAAGATTGTGTGCGCTCTGTGTAGGGAAAATGGAGAGAGGGTGGGCCACACCAGCCACGACAGCTTAAAGCGGAGCTCACACTCCGCGAAACACTTCCCTTCCGTTTCGTTACTTTCTGTGACAATCGTGTCACCGATGCCGGACGAAACGTGATTGCATGTGACAATGAGACGTTTCGCGGCGACGACGACGAGAATAATGTCTTTCGCGAAGACTCTCTCTCCTGCTATCCGAGAAATCAGGATATTATGTTGCCAGTCCAGTGCGGCATCAGCAGGCACGCGGTAAGTATGCCGTTCCTTCCATCTGAAGCTCGGATCGAATATGAATGAACTTGACGTGCACATTAGAGAGTTCATCTCGTCCACGTACCCGGTCCTGAAGCAGCATAATCCAGACTTGCCGATCATGATCCGGGAAGCAAAGGGAACACCAGCGCGTGTGTTCGCGAGATATGGTACGTCCAGTGACGTTCAGCGTATAGGTCATCTAATCACTCATTCGTGACCTCCGGTATCTCTTGGGATCTCCCTGCCTCTCAGAGCGCGGGGTAGAACGGCATGTAGAGGTGGACAATCTCTCTCAGTCGGACGTGGCATCCAAGGTTGCTGGGCTCTTGAACCTGTCATAGCTCTCAGAGTCGCTGGGATACCGCCATGCAGGATCTCTGTGAATTGTGGCGTCCCTATTGTACAATGCAGTGAGTCTAGCTGGAAACAGCAGGTGGCTTTCACATGTCGCTATTGCGACCTCGAAGAGTGTCCTCCTATTGCATCAGCTCGTCACTCAATGCGCTCGCTTGTGCGATAATAGCGATTTTAATCGCAACAGTCAATCTAGTTTTTAAGGTACGTCTAGTGCCCCAGCAGTAACATCTTTTCTGTGTCTTTAGGCTAGATCAACTCACGTTCATGAGAGAGTTCGAGGCATCGGTGAATACAAAGTTGCTCCATTCACATGTGGCCGCGCAAAGGACCTTGCTTCGACCGTCATCTCAATGTATAACGGCATATTTGACAGATCACTCGTGACGCCAACGCGTTCGCCTGTACGATTGTAATCGACACGGTCAATTTAGCTTCTTAAGGTACGTCTAGTGCCCCAGCAGTGACATCTTTTTTATGTCCTTAGGCTAGATCAACTCACGCTCATGGGAGACTTCGAGGCATCGGTGAATACGAAATCGCGTCATTCACGCGTGGCCGCGCAGAGCACCTTGCTTCGACTGTCATCTCAACGTATGCCGGCATATGGAATGGTTCTCTCATGACGGCAAGGTACCAGGAACATGTCGTTTTGCGAAGTCCAGCGCATCATGCTTGGAAGGAGGATGCCTAGTTTGACGTCGTCTAAATGCTGGCGTTTGACGTGCCCGCACGCTTTCATTACGTGCTTGACGATAAGTACTGAGTCTTTAGTTTCAGTTCGCAATTCCCTGCACCTCAGAGGAGGTTTGTTCAACTCTTCCGTCTGAACAGGCCACAGTGCCTCATGTTCCCAAGAGTAGTGACACAACCCTCAAATACAATCGATATGAAATTACAGGGTCATCCTGCCGAAGGTCCCTCGTAAGCTATGCCCATGGATTCTCATCATCTAAAAGTTCTGGGCTGTACAGTACAGCCCTCACATGTGGAGGCGTCTCAACTGTCGCAACGGTCGCTCCAGTCGTCTCCGCCACCCCTCGGTCTTCAGTGTCTAGAACCTCATCCACGTCGTCTCCCACGTCAAACAGTGGTTGCGGTTGCTGCTGCCCAGCCGACGGCGTGTGCTCGACCTCGACCTCGACCTCGCCCTCCCCGTCTTTCCGACCCTCCTCGTCCTCGACGACGTATCCCCGCCGATACACCTTGTGCGGTCCAGCACCCCGCATAGCAGGCTCGCCCTTCCGACGCTCGTATGTCATTTCCTCCTCCATCGCATGTGGATCCTCCACGACGAGATCCACGGCATCCGGTGGCAGCAGCGCGCGTTCCGTCTCCTTGCGCGGAGATACGGGTGACAGACGTTCCCTTGGGCTTCCTCTCGACGAGGGCGAGGCAGATGGCTGCTTCGCCACCGATGGGCTGGCGCTCGCAGACAGTTTGCGCACACGAGGAGATTGAGCAGGCGTGTGCTCTCTGCTCGTCCATCTCAGCTTGACATCGCCTGCATTCGCTTCCGGGATCCGATCAAACTCCTTGTCAATGACAATCTCGGGCCTCCGCGCTGCGCTGTCCGCTCTGACCTTCCCCTTGCGCCGCGCGCCATCAGATGTATCCGAATCGTGTCGTTCCCGCACGGTACTCCTCTGGAAGCTACCGACGGCTCCATAAGCCTTCTTCCCAGGCCCCAGCACTCGTCCTGGCCGTATAATCGGCGAAAAGTATGCCCCACGCTCGTCGCGCAGGATGCGCTCCTCCTCTTCCCACATCGTCTTCCGCGCGTCCTCTGTGCTCACGTCCACACATGGATAGTGATAGTCGCCAAACACGTACTTCTTACTATGCTCGAACAGCTCCTCATCCGCCGGATCGATGTCGCCGAATGGCAGGCCAAGTCCTTCGTCCGCGAGCGGCTCGCCATCGAAGAGAGAGAGGCCCCGGGGAGGCGGCGAGCGCAAGTCGGGCGCTATGTTGACGACGTTCTCCGCCTGGTTATGTAGGAGCGGGGCGTACACCTCTTGTGTCTGGTCTGACCCTGCGACGCGCCCCACGATGCGACTGACTCTACGCTCCAGACTGCCTGATGAGCGGTTGGACGTTGCAGGCTGAGGCAACCAGTACTTCCTCTTTCCTCCCTCCCTGTACCGTAAGCCCGCCCTGATCCGCCTGTCCCGCCCGGCGCCCTGGTGGATGAAGCCCTCGCTGGGCTCGAATTCGCGATAGTCCATGCCCTCGCCGCGCAGAGTTGCCTTGACGTCCTCAATGACATCCTTCAAACCGAACGCGTCCCGGAAGGCGTAGTACACGGGCATGCGCGCGACGAAGCTGATGTGTGGGTCGATAAAGTCGCGCGTCGAGAACGCATACATGTGTGCGATGGCGAACAAGGGCATCTCCAGGCAGATGAGCGTGTCCGTGAGCCCGAGCGAGATGTGCTCATTGTCAGTATATGGACCAAGCTTCGTGATTGTACCGGCGGCGACGAGGATCGAGATGACGAACGATTGCCAGAAGGAGAAGAATAGGATGCCCTTCACACAGAGGAACTTTGGCATTGGTCTATCGAGGACGTAGAAGTCAGCGAACGACACAGGTGGTGAGACGACTTGAGATTCACCTGAATGGCCTGAGGTCGTCGTTCACGCACATCCAGAAGATGGCTAAACAGTACAAGCTCATGCATATGCTCACATTGTACACAATGCTCACATAGAGATAGCCAGAGTTCGCACGAAGATTACCTTCGTTGAACTTGCCCAGAAGCTTGAGAATAATGGTGGCCAATGCCAATATCGGCTTCACTTGAACATATTCTGTGAGGATGCACGATCATTAACCCGTCATCACGTCAGTCACTGAATGTCTGCTTACGGATCACACCACGCTTTAGGAACAAGAATGTATGCGGATCACTAACGTCCACTTCTCTCCAGAATATATTTCCTGGGAACACAGGGTATTTCGGTGGTCGACCATGGAGGAGGATGAGGAGGGAACGTTCTCCGCCGAGGTATGCAATGAGAAGGTCGAAGAAACAATATATAACAAATGCCTACATATGGGTGTCAGCGGATCATTACTGCAACCGCCGGGAAACAGCTCGTATATAGATGGTCGGAGATCGCATCGTGTTCAGTAGCATCACGGTCTCAGTACACGGAGGCAAGAGTAAACTTCCTTTCGGATCCATTCTATAGCTGCAATTGAGACCAGGACGACAGGATACCCAAGGCCATGAAAGAGCAGTTGCAGATAGGTCCTGAGAAGGAAGATGGCCGAGGAATGAAGGGAGAAAAGCAGCGAAAGCCTCTCCGCTCGTTTCCCCCTCAAGGTGCCGTGTAGTGCACCCACACCCCGTGTAAGCTGTATACTGTCCCATAGATGTGTTTCATGCCGGAGAACGATGTCCGTGAATCTGCTGCCCAGTACCTGGACTGAGGTGACCAGATTCGAGGTCGTCGTTCCAGGTTCTCGTAACAGTTTCGAGAGTAGAACGCCGCCAAATGATCTCTATAGCATGCCAAACAACAGCGCGATGCGAGGTTATCACTGCGCAGGTTATAAGCCTGGTTACGCGAGAATCGTGCTCCCTCCTACGTTGTGATACTGGGGTCCGCAGAGTCAACCAAAAAGAGCTTGCGATGGTCCAGCACCGCTCCATCTAATAGAAGCAAAAGGGAACAATACAGGCATGAAGGACGAGCTTACCTCATAAATATCACGAATTGCATCAATGAAGAAAGCCGCTTGCAGCGAGAAGAGCGAAATGAAAGATGATATCGCGTAGATCGGCACCATGAGCATGATCCGAACCACCTGCCTGAACCCATCACCACCAACAGCAACACCGTAAAGCAATTCCATGAGCTGAAGGAACACATGCGAGTGAATTACGGGCGAACCGTTGCAAGATGGGCTTCCGGTAGTTCTTGAGATGTAGGAGGATGGAGGTCGCGGAGATGGCCGTTGCGGCGAATGTGGAGAGGCCCGAGAAGAGGAGGACGGGGAAGGGTAACGCTGAGCCTGAGCCTGAGCCCATGTCTGGTTGTTTGCCGGAGAGTTTCGTTACGTCCATGGTGAGGCGTATAGGGAAATGTGCGAATGAAATGGGATATCTTGAGGTACAGTTGTCTATCATCCACTGCCTCTTGGATCTGCGAGAATGACGTCCGTTTCCCAAAAAAATTGTTGGATCGTTATGTCGACATGAAGGAGACGTAGAGAACGAGATGAGCGTGGAGAGGGACGATATCGCAGCTGGAGCTTGAGCACAGTAGCGTGACATGACGCGTGCTGCCGCGTTACATGCAGTGACCGTCCGTGACTCCACACGCACGTGATTCGGGACGCGACTTGCTCGCACTACCTCCGCGTCCGCCGTCCATACCTCAGCGCTCAGCCTGCACCGCTATTCCTTCCACGCATCCACGATGTCCGGACCTCACAAGGCACACGTCGACGAGGAGGACCTCGACGAACTCGACGGTGCGTTCACATCGTCTGCATCACACATCTAGATTCATCTAACCTCGCACAAGACGTCCTCGAGCAGTTCTCCGCCCCACCCGCAAAGGCCCAACCGACACCGAAAAGCACAAACAACCCCTCCTCCACCGCCGCCTCCACCACCAGCTCCTCTTCCGGACCTCGAACCTCAAAATCTCCACAACCCAGCACCAGCACAAGCACCAACACCGCAGAGCCTCTCGACTTTGGCGCAGACTTTGAAAAGGAGCTCGCAGCGGGGATGGCATCGCTCTTTCGCGAGATCTCTACCGATGCCGGGCTCGACCCGGATGCACTGAAGGTCGAGGAGGGAGACGGCGAGATGACCGAGGAGGAGCGAAACCGGCGGGAGGCATTTCAGGCGGCGTGGGAGCGGATGCTGGTCGAGGGGATGGATGGCGCGATGGACGTGGAGGAGCTGGTAGGGACGAGTGAAGGGAAGGGAAAGGGGAGGGAAACGGATCTGGGCGCGGACGCGATGGGGAGTGATGGTGCGGAGGAGAAGGCAGGGAATGGAAATGGAGGAGCGGTGCCGGAGGATGATTTCCAGGCGAGCATCAGGAAAGCGATGGATAAGCTCAAGGAGAGTGATTCTAATCTGCAGGTGCGCGGTCTCATAGCCTTCATGAACGACTGACTGTGACTGAACGGGAAAACCCCGTTAGGCGGATACGGAAGGTTCGCTCGACGACCTCGTCCAGAAGCTCACGGCAGGAATAGACCTCGGCAGCGGAGGCGAGTCAGACGAAGAACTACAGAAAATGCTCGAGAACATGATGACCCAACTCATGAGCAAAGACATCCTATACGAGCCGCTAAAGGAAATGCACGTAAAGGTACGTCGCTCCCCGGCCTCAATCCGATGCTTCCAGATCGACTCATCGACTGGAATTCTTGATCGGCGTTGTAGTTCCCAGATTATCTGAAAGACAACGAAGCCAAAATCTCACCAGAAGACAAGAAGCGGTACCTCTCGCAACAAACGGCCACCGCGAAGATCGTCGCGATATTCGAGAACCCATCATACTCGGAGACGAACCAAGGTATGAATGCGCAGATAACGACCCTCATGAATGAGGTACGTCCTGCCCTCCCCCCCTCCTCGCTATGCGACCTTGCTGACATTTATGGATCGTAGATGCAATCATACGGCGCGCCGCCAGCAGAGATCATGGGCCCATTACCACCCAACTTTGACCTCGACGCGGACGGGATGCCCAAACTTCCGGACAACTGCGTCATCGCGTGACCCTATCGACTCGGATGCTTGTGCGCCCCCAACGATTATCACTATCACTTGTGCGTTGCATTTGGCTTGGAGGTCCGATCATGCTGTATCATTAATCTCTCGGGGGACTATCATGATGGAAGGATACCATGCTTACGGTGGTCCGTGAACCTCGTGCTGGCAATCCCGCTGTCAACATCTGAAGGTGTAGAACGTCCTTTGAACTCTACCTAGCGATGGTCCGATTTTGATTCGCGCTAAAAGCCCATGGTATGTCACACAGCCAGTGGCACTCATCACTATGTAGTCGGTCAATGCATCCTAGTTCCCCGGAGTGCTCGCCACCGGTGCGTCATATATAAGCAGTAGAGATCCAACCACATCTGTACGTTGCTCGACAAATAACGAACTGCTATGACTTTACGAAAGTTTGGTCCGACGGAAACATTATGAGAAACGCATCCGAGCCGACATGGCCACCTGGCAAGCTCATGTGACGACCAGATACATAGACAAAGCACGGGAAAAGGAGGATAATTCCTGTCTTCTATTATTACAGCCGGTAGGAGGCCAGGACTGGGTCTTGTACACAGAGCAATGAGCGGACGAGGGGGAGAGCCCCTCAGACAACAACATATCCGGACAGCCACACAGGACACCCCCTGATTACAAGCAAATAGAACAGCATCACTTATAATCAATACAATAAATCAAGCGTAAGTAAGTCCCTGGTAGATTGTACAAACATTACGACCGGCGAGTCGTGGGGGAGGGGGTCTAAAGAGCTTCGCCGTACACCTCTTCGTGATGCTGCAACAGGTCCTCTCGATGCCGCCTCGTGAGGTCTTCCTCGACGGGGCGAACGTCAACAGCAGATACACGGGAGAACTCGTCGGCCACTTGCGAAGGATGGCTCTGGTTTGCAGGATGCTGCCACTCACCCGAAGGTCCTCGCACGTGCATTTCGTATGACTCCGGTCTCCTTCGCCCCCCCGCTTGTCGCGCTGGTGGTGGCGGCGGCGTCGACCTCGACACAGGGTCGGATGACACCGACGACATATGCGGATGATGCAAGCCGCGGTTAGCCCGAGTCGGCGACACAGGCGAGGGAGCAGGGATGTCGTTTGCAGAATAGTACGAGACGCGTACCTCAGCCGAGTTACGGGAGTTGCCTTTACCATTAAACATCTCGGCTTGATTGACGCTCTCATAGAAAGCGTCATGCGTCGCCGGCCGGCCCGCAAGAGATGCTGACGGTGGCGGGGAGATACTGTCCGTACTGATGCTCTCGTCCTGCACCGGAACTCCGAGTATGTCTGACACTTCGGATTCGGAGCGGTAATGAGGCTGATGGAACATAGGCGCCTTTTCAATGCTGAGCCGATGCTTCTTCTTGTTCCGCCGTCTCTCGAGGCCAAGACGATCTTTTAAGTCGCCCAGCACCCACATCTCACGAACAATGTCCCTATCGAGAGGCCTATACGTGCTCTTGACGAACTTGACGATAAACCGAGGAGCTGTACTATGAGATCAGCCAGAAGATCTCCCATGATCAATCGTAAGAACGCACCCAGTGCGACGACCACCGCCACGAGGACTGTTGCCCAGAAAGACACTTCACCGAACAAGACGATCACTTCGTCACTGAAATCAAACGTCTCGAAGAACGAGTAGACCGTGACCCAAAGCACCATGACGACGCAAGAGCCAATCACGATGACCCAGGTGATGACAGTCCAACTACATCATACATCAGCACATGCCCATCTGACTACCTGGCCAGGATACTCACTAGCGAGTGTTCAAACCGACGTAAAAGTTGGCGGCAAATATGGCGCAGACCGCCACAGTGGTTCCGAAGTCATACAAAGACTGATAGGCCTTACCGTTCCATGACAAAGCCAATCCAGCCGACCACGTCGCGTACGGAATAAAGAACACGACCACCGACTGGTAGAGGCCGTCCAGCATGTACAGCCAGAACTTGAGACGAGTATACTCGAGACCGCGTATCCCTCGAATATACAGCTGCGGATACGCGAGCGCAGCCTTAGCATTGATGTCCTGATCGAAAGCTGTAGAGAGTTATAGACACAACAATTGACATATAGACTCATCCCGGCTCACCTCCGAGCACGATGACCGGTAGAGATGTGAAGAGTAGGTTGTAGAGAAGTATAAACGTATACTCATAGAGGTAGGTTGAGTCAAAACTTGACACAACGTGAGATGCCAGTCATGGAAATTTTGAAGGATGTACGCACCTGCTGAAACACTGGAACCAAAACATCGCGAATGTCCAGATAACGTTCTACCCGGAATACATCAGTGTCTGATCAGTAAGCACGAAGGCAGTAAAGTACTACCTTGTAAAAGAAATTGCTGTGCATATCAGCTATTCGTTGATATGACCATCTTCCGTGGACGATCAGAAGCTTCGTCAGATAGCGGAACTGCGCAAACGCATAATCCGCAGACATCGCTGCCTGTGAACCCTCTAGACCGAGCAGGCCGCAGCCAATGTTCGCCTCTTGGATCATCGCGACATCATTAGCGCCATCTCCGATGGACAGCGTCATGGCGTTACGACCCTCTTTGACCTATACGCAATGATTAAAACGTCCACAACCAGTGCGCGATATCAGACGCACCAGCTTCACAACTTGCGCTTTTTGGGCAGGAGAAACACGACAGCATACCACGGTCTCGCACTGAGTCGCCAGATCGAGGAAGAGTCGCTTCAGCTCGGAAGAAAGTGCGAAGCGCAGGGTGTCACCATCGATAACAATCGCAAATGATGCCTGTGCGCCCACAACAAACCCCCGGTTCTCTTTATTAAGATTGGGAGGGCCTAGCACAGACGCGATCTTGTTCAAGCCTGCTTCTATCTGAATCTGAGCAGCACCAAAGGTCTCTGCAGAGAGAATCATGATGTCCATATTGTTCTTGAGCAGATTGCAGCTGAAGCCTATGCAGCGAAGGGATCAGCAGGCACTGCATAAGGATACTGAGATGTACTCGCCGATCTCAACAGCGGTCTGAATCTTATCACCGGTGAGAATCCAGAGCTTGATGCCAGCATTATGTAGGGTTTCGATTGCCTCCGGCACGCCTTCTTGTAGTTTGTCTTCCAAAGCAGTGGCACCAAGGATGTAAAGGGAATGTTCGATCTGTTCGTTCGCCTTGTCTATCGCGGCATCACGATCGTTGATCGAATTCGTAGCAGCGTCGTACACAGCCTGCCAGTCAAGATACTCCTTCTCGTCAAGGTACCGATACGCGATACACAGCGTGCGGAGGCCACCGTTGGCAAAAGCCTCCATATCCGCCGCCGTCTTCGCCTTCAGCTCAGGGTCGTGGTCTGCCGCGAGCCGCTGATAGATCACGCTATCTGCGCCCTTGCAATACAAAACGAGCCGGCCTTGCGGGTCGCGAACGATCACGCTCATCCGCTTCCGTGTGCTGTTGAACTCGATCATTTGCAGAAGAGTGTGTCTCTCCGGCTGCCCCATGATCTCGATGTCGATGCCATCCCTCGACTTCTGTACAAATGGAAAGCCAACGTCACGCGCCGCAGCGACCAGAGCAGCCTCATCAGGCGACTCTGCCTTGTATTCCAGTTGGAAAGGCCGTTCATGTGGCTCCGGACGGTCCGAGAGAACGCTGTGGCAGATCGCAAGCGCGCGGAAGAACGCGATCAGATGCTGACGCTGTTCCGACCCTTCGTTCCCGAGGTCGTCAGCGAGCTGCGGTGAAATCAGAGTAAGCTTCTCGTGCTGAAGATACCGATTTTTGAACGTTCGTGACATTTTCATCAGCATCTCTTCCTTGAGGAGCCGCAGCTCGTGCTCCTGATCGACCGGGTTCAATCCATCCTCCTTTCCTGCCCGCTTCGCAGCTCCGCGCTGTGCTTCGGTGACGCCTTCGCCATACGTAATGCCGTGGACGGAACACTTCTGGAACTCCATGATATTCTGCGTGAGCGTGCCCGTCTTGTCGGAGAAAATGTATTCGATCTGGCCGAGGTCGTCGGAGATGTTCCATGTCTTCGGTGTGCATGCGGCATTGAGGGGCTTATAGTACATGTCGACATCCTGCGAGATAAAGAATGCCTGGATGGTCTTGACAATTTCGATGGAGATGTACAACGAGATCGGGACGATGTTCTGGAATGCAATTAAACACGAGCTACAGCATGTCAATCGCAGCTGAGGTCTGGCAACCACAAGGTTACTCACACAAAAGTCACGATGCCGTTGACGACAGAAGACGTCGAGGCATCCGAGCCAACCTCGAAAAAGTCAGCGCTCGTCCCAGTCTTCGCGTCGAAGAGCCCATTCGCGATACCACAAATCAAGCACATGATGATCAGCACGGCGAAGTTGACGATGACATTGAAGTTCGTCTCCTTCTCTATCTTTGACCGCTTCGAAGGCGTCGCACCGCCGTTCAACATGATCTTCGTGTCGGCACCGGTGAAGACGACCAAGCCAATCACCCAAGCCGTATTCCGCAGAGTACAGCCACGCAACAGCATTTCGTTGATGCTAACCGACTCCTGCTTGAGGTTCCCGTTTTCGATGTCCCGGTAACGCAGTACGCCGTGGTAGAGGTACAGATTCTGGTGCGGCGGCTCAGAGTCGAGTACGAAGGACGAGCGCTCGACGTCCTCCTCCGACGTGATCCCAGACGTGGCTCGCACCGACTTTCTCGGTTTAAGATTCGTCTCGCCGTCCAAGTTCTTGGTCTCGACATAGCACATGTTGTCCGGATCCGACGTCGAGAGAACGACGATGTCCGCAGGGATCTGCTCGTTCTCGCGCAACAAAACGATGTCGCCCACCTCGAGCTTCTTCCACAACGTCCGCTCCCATCGAGCAAACCCAATGACGCGCTCGCCGTTGTTCACGACACCCATCGACTGCCGAGAACGCACAGACTGCTCGTAGGCCGCCAACGACCCCGACCCACCCGACCACGACTTGAGCGGAGAGCGATGGCCAGGGGCGGCAGCGTCGGATGCCTCGCCCGCTGTGGGTGGGTAGCTGTGATACTCTGGGCTTGGCGGCTTCGGGCTCGAGCCTGGGCTGTCCGAGAACTTTGTCGCGTCGAATGGAGGCAGGGAGCTGAATGACAGATTCGGGTCCGTCGAGGAGCGTACGGCATACAGCTCGCCTTCCAGTCCCTTGCTCAACACGATCTGCATACCCTCCTGTGCCTCCCGCTCCCTCAGCCTCCGCACGCCCTTGGTGACCTTACCCGGCTTGTTGATGCGGAATATCTTCTCGAACCACGAGCGAGGGTCCGTGGGCTGGTTCATGTTCCGCCACTGTCCGAGCTTTGTCGAGGCCGATGTGTTCACCTCCTCGTCGAGGCGCGCACGCCGGTAATCCTCGATCCCATCCTTGATGGCGGTCACGCAGAGGATGAAGATCAGCGGAAGTGCAGCGAGCTGTGGAGTCGTAGCACCAAAAATGCTGAACACTGCAAGGGGCTCGGTGTGTGGTCAAGGAATCTTGATGAGGATACGTACCTTGCAGAATGACAAGTGCTAAAAAGTAGATGTTCGCCACCCTGTGAATTGGTTTATCAGCAGAACGCGACGCATATATAGAGGTACGACGTACCGGCGAAACTGCTCATAGAGATTCTTGGGAACGAAAGTGAGGATAGTGTACTCTGCGCATCATGAGCATTCCGAGAGAAACTCAGGAGAACGTACTCACTGCTCGTTCGGACTTTATTTCTCGCATACCGCACAATGGGCTCCCCCTTACTATCAACCTCATCTCTCGGTAGTGCCATATTCACGAAAACCTTCCTTCGGGGCCCAGAAATCTGCGGCGCCTTCACCTCACCCTCTTCAGCTTCAGCTTCAGGCACTACCGGCATCCTTGTCTTCCTCTTCTGTGATAGCCTTTTCAAGAACGCCTTTCCCCTCATCGACAGCTTCCTCTTCTGCTGCCGGTCCTCCTGGCGCACGGACTCGGCAATGGTTGATGCGGCCGTGCGCACGGTGTGCAGACGTAGCTCCGGGTCGATGCCATCATCTTCAGGGAAGACATCCGCTGCTTGTTGTCGCCGGAAGAATGACATACAGGCAGAGAGGGATGGGGCCAAGAAATACTGATAATAGACAGCCCAGAACCAGCACGGGCTCTAATAGTTGTCGAGCACTGGTGCAGTAAGTTGGTGAAGTACGAATCCAAGATGAAGGTGTGCCGGCGCTCGTGAGCTCACCGCCTCTGCGCTCGCTGACGACCCCTGGAACTGCCGGTTGTCGGTCCTTTCCGATACGTCCGACACGATTGACCGACTCACGGCGGCGTACTAAAGATAGCTGGATACTGATCCCAGTCGCCACGGTGATGGATGCCTGTCAGATGTAAGGTTCGCACAGCTGCACTGTCCTGGAAGACGACAGTGTAAATCGAGTTGCAATGGATGTGGTGAGCCGAAAAAGCGCAGGCCACTGTGTGACTCGTCACGTTTTCTTGAAAGCTTGGGCTCGCTCAACTTCAAGCCTCGGCTCCGATGCAAGTTCTATCGGCTAATCCGATGCCAGAAGTGCAATTGTGGGCAGCAGAGCAGAGATATGTTGCGCCGACAATCGCCGTACGCAACATAGTCCGTCCTACGCATGAAACTTGAAGATCCGCGGAGCTGGTTGCTGGCAAATCCCGGAGTTGGGCCACAACCAAAATAGAGGCTAAACTGCCGCTATGGCGTGCTTCTCTTCGGAAAGAAGGAGAACAACGCTGTTCGAAAAGCGGTCTACCTTTCACGCACGTGGTGTGAATGGCGAGCGTTATTTCTGCACGTAAAATGAGGAAAAGTATACATTGACGATCACACTTCGTAAAACATATAGGCGAACGAATCTTGAAGCTTGAAGCTTGAACGTTTGAACGTTTGAACATTCAAAACTAACTGTTTACGAATTCTTCTGATCAAAACATTCACCGTGGCACCATGCCCGACACGCACGTGAGCTGATACTATTCCCGGACTCTGCCGGAGTTGCCTACTATTAGGAACCTCGGACTGTTCATGCCTTCTTATTCCCCTTACCCCGTGCATTCAGAAATGAGGACCGTTTATATATCGACAGCTTGTAATGATCTAGGTTTACTGTTATGGCTGAGTCTTTTTTTCTTTCAAGCAGGGCCCTAAGCCTTACATTGCCTTTTGGAGAGGGGGGCCGGTGGCTGAGCCGCCCGTCTACCGCGATGCTCGCCTGCTACTCTAGCAGACTTTAAAGGAAATCAGCATTCAGCATAAGAGCAATGTCATGGTTCCTTCAGCATCCTGCACATTGCGCATTTCGAGTCCTCGCGCTACAAGAGGCCACGAAGGAAACGATGCTATCTCAGCATGTGGTGGAGAATGCATGATCGTGGGACATTTCGTCAACTCGGTAACTTGGATTGAGTCTGAGTTTGACAGACGAAGTGACCCTCACCTGCGAGGGTAACGTTTCATGGCCATCGATTCCGTTTGTGTTCTGCAACTTGATCAAGGTAGACCGAAGTTTCTTGTTTCGACAAGGCGTTCGCTAGCGAGTGTCCGAGGTCCCGCTGAATGCATTCTGTCATGTTGATTTGTGTACACGGTGGTAAATGGAGCCCGGCTGCGGCACACACAGGAGACATGACACTTGTTTATAAATCCGTTAGGTATCCCTTGAATTTCTTTTTAATCCTGGGGTACCAAGCTGGTTTTGGAAAGGGTTTGTCTCGCAAAAAGATGGTGAAATGTCTCCCAGCGATAGAACAGATGCCACACATTCATCGCAACGTTTATCACCCTGTCAAAGCTGCTTGAAAACAACTCGCTTGTCCAAGAGCAAAACGCACTCCGATACTGTCCCGATCTGCCGTCAATTTAAACAAGCACTGGCACACCGAGGTACCAGTCGATTAGCGTACGTATTCCATATCACCATGGAATATATGCAACCAAGTAAACCCTTTTCTTTGAATTGAGACCACAGCTGGAAGGCTGGATTGCAAGAGACTGGATCGTATGACCTTTTCTTTGTCACGCCGGCGACTTTCTATCCTGTGCGAATTCGACGCATCCGTGGCTCCCTGCCAATCAGACTACGTAGGCAGTGTGGAACCTCTGCACCCAACTCATCAAAGACGATCAGCTCTGGATTGAGAAGCACTCCAGATCAAACGTAAGTCAAGCGCCTTCGAGATATAATGTGGTGAATCCCCTTCAGGAAGCTGAAGCGGCGGTCTTTATTTCTTCGTAAAGCCTCAAGATTCATGGAATACACAAACCCATACGTACGAACGAAGTCTTTGCCCTTGGTTGCAGCTCTGGATTGCGACCGTGATCGGTATGCATCGCTGGTCCTTGCAGCTATGGACTCTTTCGTTGACTTACAGCTTGTGCAGCTTAATCATCTTGGCTCATAGCAGCATGCGGCGCACGAGCATCACAATCAAATGGTCGCTGGAATCTTGTGACATGCAGCCTCCAGCCCGTTTCAAGACTGCACGCGCCAGAGGACAAGAGCAAGTCGTTCTCACCGTGTACACGAGTTAAAGCAATTCCGGTACCATTATGAAGCAGCGCCCACTGAATGAAATTTCCACTGGCGTGATGAGAGGGCTGTCCCATGTTGCTACCAACCGCTGTATCTGCGAGCTGCGGTCCGCAGGCAAGTCTCCTTTTATCTTGAATCAGACAAATGCCTTCACGAAACGTTCGTCTATTGAGTAGAGGGACGGATCAACGTGTGCTAGATGTTGATGAATCGGTCTCATCGTCTCGAGGGTGCTTCGACTGTGCTCCTCTTTTTTCTTCAGGGAGAGCGGGTACCAACGCCGCAGGTGACAAAGCAACTACGAACATAATTACAATAAGAAGCCTTTTCGCACATGTCATTTGGCTCGACGAACAACTGCCACACCGTATGACTGCTCAGACACCTCTTCTCTGCGCACTCACCGACCTTTCCGCAATCTTCCATTCATTTAAGACATCTGGGTATGTGGCAAGTTCGAGCCACAGGCACCAAAGCGTTTCCTCCAGCATGGTTCTACGAGAAGATAGACCGAAATCACTTAAGGCAGCTGCTCCTCACATGACCTCGTAGCTGTTGACATTTTGTCCAGTAGCCCTTGCTCAAGGTGTTCATTTGGTTCGCCGACTGGTTTCTCTATACCAACAATACAGCACCCACTTATTGTTCTCTGCCCTTTCGGACTCCGCAGTTGAGAAAACACTATCTCCGGATATTGGGCCACTGACCGATCTCAGCCAATAGCTGTCATCCGATCGGAAACTCGTGTTCTCGAATTTACAATGCCTCGTGGACTGTGGCCATAAAAGACCTTGGCATGCAATTTCTCGGACCGTGTGGCTCCTGGCGTCCTCCATGCCTTCCCCCGCCTATATATAGGCTCATTTGCTGTGGATATTGTCCTCTCAGGCTTTTCTAGCTCCGCTTCCGAGCCACACTGGTAATAGCTTCGCACAGCGAGTATTGTGCTGACTCTTACAGCCCTCCACTCTTCTTCCCTTTTTCCTTCATCCTTCGACATGGATATCACCGACGCCAAACACGCGGTCCTAATTAATCCGAACGACTACGTGAATTGGGAGCACGACTTCGAGATAAGCCGAACTGATCGAGGGTAAGTGGTCGTGCTGGAGTGAAAACCCCAAAATGGATTTAATGTTTTTGTTGTTGAGCAGGGATATGCAGGTGGATGTGAATATGGAGAATGGTCAGCACGAAGGGTGCGTCTGTATCTTTTCATATATACATTCAAACCCGCGTTACTTACAGATGGCATCCCCCAGCTTGTCGTCTTCAAAAGATGCCGCCGATTTAAGCCACACGTATGTCGCCCACTTGTGCTGTAGTCACCGACCTAATTCTCATACATCACCTTTTTTCCTTGATAAACCTGTTCATATAGTTCAATGCCCTCCTGCGATACGACCTCACAAGCAGATGCTCACGGCTCCGACACCTCCTCGCAGCCTAGCCGGTGCGCGTCGTTCTTCATTTAATTATACAGCGATCACTAACGGATCACCCAGCTACAGCTTCCCGGAGAGTGCCCAATACCAGCCAACTGATGTTCGGATGGGCTATGAATCCTGGGAAGTACATAATCCAGCGCACGATGTCCCTATACGAGAAGATGAAGGACCTTCCGAGTCGATGCCTCTTCACAACGTCGTTGGTGTACTCGAAGCAATTGAAAGCCCCGAAGGCCACAGCCCTCCATCGACAGATGATGTGCAAATGTCAGAGCAGCGGGACGTCCAGCCACCCACTAACAGTTCGCAACCTAGTAATGTAGACGCGCGTGCTCGTGCTCGTTCTCGTTCGTGTTCGATCGAGATACCTCTTAGTTTGCTCCTGAAGGGGGTAAGCCCTGAGTCGTCAAATCCGATTCAGTCCAAGAGCGAATTCCCCCTCGCTGCAACTGTGCCTGCTGGTGCCCATAAACATCGCAAGATTCTTCCGGCTCTTCATCATATCAAACGCGAAGAACTCACCCCTCCAATCCCAGCTACTGCCACTCGGAAGAAAGCACTCGGAGGACCTCCTCGGTCACGGAAGAAAGCGCGAGCTCGCGGCGGAAAAGGAGCACGGTCCCACCACGCTAGAGACGACGTGCACGATGATGAGCCCCCTCGCAAGTGCGGATGGGCAGAGGACAGCGAGCCGGCATGCGAACAACAGTGCCATGGATGGAGAGAGTTCTCAAAACATGTCATCGTCGATCATGCCGGTGACTTCAAGAAGGGGGATTCGGTCGAGTGCTGCCTTCCTGACTGCGGGAAGGAGATCAAGAAGGAAAACTTGTCGAGGCACATTCAGTCGCATTATGGACTGTTCGGGCCGTGTCCTTGTGATAAGTTCTTCAGTCGGGCTTGGGCTTGGAAGCGCCACGAGGGTACCTCCGGTTGCAACCGATCTTGCAAGGAGGAAGTGGACGGGGAAGCACCGGGATTGAAGGAAGCTGTCAGTCCTTCTCGTCCAATACGCGTGATTGGTTCCATGGTTTTGGCGAAAACGGAGGCACGAAGGGCGGTGCTCGTGCGCAAGACTCGGGCAGCAGCAGCAAAGAATGAAGTATCGTCTAGGCTGAGGCCGCGAATCACGACTCGGAAGAAGATAGTACGACAGCGCTCAAGCTTGCCGGTCACTGGAAGGTCCAAGAAGGTCGTTGCCTATTATCAGCATATCAAGCTCGTGGGCAAGATCAGACGCAGTGTTAGCACTGTTCTCGAAGGCTCTCAGTGCATGGAGAAGGCAGACTCCGAAGAACATGAAAAACAGCCTGGACCTGAACACAAAGGCGAGTCGCCTGTTGCTATTATGGAGGGGAAAGTCGAGGAGAACTCGGAGGCCCCTTGCTTGCCATGAGTTGCGCCACGGGATTCTCTAGCGATATGTAACACCATCTCTAAAACTGTCTTGTTCTTCCTACTTCCCTTCTAGTATTATCATGATTGTGTAATAAAATCTCATGCACATGAGTCAGTGGAAATCATATGTGAGACTAGAAAGGACAGAGAGACTGATTGGCATCAAAGTCATGGAGGCGCAGCCACCGCCACCCAGAGTCCACATAAAGCAAGCGTTATGGTTCGGCAATCCGTCAGGGAGCGCTCATGGTCAGCTGAACTGGCACCACGACATGAGAACGAACTATAATGAATTCGCGAACACGGACGTATTTCTAGCCCTCTTCCTCTACTCTTCAGGCGAGCGAGCGACGTTCTAACGATTTCCCTTCTCGCTGAACGACTTTGCAGCTTTATTTGATCAGGAGCTATGGCGCCTCAGGCGGCAGCCGTCGAATCGGTAACTATTGCAACCGCTGAAAAGCAGGAAAAGGGGGGCAAGGGGTCGAGGATGTCGCTTATCTTGCCTTGGCTCCTGGCGACGTTGGCAGGAGGAGCAGCATGGAAGTGGCAAGAATCGCAGCAAAGGACCATATCCCTGAACGGACTGACGCCACCGCCCCAGTCAGTGGTGAGAACACTACAACCCAGCCAGGATATACATAATCTCACGCATCTCCATACATAGATCATAGACCCGCTCTCCTACGCCGTCCTCGGCACCCAGGGCCCATTCCGCGACGCCGACTCCTGGACCACATTCTTCAACCCCACCTCCACCGCTCCTCCTTTCTTCCAAATCCTCCACCCCGACTTCCTCTCCGTGCTCGGTCCTGCACCCTCGCTGCGCGCGATCGCGTCCAACCGCGATTTCGCGTTCGCGCACGAGGCGCCGATATGGGTGCCCGCGAGCGACGAGGTGTTCTTCGCGAGCAACGCCGGCGGGCCGCTTGGGTTCAGTGACTGGAACACGAACAATCAGGTGGCGAAGATCAGCATGCGGGATGTGGAGAGGGCGGTTGCGCGCGCGGGGAGCAACGTCTCTGCTGTGAATGTGTCTGTTCAGAAGGTGCGGACTGCCAGACGAAGCGACGGAAGCTGTATTGAACAATGTCTGGTGTGATGTGCCCAGCTGTACCTCCCTGACACCATCCAGATGACGAACGGCGGCACGGGGCCCTTCCGTGGCTCCCTGCTGCTCATCAACTCTGGCCGGGCGACCATGCCGCCCAACCTCGTGCTCGTGAATGCCTACCCGCCTCACAACGCGACCGTGCTGCTGGACAACTACTTTGGTAGGCAGTTCAACTCACTGAATGATGTCAGGGTGCACCCGAAGGGCAAGGCGATCTTTTTCACGGACGTGACGTGAGCATCCTGTATGATATCTTACACCGGCGTGTGGGTATACTGACGAACGAATGTAGGTACGGATGGCTTAACCACTTCCGCCCGCCCCCGCTGCTGCCGAATCAGGTGTATCGCTTCGATCCGGACACAGGCCACGTTCGCGTCGTCGCTGACGGGTTCATGCGGTGCAATGGCCTGGCATTCTCAAAGGACGGCAAGACCGTCTACATGTGAGTGCATCTTCTCCAACCTCAACGCCTCGTGTGCTCATCGTCAACAGCGCGGACTCGGGGGCCGCGGCTGGCTTCCTGGGAAGGAACACGACGCAGCCGTCTACCATGTACGTGTCGACATATCAGCTACGGATCGATGTAGTTCTGACGATACGGGCATCGACAGCTACGCATTCGACGTCGAGCCAAAGTCGCAGGTGTTTCTCAACCGCCGTGTGTTCGCGTACGTCGACGCCGGCGTACCGGACGGGCTCCAAGTCGACACCGCGGGCAACGTCTATTCCGGATGCGCCGACGGCGTGCATGTCAGTGCTCCTGTTCGTCTTTACTTACGTTAGTTGACGTTGACGTGCGTGTGCAGGTCTGGAACAAAGAGGGCACGCTGATCGGCAAGTTCTTTCTCGGTGCCGAGTCGGCCAACTTGGTGTTTGCAGGCAAGGGCAAGTTGGTGATGTTGGCGGAGACGGTGGTGTATTTGGCGCAGATCGCTGCGGATGGAGTGAATTTGGCCGTCGACTGAGGCGTGCAGGAGCCGAATTGAGGGAGGAGTTGCGCACGCGGAGCTCGATCTAGGTGATCTCTGTTTTGTGTCTCATTTCCTTGCGAGCCTTTATCATGTACTATGCATAGCCCATGATGCCAAAATTCCCAGCCAACAAGTCAAATTCGCAGCGTGTTAGGCAATGCCAGCACTTTGATGCCAACCACTCTCTTTGTCCCTTCCAGTCTCACATTTGTTTTCATTGGTGCGCGTGAGATTTTGTTACACTTCTATGATAAAATCAGAAGGGATATGTCTGGGAAGAGAGCAAGACAGATTCATAGATGCAGGATGGCATAGGATGGAGTCCCTCCATTTGCTTCAAGAACAAATCAAGATGGTGGAACATATCGCTAGAGAATCCCACAGCGCGACTCGTGGCAATCGATCTCGACTTTTCCCTCCAACATACGAACAGGCGACTCGCCTTGTGTTCAGGTCCAGATGTTCTTCGGGGTCTGCCTTCTCCATGCCCCGAGACCCTTGGAGAACATCGCTAGCACTGCGTCTGATCTTGCCCGCGAGCTTGATATGTTGGTGATATGCAACGACCTTTATGGACCTTCCAGTAACAAGCAAGTTTGAGCCTCGACGTACTATCTTCTTCCAGCTTGCAATTCGCGGCCTCAACCTGAACAATACTTCATTTCCTCGCCGCTGCTACCCGAGCCTTGAGAACGAGCACCGCTCTCCGTGCCTCCATGATCACCAACGAACTAACACGGATTGGACGAGAAGGACTGGCAGCTTCGTTCGATCCCAGTGCTTCCCCGTCGGCTTCCTCCTTGCAAGATCGATTGCAACCCAAGGTACCCTCGTGGCGCTTCCAGGGTCCTAAAAGAAGGAAGCAAGGGATGAGAATCAGGTTGGTGATTACAAGCGGGCGAGGCACGTGTGTTTTGAATCGGCGGCATCTTCTGAAGGCGGCGAGCTGGGAGGTGCATTCCGTAAGTGAAACGGGAGCGAATAAATATGTTATTAAAATAGAGACGCACCTTCGTTCTGACCATTCTTCATGCTCGCATCCACCTGCATACCCCTGCTTTGCAAGTGACCATTGTGCCAACTGCGGTGCTCACGCGCGAATGAGTGCAGCATGCTGCCACGAACCAAGGTGAGAGACCCGCACAGGTTGTCAGTCGACGAACTCGTCCATCATGAGCTGCCACAAGCACCTGCGAGACATACCGATTACGGCCGAAATGCAGAGCTGCCGCCAAGGGCAAAGACTTTGCTCGCATAGTACATAGGTTTGTGCATTCCATGATTACTGGCGGGTTCACGAAGAGATAAGGATGGCTGCTTTGGCAGCCTCTTGAAGGAGAGGGATTCAGCACACAATGTCTCAAGAGCGCTTGACTTACATTTGATCTGATCTGGAGTGCTTCTCAATGCAGAGTTGCATAGATTCCACACTGCCTATTGACTGCCTAACATCATAGTCTGCTTGGCAGGCAGCTACCGATGCGTCGAATTTGCACTGCATAGAGAGTCGTCGACGTGACAAAAAAGGCAATACAATACAATCTGTGCTTGCAATCCAACCTTAAGCTGCGATCTCAGTACAAATGATGTACACCGCTTCAGGCTCATGCCACGGTCTAGACCACACATTGATCCCGCGAAGCACCAACGTATGGCAGTCCTCCGCGCCATACATACGTACATACGGGGCCGAGACGGTCCAGGCCTGCCTCTCCGCTCCCCGCAAGGGACGGCGCACAGGCCCGGACCCCGTTACGTGGGGAACCTGCACAGCCGCCGGAAGCTAAGCTGTAGTTTTGCCTCGAGGCTTGGGGTACGTCATGCGTACATGTTGAGAGGACCGTGCAGCGGGAGAGATGAGAGTAGGCAGTCGAGACACAGCCGCAGTTCGTTGTGTTGAATGTAGAGAAGCCGGTGGTGTTGGACGTGGTGAGTAACATCAGGAAGCGGTAAGAAGGTGATCCGGAGTCGAATGTGATGCCGTCTGGGGAATCGTGGCCTTCGCGGTATCGTCGTGAGCCATACATACTGTTACGTGCGACGGCCAAAAGTGTGCAGCCCGTTGTGAGTTGCGCCCATTTTGCCGCTCGGCGGTGCACCTGAATGGTTTGCTCCACGAACGAATGTGCCGCCCGGCCACAGCAAATGAATTCGTCCTGCGGTGGGGCATGTGTATAGGGGCATGTGCGTACACGGTGCAGTACATGCAAGCCAGCAGACGTATCAACGCCTGGCGAGCCCTCGCCTCATGGGAGGAAATCCGAGAACCGCGGCGGGAGTAGGCTGGGAGTTTGAGCGGGCGGATGCTGTCAATTATAGACACGTCCACGACGAACGCCCATATCGGCCCGTCGTCGGATGCATTCCCAAAATCCCGTACCTAATGCTCGGGCAACAGCTGTTGGTGCAGAGATGAGTCTGGCCAGCGCCATGGATTCGGACTTGGCCGTCAGAAGTTCGTTGTCAGTAGAGTTGGCCCGTGCGCTGGGGATCTACAGTGGGGTTAACGCGGAGTGCGTGGAGAACCCAGGAGGATAGATATAAGCCCGCTCAACAAAGAGCGGCTTGTCGCAAAGGGACATTGTCCGTCGCTGCTGTGACCGACCACACCCGCCACTTTAATTGAGCGCCTAGCTCGCACGTGGCATGCGAGGGTCTCGGATGTTCCAGTCCAGCGGATGGCACTTGCGTCGTCCACGAGGTCTCGAGCTCTCTCTTAACCTCCGTCCAGATAGGAGAACGCGTACTGCTCACCGTATAAATCGCCACATCCTCCCACCGCGCCGTCTCCCCACTGCCATGGCTGTTGTTGCGACCTACGAAGCGTCCACCTCCAGCGTCCTGCTGCACCAGCCAGACTTCACCATCATTTCGACCAGTCGCTCGAGCACGTTCCACTCGCCCCTCGCCGCCCTCCGCAACCGCTCTCGGCCCATCCCAAACTCCTACTGGGCGACCCCCTATCTCGTCGCGTGCGAGTTCCCCTATTGCCCACTGACGCCCGCCCAAGTCGAGCGCCGCCAGACCAAGCAGAAGCTCGACGCGCTCCTCCTCGCCGGCGTGCGCACCTTCATCGACCTCACCGAGCCGCACGAGCTCTTCCCCTACACCCCGCACCTCGCCTCCCGCTGCACCATGCTCGGCATCGACCCCGCCGACGTCGAGTACCACAACTTTCCGATCCGCGACCGCGGCCTGCCCGAGAGCGTCGAGTTCGTGCGGCGCATCATGCATATCCTCCGCGACAACGAGCGCCGCCAGCGCACCGCTGCCGTGCACTGCCGCGGCGGCATCGGGCGCACCGGCATGGTCGTCGGCTGCTGGCTCATCGAGTCGGGCATCGCGAGGGACGGCGCGGACGCGCTTCGCATGATCGCAGAGGAGTGGAAGGGCGTCGAGAAGTGCAAGCGGTTCCCGTGCAGCCCCGAGACCGGCCCCCAGTTCGAGTTTGTGCGCTCCTGGCAGCGCGCGGGCTCGCCGCAGTTGCAGAGCGCAGGCACGCTCTTGAAGAACGGCGTGCAGATCAACGTGCAATAACCCGTCCGTTCCCGCTCATATATATATAACGACTCGGTCAGTGGTCCCTCCCGTCGATCCGAGAATGCTCCCTCCCGTCGATCCGAGAATGCCTTACTCATCCCGCTCGTCTATTCAGTTATGACCACCCGCATACATCTGGATCCCACATCGTTTATATCCGCCACCTTTCACGTGTATATCTACCCTAACTTATTGCGCGCTCTAACTGTTTCTATCTTGGCCTCGGGCTCGGACGTTACCAGACCATCATAATATTCCTAGATGCGCTACGGTTCCGCAGTCTAGACAGTGTATCCACCAGTGCTTCTTTCCTTTTGGCTCTCTGGCGACATAACATAGTTTATTTGCTCTTGGAGGAGAGCTGGTCGCGGAATGTTCTGATGATGTGCGCATGCGGCAATGGCAAACGTGCGCGAGTGGGCTTGGTACAATAAGCCAGAGGCCGAGGTTGAGAAACAGTGCAAGGGCCATGATCCAATATCAAGCAGGGACTATATAGCGAACATGGGCAGGGGACCTCAGTTGCATCCCGACTAGCTCGAGTTGCGATGGTACATCTTGTCTGTCGCTGCACCGACGACACGATGGCCCCATCCCCCCACAGAATTCCTAATGATACAGTATCATGCACGCTGTTGGTGTCTCCAGTGACCGGATTATAATTATTAGGCTTGAGGATCATCTTTGGCGCTAAGGCGGCCTCTCGAGCGCTACCAGACTTCACTTTGTACTTTGTGCACGTCGAGGCAATATAAAGTTACTTATTTGGCTCACTTTATTCACTTATCGTAGCTTGCTGCCACCAAACCACCTGGACCTCACGTACTGCGGACCTCCTTAGGTTGCCGTGCCCGACCGGCTCCGCAACCTAAGGAGGTTTGAAGGTTAGTTTCCCGCCATCTGCCAGTACCACCGGCAATAGCTGAGAAAATTTATCATAGAGAGTAAGGCCGATCAACGCGGCCGATAACACTGATCAACGTTGATCATCTGATCACCTATGCTGTTCATTTTGTACAAATATTCTTTAACCCTACTCGTGGTTTCGATGACTCTATCTCGCATCTGTATGTTATCGCATGGAATGATGACTCTATCTCGCATCTGTATGTTATCGCACGGAATTAACGTATCTCTATCGTGGGGCAAATATTAACTTATCTCACACCAACTATGCTATCTCGCACATTTTGCCATTATATCGCAGACACATTGCGGTCCAAATTTTCAAGGCAAAAGTAGTACAGCATCAGTCGCTATTGACGTACAGATCATGGCTGACTGAGAACAGCTCATGAATGTCAAACTTGAGACTATTAAGGGAAGAAATCGTGTACTTTATCAGTGCATCTTCCTTGCCATATCCTTCCATACCTGCAACAGCATCCACAATGATTGCTTTGCATTCCTCCGCCATTCCTGTCAGCTCCATTGCCTTGACCTCATCAGGAATACTGGATAGCTTGAGCTGAAAGATGGGATGCAGATGGCACACCTTCCGACCAATGTGAACAATCCACTCGTTCTTCCAGATTCGTGCACAGTTCACATGCTCTTTGCAAGTGCTCGACCTGAGGTACTCGATGTCCGGTGGGATGAACCCGAACTCCTTCCTCAACCCATGCAGGTCCTCATGTGCACGCATCAGCAACATAAAGGCATCATAGCCTAATCATGCAATGTCTCGTTCCTTGATGTCTTTCATCTGACTCTCCAGCAGCTCAGCGACACCAGAACAGATCCAATCTTTCATGTCGAATGCACGCGCAATTCTCAAGTGCAGTGCTGGGCATATTTTAGGCTATATCAGGTTGAGCTCATGGTGAGCCCACTCCACTCCACATGTGATTTCCCATCGTTGTGAGAGCCTCCAGACTGCAATGGGATATGCGAGGTCATACGGCGGAGATGTCCATCTACAGGGAATTCCTTAGCACTGTGTATGATAGCTGTGCAAAGGCTCAATGACGTACGGCCCAAACAGGAACTTGCAGAGATATTCAAAGTCCACCGCTGACACTTGCTCAAGCACAATCAGATTTTGATCTGATTGTCCCTGGATCGCATCATCTTTTCTGGTCCCTTGCAGGATGTCCAGCATATCTTTAAATGGCTGGGACAATTGCACAAGCATCCCTATGCCGATCCAGAATAGTGTATCTTCAACCTGCAGAGAATTTAGTAATGTACCTGATCTTTCTGTTTCTATCATACATGCCTTGAATGTAAGAAGCCCATGACTGTGATAGTATTCTTTAGACTTGATCAGAGTACCCATCCCATCTGGGCATGCGGGACCACTCGGGAGTCCATGTGAGTGACTGAGTTTGTTTCTGTGTCTGGAGCAGTCATTGTTGCGAGTTGCAAGGCAGAATCAGGCCACACAAATTTGTGGCAGGTTGACAGGCTGATTATGTGATCTGTACGAGGGTGCAACCTGCATGTCTTCAGTGCCCGCTGCTGCGCTAGTGATTCTGACCTCTAAACGACTCTATATTCGTCCATTTACTACATGGCATCATTCCCTCGGTCATTACCTCAGCTTCCGCTCGCTCCAGATGGACAAGAAGGATGGACAGGAAATATTCGAAGTGCGCATCGCAGGCTGAGTGAAGCATATGAACATGCCGCTCGGCTCTTGCACATGGATGACAATGATCCCCTATGCTTGAGGTATCACCTCGACAGGCTTACCACAGATTGTCTGCCTATCCTGCAGGCATTGGAAGATCATCAAGATGCTGCTCAGCTTCTGGGAGATTGGTTGGCAGATGTTGTGCAGTCATTTGCAGCCGTTATCATATGCTTATGCACAGCGATTGATACAATGGATGGACGGTGCGTCAATCTGTAATGCTATTGTTCACCAACGAAAGTTATGTTAGGCAGGGATCACTCACACATTGACCAGATTCAGCCTGTTATGCTACATCACAGTGGCAGATGAGGACGCCCGAGCCTGAAAATTGACAGGGACTTTCTAAAGGAGGCCTTCTCTGTGCGACATAATATCTCCCTCTCACAGCTTGCATGGACTCTTGGTATCCATCGGCATACTATTCGACATAAAATGCGCATCTATGGTCTCCAGAATGCATTTTCACCCATCTCAAACGGCCAACTCAATGCTGTTGTCAAAGCCTACAAACAGCGCAAACCGGACTCAGGAATCTGTTATCTGAGGGGCTTCCTTCACCAGCATCACCTTCAAATCCAGAAGAATTGCCTGTACCAATCGTTGCGTCATGTCGACGGACTCAATCATGTGCTTCAATGGCGTCGCACCATTCAAAGGCGAAAGTACAAATCATCACGCCTGAATGCATTGTGGCATTGTGACGGTCATCACAAGTTGATTCATTGGGGAATTGTTATTCACGGCTTTATTGATGGCTTCTGTCACACAACATGGCTTGCCTCAGTGATATTTTTGTGATAGTGCTAATATCTATCTTATAGATCACTGAACTGCGGGCCAGCGCAAACAATCTGGCCACAACTGTCTTAGACGTCTTCTTAGAGACAATAGAAGTTTACGAGATGCCTTCTCGAATTCGTGGAGATCATGGTGGAGAAAACATTGAGGTCGCGGTGTGGATGATACTGCATAGAGGCCCGAATCGTGCATCTTCATGTGGGGCAGGTACGTCGAATGTATACTATCTATACAGTGATTGCACTCACTGATGTTAACCAAGTTCAATGTGAAACACTCACATCGAGCACCTCTGGGTCGAAGTTGGTCGCCAGTTTACATGAGAGTGGAGAGCATTCTTCATGCAGCTCGAGCGTTTACATCTGCTCGATTATAATGATCCATATCACCTCTGGCTTCTTCATTGGCTCTTCCTTGGTGCAATAAACAGAGACTGCAAGGCTTTTCAGGAAGACTGGAATGCACATCCCATATCTGGCCCAGACATGCATGACCGTAGTCCAAATGTGAGTATGAAAGAGTCAAGCAGATGAGAAGAGGCTTACGTGCATAAATGACAGGATCTACGCCTTTTAGGTCAAACGACGAATGGAATATACCATGATGATGGCGCTGACTTACACCTCGACATCCTACATGAATACTATGGTACAACAGCACAGTCAGTTCACCACTGACATGGTCAGACTGGTGCAGGACACCCACCAGAAGAGGATTCGATGATGAAAATGACCTGCAGAGGCTGCCTGAGCAGATCACGGATTATCAGCAGACGAATATTTGACATGATCCCATCCCAGTGCCTGATCACCGCTGCCCTTTCTCACCATATGGTGAGGTCATATTCATTCGTGCATTGGCTGCTGTGAGGGAGATGGGCTCTCTTCCAACCAGCTATGGTGCACTGCCAGGAGAGGGTGGCGGTGAATATGTCAGTGAAGAAATTATTTGCACAGGTCAGCGAGGGAGAAAGAAACTCATCATTAGTCTTCCTGAGCATGTATGGTACCCGCGCGTGAAGCTATGGGTCCAGGCTTTACATCTGATGACATACATGCTTGAGGACGCTGAGAATAATGACTAGCCTAGTGTACTTGTCCTAGTGTACCATTGTATTGCGTAGCATTGCGTGTTTCGAACGAAGGAGACTGATCTATTAACATTCTCGCAATGACACCAGAACGCAATGTCGAGATGAGAATTCAGCCACTGAAAGGATTGGTCAGCATGCTGCCGAGCATGAGTCATGCATAAAAAAAATCTTGCTTCGAGGCCTCACAACTCTCGTCCTGCCTCAATGAGCCATATTTCTAAGGTTGACAGTGACGAAGATGAGGTCAGTCTGATGCATTCTCCACAATCCATGTTCGGCATTGACTTACCACAATTCATTGCAAAGCACAAGCCGCACACAAAACATGTCAATGACATCGTTCGCAAGCTAACAGCAAATTTTCCTGCCATCTCACAGGCCCGCGAGGAGGCAAATCGGACATTTCACCGAGCAGAGCAGGTGGCTAAGTCACCAGAGAAAAAAAACATGTGAGGATGATATAGAAAAATATCCACTGAACTCACCATGCAGCTGCATTGGCCCACTGAAGGGGGTTGGAAAAGCGAATTTGGCATCAGGAAGCAAGGCGACCATTGCACGTGTTGTGTCAGGCTCTGCAAGAGTAGTCTCCATCAGTGTCTTTCCTGTCAGATTGAAAAATGTAAGTCATTGTCGCTTGTCCAACCATTGCAGTCATAACTCACAGCATTGACTTGTAGCCTGATGAACTGAACATTACACAGGCCCCCCAAAAAGGTCTATCAGCAACAACTGCAGAATCTCGGCCTGGGCATCCTGAATGTTCAGAATGAGTTTCTGTTCTGGAAGTCATGGACCCCAGCGCAGATGCATGCATTCTTATGCAATCACCTGCCGATGTTCTTCTGCTATCTGGCAATGAAGGATCCCTGGGTCCTGACGATTGGAGCACATGATGATGAAGAGCTGGCTCTACTAGAGCTGCTGTATGTGCTGCTGTCGAAGGAAGACTGGAGCATGAATGTTGTCAATATCAGTCATCCTGACGAAAGCAATTACTTCACTTACAAGAGCCGTAGCAGCATGACTTGGCAAGATTCGCACGTTTGGATTGGTAGGCATAACAGCAACTTGGATTGACTCCATAACGTTCTCCGGGAATTGACGAAATGTTTCAGGATTACGCGAGATCATCGATCTCGATGATTTCAAGGAATGGGCAGAGCAGCAGAAGGTCGACAGTGCACAGGTGGGAAGGGAAGATGGGAAGTCTGCAAGCATAGCGTCAGAAGGAAGTGACTTGAAGGGCAAGGCCAAAGTGCCTGCCAATCCACAATGTACGTTCTCGGGTCTATCAGCATCTGCACATCGACGACTGACGGCGGAGTTTTGCCTGAAGCAAACACAACGACCATGGTGGCAAAGCATCCATTCCTGCTCTTCTTGGAAGATGACACTGATGATGAGATCATCGAACGTGGACTCCATTCCCCAAGTCCAACTGACAGTGCTCATCTGAAGAGAATCAAGAGATCAAAGATCCTCAGTGAAGTGGATGGTGCGCCTGCATGTGGAGAAATTTAACTTACAGCTTTTCTCATGACTTGCATTTGACAGTGGCTGTGGGAGGATCAAGCTCTATGGCGAGTGGTAGCTTGACTGATGCAGCATCAATTGCAGCTGCCAGTGATGCAGAGGAGAGTACCCCTGCAGCCAAAGGAGGGCGCATTGATATCGACCTCAGCAATGTGCCTGACAGCAAGGATGAGCAGCCCACTACCCCAATTGCCCAGGTGCAGCAAGGATTGACCCCTCAATCACCTGCATACATGCCTTGCATATGCAATCCATGGCTTTCAGGTCCCAAGCAGTACTCATTTTGATCATACTGCAGTCGTAAATTCTATAAAATAATCAAGAGAAATGTGGTCTATTGAATGGAATAACTACCACATGATGATACCGTGATCATAAGCGAGTGACATGAGCGAACGAATGGATTTGGGACCACCTCCAATCTTCCAGCCTCATGGAGGACCAGTGCAGGGTGATGACCTGAAATGGCAGTGGGTCGAGTCAGTGGGGATGCGGAAGAGGACACAGAGAGATGGGAAACACATCACTGGAGGCAGCACACATGGTGCTGGCTTGCGATGGGTGAGGCTGCCATGGAGGTACTCGAGCTGGTGCTGGAGCATAATGAGGAAAGATGATGGCTGGAGAGATGAGCGTCATCGCTCTTTAGGTTCTTTGAGTTCGACAATGTCGGCTGACACATTGGACCTGCAATGAACCCACTGTGAGATGCAAGTATGTGGTGGTGAGGGATACATTACAGATGTCAGTAGCTGAACTCAGCCTGACTGCTATGCTGTGACAGAGTACATTGGAAACGTTGGCCATGAGGCCTCTCTGTGGAACCCGCATGATGCAAAGGATGGGAAGACACCATAAACTCTATTGTCTGCTGATGAGGGAATGTGCCTTGCCTATTCTGTGCAGCACTTGCCACAGTCGAGCGAGGCAGTGGCTCCGGTTCTGGAAGCGCTCACTTGTAATGTAAGCGTCCATGCACATCGAATTGTAGAGCGATTTCTGGCAAGCAAAATGACCTAAATAAATATGGAGCCTTTGCTAAAGACCTTTATCCAGCTAGTAAAATCATTTTTTTTTTCGCAGCAAACAAGTATCGTAAGGCGCCATGCTTATTGCATGAACGTCCGATTTTGACCACTTGCATGACATCAAGCACTGATAGCATTCATCATGTGACCGCACTGTGGCTGTCCCAGCATCTATTTCAGCCAATCAGGGTCTCGCGCGAGATATAACATACGTGCGATAGAGAAAAGAATATTTGTACAAAATGAACAGCATAATCACCCGCACCTCATGGCTACCACCTGGGCCACCGGATCTCCCCGCCCGCTGTCTTGGGTGCCCCCCCGACATTGGGGCATCGTGCGTCATCATCGCTGCTGACAGCGACAACAAGCTCTCTCCCTATCTTCCTCAATTCTGGCCCATTTTCTTTCGCTTTTTTGAATATCTTGGTGTATTTACTCCCTTAATACAATGGTATAGAAATCAGAACACCATTTTGTATTCTAACCTCCATGTCATGTACATCACATGAGACACGTGACACAACGTGTCGTGATGACTTGTTTAACACCTCCCCCTGCTTCTCACTCTGCCACCGATATCTGGCTTCGATGAGCTTTGACATCATCGGCTCAACTTAGCAGTGGCCATGGGGCACATCAAGCCATGCCGCAAGCCACATGTGACCATAGCCAGCTCCTCAAGGTGGTCGCAGAATCTAGGCACGACTGGCATCACGGAGGAGAACAAGAAGGCAGTGCAAAGGCAGGCTCTAAGGACATCAGGTAGATTTTTTTTTGCTACAGTGGATGATAGATTGAGATTGATTCATCACTGCTGTAGGTCTCAGTCAACAATCATGCAGGATTATCGTGGAACTTAGAGGCGAGGATTTGCCCCCTGACCACAGTGGTGCAGATGTCAAGAACATTCTCATGAACATCCAGCAAGAGGGAGGAGGAGAAGATGTAGACTGGGAGGATGAACCTGTTGATGAGTCGTTTGTTCATGCACTCAGGGACATTATGGGCTCGAGGTGCATTGCAGTATTTGTACGAGCATTGCTCAATACTCACATCATTCTAGGTGATGCGAACAGTGATACAAGGATGCTCAGACATGGTGACAACGGGTAGACCACATGGACAAAAACTGGCAGCCCCTCCTTCCTGGTCTTGTGGAGTCTTACCTCCAATGGCGATATTTGATGGCGGCCTTGCCCAGTGAGAACCCCTCCACTTACGACTTTACCATTGACACCCTCAACATCTATAGCCTGGTGACCTCAGTAACTATACATTGCGCAGCCGATAACATCTCAGCTTCTGAGGTCCTCGCACATAGCGGATACCTCAGAACATCTCCGGTGAACCCATCCCTCGCTATCTCCTTCCCTACCCTCAAGCCTTTTCACTGTATTAGGCTCTTTAAGCCTTCCTTCAGCATGGAAGCCTTCGCAAAGCTTATCTCATATTACTACAAGATTCCCTTCTGACATCACTACTGCACCACCATCGCAAATGCATTCGACATTTACCTCAGCATTTTGCGTGAGGTCTGCAAGCGCATCGATGCTACGCTGGGTCACGACACACCAAACTGGCACATCCTAAACACATGCCCAGCCTGCACATATGAGCTTGATAGTGAGCCATCCCTCAAGTGGCGGTGCATCTTCGCGATGGACAGCAACAATTCGCTCAAGTGAATCACAGAGGTCAGCAGCCATGCACACAGTGACGTGCACAACTTTCAAGCAAGTGACTACTTCTTGTCGTGAGACTTTGTTGATCACTACACCAACGACGTGAAGTCGAGGCCTCACTCAAAGATGGTTGATGCTCGCAGCAAACAGCCCATGCAAGATAGCAGTGAGACTGAAAGCGATGGGGATGGCGATGTGCCCAGTGTAGAAACTCTGATGATGGCAGAAGGGAATCCGACAGACAGCGATGATGGCAATGCCACGATGGCTCCATGTGCAACCAACTGGAAAGCAGCAGCTTCCGAGGATCACAAATGGATGTGAGCCATATTCGACGAGGTGGGCATTTTTTGTGGCTGCATGCAGGCATGGCCTCGTGCTCTGGGTCACAAACATGGTCCAGAGTGGTGAACTGTGAGTTTACAATGCATTGTAGTCTGTTTTATACTGACAATTGTCGCAATCAGTGCAAAATATCCCCTGGCAATCTTGGCCAAGGCATTAGAAGTATTCGGCATCAGGCTCCTTGTGTCCTATGATATTGGGTGTGTATTCCAGGAAACTGCAGCACGAAGTTCACTGAGGCCGGATTGGGTGCAGAGTGGCTTTCAGTGCTGTGTAAATGCATTCCATGGGTACACTTACAACTATACCTGCCAAACACAGAACCACCCAAATGTCATCAAGGGGATGGGTCTCGAGGATGGTGAGACCCTCGAACGGCTGTTCAGCGCATCTAACAGCCTCGCATCAGTCACTCGGTATGTGTCACCCTACCATCGGCAAGTCCTCATCGACCTCTTTTTCCAGCAATGGGATGATGAGAAGTACAGGAATCTAAGCCTTATGTTGTACAACAACTGTGTACAGGCACTCAAGATTATTAACAAGGATTCGGTCACACTGGCTGACACCATGCAAGCTCTCGGGGTCAGCCATGAAGATCTTGACAAATGGTCTTCAGAAGAGCGGCACTATTTCGAAACGCTGGGTCAAGAACACCCGTGGGATGTGCACGCCATTGCGTATGTCGAGAAGCTTTAAGAATGGTGTGCTGTGCACACACAGGTGAAAACTGCACATGCACAGTTCATCAGTTCAATCCCATCTGACTATACATTCATCTCTCGCCCCACCAGCACCGTTGACTACTATGCTGAGGCATCATGCACACAGAAGCTTGAAACAAAGTGGCGTTACAGTGAGGAGCATGAGTGCATGCTCCTCCATGAGGTCACCACCATGGAAGTCAAGATGGGCCTCACGAGATGCTGGCAACCGACTGACCGTGAGTACATGGAAATGGTGAAGTATATCGCTGAGCGATGATACCACCGTGCACTCGAACACCTTCAACACCTCATCATACAGCATCTCTTCGAGCTTCACAAACTCAACCTTGCACAAACTGGTGAGTATCATTACATTTTCTACTCATCGTCGGCTAATTCTATGTACAGCATATCGGATGCGCACTCACATTGCAAAATCCCTGCAAACCCGGTGCAAGGCAATTCGTAATGCCGTGAAGGCATACAATGCTGCAGCCCTCATGCTCGATCTCCACTTTCCACTCTCGACTGGTCAAAAGTCTCACATTATAGCTTCCTCGACAAGTTTGCACTTCTTCAAGACACTCGAAATGATATCTGTCAAAAGCCCTGGGCCACTCTAATTGCATGTGAATGTATGAAGAAGGCATGCCGCCTTGATCGTGCACATGAAGAGGTTATGCGCATTGGTATAGAAGCCCGGCAGCTGCATATCTCGATTGTTGATGAAGAACTTCTATTTTCTCATGTGCTAACTTCATTGGATGAACAGACATCCCCATTATATGGAGCCATTAAGGAGTTTTGCGAGCGTCATTGCCACCTCAATGCATGTCACCTCATCCGTCTTCAACAGCTCTCAGAGCTCGAGGGGTTTGCGACTGATTTGTCACTGGGAGAGCGCAAACGTTCGATGACATCATCAATGAATTTTGGTGTTCGTATTGCTCAGACAATACTCACTCACATGAACCTGTCGGGCATCGAGGATAATGAGCTACTTGGAGCACAAGATGATGATGTTGATGGTGATCTTGGGGGACTTGTAGATTATCTTTCAGAGTTATCTGTGAAGGTGTAGGTCTGTGTGTAATGAATCATGCTGTCTCACTGTTGAGGCTAAATGCTCGAGCGAGCCATGCAATGACGAAACCTAAAAGGAAATATATTGATGAGTAAAATGAAAACATTGTGAGCTGTTGGGAATGCCTGGAGGGAGCAATCCAAGAGCACCCAGTGAAGTCGTTGTGGCTGGCACCACATTATATAATATTCCAAATATGTACTTATATATAAAGTAATCCTAATTAGGGAGCTCGGCATATAAGCCTGAGCTCTTCTTGCCCCACACCATCATCTGCTCACTCGTCCTCCCAGATTCTGGTAAACGTTACAGGTTATGAGCCCTGGCAGTGCTGTATAAACGCATAATACAGCTATCTGAGTCTACTAGCGAAAAATCTATGAGATATATATAAAAGTGCAGAATTACCCCTATGCCGAAGAACACTGACCGTGCAGATTCTCACAATCCATACTGCATGCCATACCTCATGGAGGACAATTGGCTTCTGTGGAAGAGGCGTGTGCAACATGTATGAAAGAGGAAGCGTCTTACCAAATATGTGATCGGTGAGATCCCGATTCTGCAGCCCCTGCCAGATATAGTGACGGCAGAAGAGAAGGCAGCGAGGGAAGCTGAGATCGCAGATTGGGAAGACAAAGATAGTGAAGCAGCAGAGGTCATGTTGATGTCCATGGATGACGATCAGCTCATTCATGTGAGCGAGTCAGGGACATCACACGAGATTTGAGAGAGTCTTAGGATCGTGAAGGAGAAGCCAGGCCATCACAGCCTTCTGGCACACCAGCATATGTTATATCAATCTTGAGCTCCAGATGACAAGGACATGGATGACTGGTTGAAGGAACTGTGTCAGCTTTGGGAGGAGCTCCACCAGATGGGAAAGCTCATCCCGGACGATGAGTTCATTTCAATTATCCTTATGTCGCTACCAGAATCCTGGGTTTCATTCACGAATTCCTATTTTGGAGCAGCAGGAGGGCAGTCCCAGTCTGGCAGTGGAAGTCAGATTATGTTGCAAGATCTCATCGCAGTCATTCGCGATGAAAACTGCCACCGGAAGAGCCGAGATGCCGAGCAGGCTGTCACAGACACATCACAGACTCAAGCCCTCTTCACCCGGAATGTGGAGTGGAAGAAGGGTAAGAGCGTGATGAGACCATGCACCATCTGTGGTCAGAAGAACCACATCACATGGGATTATAAATTCTGCGGACACCCCAAAATGAAGTGCAGAAACTGCAGAAAATGCGGACACAAGACCTTGAAGTGCTACACCTCCAGAGGAATCTTATCTGATAAGACATGAGATGAGCTGCCGAAGAAGAAGTTGAAGTTCGAAGCACGTGAGCGCAATGATCTGCAGATCGCTGGATCAAGCTGTGCCAAGAGAAGGTGAGAATTGCAGAAGATGATGACGAAAACTGTGTATCATTAGGTTCAGAAGATTCAGATGCTTCATTTTATGGTTGGTTTGCAGATTCAGGAAGCACCTCCCACATCACTTCTCACCATGATGTTTTCCAGACCTATGAGCCCTTATGCAACCACTTAATCTCTGGGATAGGTCCAGTGCCTATCAAGGCTTTAGGCTGAGGCACTGTAGCCATCTGAAGTAAAGTGGGAAATTGCATAGTAAGGTTCAATCTTCGCAACGTGCTATATGCACTGACAGCACCCAGCAATCTTTTATCCATTGCACGGCTTGATAAAGCCAGTGGAAGGGTACACATGGGTGACAGTCGTGCACTAATCATGAATAAGCACAGTGCTACACTTGCTGTAGGTAAGAAACAAGGTCGACTTTATCAATTAAATCTCGAGCCCGTTTCCACTGCTTCCGAATTAATATATGCCATGCAGCAAGACACTCCTCACACCTGGGACGAGTGACACAGAATTTATGGCCATATTGTGAGACCAGCGCTCACATGGTTACACCAGGAGCACATGGTCGAAGGCCTAGAAATCGTGTCCAGCCCAGATAATATTGAGTGTGAAGCCTGCGTACAAGCTAAGGCCATCAGGAAGCCGTCTCTGAAAGAGGCAGCAAAAAGAGACACAGTCCCTGAAGAATTAACACACACAGATGTGTGAGGACCAGCTCCGATGACTGTCCTACAAGGATGGTGTTATTTTGTCTCATTCACGGATGACTGTACCAGATGTACTACAGTATCATTCATGAAAACTAAAGACATGACATCTGAGAAAGTCAAATTTTATTTGACAAATCTCGACTGTTGTTATGGGACTCAGCGTCGTCAGCTCCAAATGGATAATGGATGCGAATATCTAAATAATGACTTGACACAATGGTGCCAATCTCGAGGAATTGAGACAAGCACTACTGCGCCTTATTCCCCATCCCAGAATGAGATTGCAGAACATCTAAACTGCACACTATTATCACATGCTCATGCTATGCTCTACGCATGTGACACTCCATGCTATCTATGGGCAGAAGCGGTGGCTCATGTCACGTACATCAAGAATCACGCACCTACACGCGCATTACCTGACATGACGCCATACGAGAAATGGAACGCGTGGAAGCCTAATATTGCGTATCTACGTGAATTCGGATCCACTGTATGGGTGCTAAATGAAACACTTAACTTGTCGAAGTTAGCGCCACGTGCCATGAAGTACACCTTCGTTGGCCACCTAGATGGACCGCGTGCTATCCGCTACTACAACATGTCTACACATGCCATCAAGACTTCACGCAATTATCATTTTGCACTCACTTCACAGCTTCCACTCTCTGTGACAACTGACACACCGGAGCTACAGAGGGAGTCCGTGCCAGATCAAACACGTGGGGGGAGTCTTCTACCAAAAATGCACCGTGTTCCGATCTGAAGAAGCAGAAGCACATAGATGTGGAAGAAGCGCAGGTACCTGAAGAACCTCGGAGATCAAAATGGAAGATCACGTGTCCGAACTATCGGCTCCTCAATGACCCTGAGGCAGATGATGATGACATGGATGCTGCTGCATCTGCTGAAGTAATCTACCAGGCAATGTGCACTTCTATGGATCCAGATGAGCCGAAATCGTTACAGGATGCGAAGAACTCACCGGAATGGCCCCATTGGGAGCAAGCAGTGCAAGCTGAGATGAAGCAACTGCATGATATGTGTTACGAAGCTAGGCGGCAATCACCTAGGAAAGGGGGGAGCTCACGAATGAGCCCCGAGCAAAAAGTTTCAAGTTTTCAATCACGTGACAGCAAGGGCACGTGCAGTTACCAGATCAAGCATCCCTGTGGCGTAGGAAGAGCCCTATACCATTTCGGGATATCTCACCAAGTGGTAGATGCTTCACATCTACTGTGGGAAGATCTAGCAAGATTTATTGTATGTTTAATGTTCGTGTTTCATACTTTTCATTTCTTTCTATTTCACATCAAACTATTTCATACTTCAGGTATTTCACCTACACTTTTCTTAGCTCGCCAATTACCTGGCTCACAGCAGCTAAGCTCCGGTGTGTTTCACCTATCTTTAGGATAACAGGACCCCTTGTACTAGTACCCCAGACTATAGGTCTGCGACTATATAAAGGGGCGGAGCAGCAGTGGAAGACCAACCTCTTCCACTTGTGACTCTGATGTTCTCACTGTCTAGAACCCTTGTGCAATCTACTATCTCTTAGAGGTGGCAAGCTCGTACCGCTTGCCGGGGATAGCGTCCATTGGCAAAGGCATCTGCCTTGCAGTAGACAACACTATAAACCAGAGATACGATCGTACGTGTGGAAGCTTCACGTATGGAGGGTTTTAGTGGGGAACGCTTCATAACAATATGGAGACATGGGATCTTGTAGATCTACCTCCAGACTGCAAAGCGGTAGGCAACAAATGGGTCCTGGTCAAGAAGACCAACAAGGAAGGTGAGGTAATCAAATACAAGGTGCATTTAGTGGCAAAAGGCTACTCACAGATCCCTGGCATGGACTACATGGAGACATTCTCACCCATGGTTCACCTTGAGATGATTTGAGCTGTCCTAGGGCTAACTGCAATCCTCGATTGGGAAATCCAACAGATGGACGTCAATGCCTCTTGATCCGAATATTCCCCTCGAGAAGGAGGAAATTGGGATCGATGACGTGCAAAACCATAGCAACGGATATGCATCACTCATCGAATCTCTAATGTATGCTGCTGTGGCAACGCATCCAGATATTGCTTATGCGGTACAACACTTAAGCTCTTTCACTGCCAATCCTGACATGGCACATTGGACAGCCGCAAAGCGCGTCCTCAGATATTTATCTGGCACACGAGATGTCAGAATTGTATATGATCCCAAAGAAGGGAAACCATACCTAACAATGTAAATTCAAGGGATATTCTGATGCCAATTTTGCCAATAATGAAGATCGAAAACCGATCTCAGGATATGTTTTCCTAGTAGGCACAGGCACGATAACATGGAGCTCAAAGAAGCAATCCACTGTCGCATTATCTACTACAGAAGCTGAATATACGGCATTTGCTCAAGCTGCAAAAGAGACGGTATAGCTGCGAAATCTATTCAAAGAAATAGGTTTCGAACAGACCGAACTGATAATTTTGAACGGCGATAATATGAGTGCTATATCAATTGTGAAAGATCTGCAATTCCATGTGTGATCAAAGCATTTCGATATCAGACATCATTACATTCGAGAGAAAGTTAATGATGGAATTATTCAGGTAAAATATTGTCCGACAGGCGATATGACTGCGGACATCTTTATCAAGCCTCTTGCTAAGCCCAGGCATCAAAAACTAATGGGATTACTAGGGATGCCCGTCGGCTTGAGGGGAAGTGTTGGGAATGCCTGGAGGGAGCAATCTGAGAGCACCCAGTGAAGTCGTTGTGGCTGGCACCACATTATGTAATATTCTAAATATGTACTTATATATAAAGTAATCCTAATTAGGGAGCTCAGCATATAAGCCCGAGCTCTCCTTGCCCCACACCATCATCTGCTCGCTCGTTCTCCCGAATTCTGGTGAACGCTACACGAGCTACAAGATTTAATGAGAAAAATGGGCTTGCATCAGTGTGAGCGAGCGTATGCATGAACGAGTGGCTCAGCCACAGCTCATGGCATTGAGCGATCCAGCAATGGCAGAAGTTGTCGTGCCACTCGCTGTTGCTCAGAGTATACCAGTGTCCCCTCACATGTTCTCTTCAGCTGTGTCACGTCTCCCTGCTCTCTCATCATGCACAGAGATTCTCGATGTAATGTTGTTCTCGGAGGTCCACGTCCAGGTATCTATAGTGTGCGGTGAGTGTAAAGTGACGTTTGGATAGTGAAGTTGCAATCTCACCATTTGAGCGTTAGTCCACCTGTCGGCTATGGTGAATACACCTCCCCACTGCCAGTCATCATCCACAACATCAATCACACCGTCGCGACATCTATCTACACACTGCAGCCACTTTTTCATCACTTGGCTGGTGATGCATGTGAGCCGGATGACCTTATCATCAAGGAGATCATCCATACTTTACTTCTCTGGGATGAAGCAAGAACGGTGGTCCCAGATACATGAGAGTTCATCGACATATATGTCGTCATCTGTGACAGGAAGACCAGTATATTCTTTTTTTGGTGAGTCTGTCATCGGATGATCTGCTGTCAGATCTGACAGCGAAGTCAGGAATGAGTGTAACGCACAGGTTCATGGGTTCTCAGATGCGAGATTCATGGCCTACAAGAACTTACCAGAGGCCATTGCCCACTTCTTGCATAAGGAACCCGTGACGTACCAGTGTCTGAATCATCCAACATCATGGTTAGTGACATTCGAGGACTATCTTATGGAACTCTTAAATCAGAGCATTCGTGCTGATAGTAATGGCGATGATGATGGGATTGGTGAGTTGGTTCTCACCATTGCTTCTCTTATTTAACTTACTTTTCTTCTCTGCAGCCATGAACGGCATGACGGGACAACCAGGCCACACTATGGAAGGACTCAATAGTATGGTTGTTCTTTCTCACTGACATCACTGATGTAACCTTCTTTCAAGATCTTATGTGAAACATTCACATCGACAACGTTTCATCACCAGCACCTGGACTATCTGAAAAGCACCCTCCCATGAACAAGTCATGTTCCGACAAGGCACATGTGCATGAGGTGACAGCCAAGATAGTTGGCGCGTACTCAGAAATACCTTCGCATGCAGCACGCGCTCCTTCAAATGTCCGATCTCACGATGTCAAGGTGGACACTAAACCTTCACAGGTCGAAGAATCTCCTGCTTCCCTAGGTCACATCATTGAAGCTAAGCCCACGGCCACTCTGTACACTGTTGAACAGCACTCCACACCTTTCCCACTGACTCCATTCATTCAGCCCATGTCTCCATCCAGTAGCAGCGAGCCATCTCAACATTGTTTACGTCGCACTGGCACCATCATGCTCAGCTTCACTGATGACATCAAGGAGAAGGTCCTTGTGCCATCTCTCAGCATGTACGCCGATTATTATATGTTGTCACATGGATATACTTACCATGCACGGGTGGAGGTGGTTGTGATGTTCGCTAATAGCTGCAACAGGGAGGATGTTGTCACTCACCTCCATGGTGCTGACATCCCTGCAAAGCACCTGAAATTTGTGTACTTTCTATGCAAGAATTGCATCTGAATTCTACCTACCATGTATCCACTCTGTCCTTCAATAAATTGCCACAATCTGTCTCCAAGTCATGTGAAAAATCTGTTGAATTGTGAGCACGTCGCGATGCGTCTCGTGTTGCACACCATCAACTTCTTTGATAGCTGATGTCTTCGACGTGTGAGCTTCCTTCTGACATGTCTCCAGCTCAAGTGGAGAACCTTTTGTACTGTCTCCCGAGCAAGAAGCAGAACAGTCTGATAATGCTACAGGCTCATCGACCTTGGAGGACCAGAACTGAATGTAAACTCATTCCAAAGACTACAGCTGAAAGAGCTCAATTGTGGAATGCCAGGCATGAGCGAAAGGAGGCGCTAAATGAAGCACTGTCTGAAGCTCATGAGGTGATCCTCGAGCAGGCGTGGGCAATGCAGAAGCACTTTGGTTTTCACAAGGTCGACTACTACTACTGTCTTATCATGCAACGGCCATGCAAGTCCATCTACAAGAGACAGGTCAACTCGTGGAATGCCTGGCAGCACAGCGAAGTGAAGCGCCACAACAACGGTACATGTATATGAAATCATCCCACTATATGACATTCTTATTTACATTGATCTTCAGCACTGCCACCTGATGAGCCCCGGAGGAAGACCGACTACTGAGCCCCAATACTGAAGGAAGAATGGGCATCAATGACAAAGGAGGAGCACGCTGAGGCCACCAAGCCATACACTGAGGAGCTACAGGCAGAGTGCAAGATGAAGAAATACTCAGTCCATGACATGGAGCAGGCAGCATTTAACGATGCCCACATGTCACTTGCAAGTATCCAGCATGAGATATGTGATTTGTCACTACCTGTCAAGATATTTGTGCCGCTAACTTTCATATCATGGCAGCTCATAGCATTGAGCGAGCACACAGGGATGCAAATGATCCTCTTTGCCATGCGCTCTACTCCAGAGTCTTACAGAAGCCTGCACGTATTCTACACCAATGACTGCCTTTCAGATTTCATTGAATTCACAATGAAGAGCTCAGTGGCCGATTTTTCTGCTCGAATGGATGGATATGTGCTTTCTGGAGTGGATGGTACACATTTTTCTTTTCTCTGTCATGCCTGACATCTTACAAAGTCAATAGATGCAGTTGCAAACTACAACCAGGAAACTACTAGGATGAAAGGTCAGCTAGCAGCTTTGATCAAGCAGAAACTCAGTAAGTCGAGATTCATTCATTCTGCATTAATGCTGACATCACTCATAGAAGAAGCCTCGCCATGCCCAGTTGTGCAGCTTACCTATGTTAACTTTGAGACGAATGTCATGATTCCATACTGGATGCTCATCAAGGGATGGCCCCTCAGCAAGTTCTGTTGCCCGAGCAACATAGGCACCTGCATGGAGGTTCAACTCTGTCTCACAGCTTGGGAGATAAGAATGTCATACTGGCAATATATGGAGAAGGACGAGGAGTACAATGCATGGTTGAAGGATCACCATGAGAGGCGGTTGGCCCAACAGGTTGGCAGGGTGAGCAGCGGTGCAATTAACGATGGGCAATGGACTGCAGGTGCCATTGCCAGTGGTGGCATAACAGCCACCGTCTCTCAAGCTGATGTAGTAGCGACAAGCAGCATGATGCCCAATGCATCAGTGATAATAGCTGCCAGCATGGTGGATGACACTTCGACAGCAGCGGTGACAAGCATCAATGCTCCACCTACCACTGCAGCGGTCGACATGATATTCATCAATGCATCCTCGCACATCAATCCGAGCTCACCTCACACAGATGCTGCCACATTTGCACATGTACCAACCTCCAAGCGCCACCACCCTCTAGATGAGTCATCTCTCAATGTCATTGCTGCCGCTGACAGAACTGCCATATCTGTGCAGAAGAGAGCTCGAAAGGTTCAGTCTGATAAAGGGGTGAAGAGGGGTTCTCGCAAGCCTCACGCGCAGTCCGTTCAGATCGAAAATGTCATGTCCACCACTGCCAATGCTGAATCATGAGGTGTAAATGCCATGCTCAAGAGCCTGCAGATGCGATGTTGCAGTCCACTTACTGTATGTCATCCCCTCATGGGCCCAGCTGTTGATCTGAGTCATAAATAGCATGAATTTAGCTGTATTGCAGATTTGGTGATGGAAAATTCATTTTATTGTGCTACTTTACCATGATTGCAGTACATAGTTAGGGTGATACAAAGATGATGTAAGGAAGTTAATGCACAAAGAAAAGCGAAAGAAAATGGGCCAGAATTGAGGCAGATAGGGAGGGAGCTCATCGTCGCTGTCGGCGGTGATGACGATGCACGGCGCCCCGATGTCTGGGGGTGCCCGGGACAGCGGGCAGGGAGATCCGGTGGCCCAGGTGGTAGCCATGAGGTGCGGGTGATCAGATGATCAACATTGATCAGTGTTATCGGCCACATTGATCGGCCTTACTCTCTATGGTAAATTTTCTCAGCTATTGCTGATGGTACTGGCAGATGGCGGGAAACTAATCTTCGGACCTCCTTAGGTTGTGGAGCTGGTCGAGCATGGCAACCTAGTAAGGTCCACAGTACGTGAGGTCCAGGTGCACCAAACTCGTAGAGGGCTCACTTGAGTTCACTTGAGGTTTCTCCCACGCTTCACTCGTTCACTTGTAGCTTGTTGTACCTCACTGCTTCTCGCACCACTCTTCCTTGCTACATGTTGCCCTCCCTTGCTTCATTCTCAATTCCTCGTTGTCCATTATGGCAGCAGACCCATCACGAGTATGACACACACAGCCTCGAGGCAGCATTTATGTGCATTTTCAGCTATCCTCCACTCTGTCACATCAGGGCTTTCCATTACATCAAGTCATCATTGTAGTGACATATCACCTTGACTCATATGGTGGTCAAGATTGTTTAGCTGCACGGTAAGCTGCGCGATTCATACCCAGACTTCAAGATGTCCTCCTTGCCTATCGCCTTAACACCCGCGCCACCAAAATGCAAGTCAGTGTTCCTGAGCATCTTCTCACAATTGGCATCACCATCCTATCACCCTCCATCATAGCATCTAATCAATGTCAGCTCATGCCATCTCTCATTGAGGTCCACATGCCACCGGCAACACTACTATATAGTACATGTGGCGATTCCATTCACTTTCGCTCATTTAGCTTCTCTCATGTTCTCTCACTTATCGTCACTTATCATCACTTATGCTCACATATCCTGCATATATCATCACTTACGCTCACTTGACAGCACGTACGCTCACTTATGGCTGCATAGAGTTGGAATTATCCTCTATATTGAGCACTTATTCTCCCGTAGCACACCATGCAGACATGTGAGAGATCTCAGGAACTCCTGTATCTGCTCTCGCCTAACTCGTCAGGGTTCTCTGGTCTGAGTAGAGAAGTAAAGACCAACTCAAAACTGAGGGGTAGGCCTCAGCTTGAGCCAGTATATATACAAGTGGGGTAAGACCCCTGGTACTGGGTGTAGGACCCTGCATACCCTAGATTCATACTAATACATCATTATGGTGTGCTATGGCGTGCTCAGGCCTAGTGGAGTCCATCTAAGTCTAGGAGTGTCTATGGAGTCCAGGCTTATGATGTCATCGTGACTGGTACATGTCCGAGGAATGTCCAAGTGGCATAGATACATATGTGGAGGCGTAGTGGTACATTCTATATATGATATATAGGTGGATAAATAATGGTCCGTGGGTGCTTGAGACTTGTGGCATGGAAAAACCGTGACAGTACCCCCCCTCCAGGCTGAAGTGTCCTCACGAGGCTTGAATTCTAGTCAAAGATGCACAGGTGTACGGCTTGCAGGCTCCATTTATCCTTGATTATTGGTGTCCGAGTATGTTTCGGGTCATATGTGATATAATTGGAAATGTCTTCTTCCTTCACTGGGGTATCCTTGAAGTGCATGCATTGCCAGGGTATTGGTGCATCATCGAGATAATAGTAGCCGTGAGTGCGCTCCGGGCACTGGATCTTTCCTTTTTCTATGATTCACTGGGCATTGACTGAGTATACAAATAGATGGTTCTGTGACTTGAGAGTTCCAACGAATAGGACCGTGTGGATATAGTGGTCTGGACTCGCTAGCCAAATGCAGACAATGTCGAACTTCTCGGGCAGCACTATTTCTAGGCCGATCAGGATATCGAGGGGTACGTGGAGTACGACATGGGCTTGGAACTTTCACTTGTACCATCATATCATTTTGTGATCCCAGTAGATCTTTTTCTTCCACTTTTCTTCCTCTTCCTCCATCATCTTTCCTCCCTTGCTGTCAGGTTCATCGTCGCTTTCTTCATCTTCTTGAGTGCGGATCTTTTGACCACCAGGTATAGTGAGGAGATTAGGCAGTTTGGATGCCTTGGGGTGTAGCTTATAGAAGTTATTAAGTAATAGTATGTAGTCCTTTGCTATTGTAGAGCAGGGTATCCAAGTGTTCTCAGTGTCATCCTTCCCTTTCCATTTGACCTGATATAATAGTCCAGTTTTGGACTTTTTACTGTCTAGGATTTGGCTAATGGTGAGAGGATTCGCCCTCCAGAACGGTGATATGCTCAACTGCATCCTGGCCGTGAGCAGCGCTTCCTAACCAAGTTCCTCTGATCTTGGCAGGCAAACTGAAGATCGTCCGTCCATGGTCCCTTTGGGGCTACAGTCGCAGGAAACTTCAGATGATAATGCAGCGATGGGCGACCGCAAGTCGTTCAGCTGTGTGTGCTTGAAACGGAGTGAAATACCATGAAAAATGTGAGTCCGTGAGTGTCGGGTTCAATTATGGGGATAGGTCCGACTGGGCAACAGTCGAAAGCTGAAGTGTGGGGGTGTGTGGGAGTGGAATGCGATTGGTGACTCCTATGCTCACAAAATGGCAATAGCTGAGGGTCTGGGCTGAGTCACGAGGACTAGCTACTTCTGGACGAAGCTGGGTAGGCACCGACGATGAAGCCCTAACTTCCTCCGAACTGGGTTAAGCGCCAACGACGAGTCTCTAATAGCTACCGAGCTGGAACGAGCGCTGACGATGAAGCCCTGGGTGTCACAAAGCACCAAAGCACTTAACCCAATTAAGGGCAAGTCTGCTTTTGTGACCTGCACAAATGATCCCACATAAAAAGCCTGCCACAAGGGC